CCTCCCCCGGCAACAGGCACGGACCGTCGTGAATGTGGAGACCTCCACGGAGACCATGGAGCCCTCGAGCTCGAGCCGGTCGACCATCAACCCGGCCTTCATCTTCTTGTTCGTCACGGGCCTCAGCGGCCGCTGGTCGTAGCGGACTTGGTCGCAGGGCGTGGCGTCGAGTTTCCCGACGCACTCGCCCGGCGTGTTCGCGAAGCAGGTGAGAAACTCCTGGTTGAGCGCCTCCTCGGCGCAGGCCTGGGTCGGCGCGTCGCCCGGCCAGGAGAACACGGCGAGCGACGGCAGCCGCGCGCCGCGCGGAATCTTCACTCGCAGCGTGCAGTCGTCCCCGGCGTTCGTCGCCTCGACGCGCGTCGCGTTCGCGCCCGCGGAGACCTTGAGCGTGCTGTCCGTCTGGGCCCGCAGCACGAGCTGGACCTTGGACTCCTTGCGGTTCGCGTCCTGGAAGACGACGTCGCAGTCCGCGACGTAGATCTCGAGCGGCCGGGTCGCGGGCGCCTCCTCGTGTTCGTGCACGCGCAGGAGCCAGACGGACAGCGGCGCCATGCCAAACACGAAGAAGAGCGCGAATCCCCATAAAAGCGCGACGCGGAACGCGCGCCGCGCGTAGAGCCGCTTCTCGCGCGGCGTCATCGGCGGCTTCACGTGCTTGTGCGCCTTCGTGGACAAGACGTCCGCCTTCTTTTCTTCCTCCTCGAGGTTCAGCGCTGGCGGCTTGACGGCCGCCGCCTCGCCCACCGGCGCTATTTTTGCCATGGGCTCTACTCAGTCGCGCATCGTTTCAACCGAGTGCATTCTACACGCGTTTAGCGCGGCGGGCCGGGCGTGCCGCGAACTGGATTAGTGCAGGCAACCTTGAGGCTCGTAGAGCCGGCTGCCGCATTCCTCGTCGCGATGGGCTTCTTCGACACGCCGGAGACCGACGACCCCTGGCTCAAGCGCTACTCGCTCTTCCTCAAGTTCGAGGGCCAGGTATTCGGCGGCATAATCGTCGTGGCCTACTTTTTGAAGTGGGGCGTCGCCTGGCACGACGCGGGGCAGCCCTTTACCGTGACCGACATCAGCTTCTCGGCCTACTGGGACATGATCTTGATCATCTACACGACGTTCGGCATCTGGATCACGCAGGCGTCGTTCGACCCCGTCGCGTTCAAGCCGCTCCTGTCCTGGGGCATGTGGGGCGGCAACTTCTGCCACGGCGTCGTCGCATTCGTCCACTGCTTCGACGGCAACGGGCCCAACAAGGCCGCGACGGCCTACGCGAAGGCGGCCTTCGGCAGCAAGCTCAACATCGACAAGCTCCTCATCGCCGTGCCGCTCTGGTTCGGCATGTGGGCCGCGAACCTCTTCTTCTTCAAGAAGTGCTTCGGGAACTACGGCCTGCCCTACCTCGCGAACATCACGCCGGCGAGCGCCCAGTACACGTCCAAGGTCAAGCAGACGGAGCTCGCCTAGGCGGGGGCAAGCAGACGGAGCGGACGTCCGTCGCGGTGTGAAGCTCAAGCAGCGCCCCCTACTAATTTACTTCTGCTCCTTCGTCCGCGCAACCCCGCCCCCCGCGGCGGCCTCGACGAGGTCCATGAGCGCGGCGACGCTCGCGCCCGGCGCGTTGAGCGTCAGCACGAGGTCGTGGTCGCCGTCGCCGCGGAACGCGAGGCGGATCGCGTTCTTCTTCAGGGGCACGGGGCTCGGGACCCTGGCGACCTCGTGGAGGTTGCGCAGCTCGTGGCGCTCGTCCTTCGCCGCGGGGCGGCCGAAGACGGACAGGAGCCCCGCGACGGACGCGTTCGGCGCCCAGTAGAGGCACGGCCGCGCGACCCAGAGCGTGCCCGGCGTCGCGAGGTCGCGCGTGCAGGGCCAGCGCCCGAGGGCGACGTCCTTGGCCAGCGCCGCGTTCTCGTTGCGCTGCCACAGATCCGCCGACGGCGACGCCTGGCCGATCCACGCGCCCGCGCGGACCGCGTCCGAGACGTCGTCGACGAGGCGCCGCCTCCGCGCCGCGACCGCGGCCTCCGCGACGTCCGCGAACTTCTCCAGCTCCGCGACCCCCGCGGCCTCGCGCGCGTCGGCCGCGTCTCCCAGGCTCGCCGCGGCGTCGCGCGCCGCGCGGTTCAGCAGCGACGCGCGCGCGATCTTGCCGGAGAGATTCGCGTCGACGGCGTCGTCCTTGAACGCGCGCGCGACGACCTCCGCGGCGTCGCGCGCGAAGGTCTCGGCGCTCCACACGTCCACGATGGCACCCCCGGAAAGCGGCGGCGGCGGTGGCACCTCGAGCTCCACGTCCGGCGGCAGGTCCACGCGCGCCTCCGCGTACGCCTTCCGCACGACCGCGACGACCTTCTCGAGCCCCGCGAGCGCGTCGCGGCGCGCGGCGTCGCACGCATCGCGCTTCGGCTTGAAGCGCCGCGCGGCGTCGCGGCGCACCGCGCGGTCGATGTCCGCGAGCACGGCGCCGTCGAGCGCGACCGTCGCGTCTCCGTCCGCCTCCCCGTCGCTCGCCGCGCGCTCCAGCGCCTTGCGGCTCTGCGCGACCTTCGCCTTTTCGTCGTCGCGCACGGCCCGCAGGACGGCCTTGAGCGCGCCGCGGCAGTCGCCGGCGCAGCGGAAGACGCCGAAGCGGCTCCGCGCGGCCGCGTCGTTCGACGTCGTAGACGCGCACTCCAGATCGAAGATCTCCGGCGGCACGGGCGGCTTCGCGTCGAGCCGCGCGGCGTGGATGGCGTCGCGCCACGCCACCAGATCCGCCGCCTCCTCGAAGCAGAGGAGCCATTCTGTGTTGTTGTGGCACACCTCGAGCACGTGCTCCGTCGGCGCGCCGAGCGGCGGCTTTGGTGGTGTCGTTGTGTCGGCGGCGCTGTCGCGGAAGTAGCGCGGACCATCGTCGTCGTCGTCGTCGTCCTCCGCCGCCGCCGCCGCCGGGGCCGCCTCGGCGACGCGGAGCTTCGTCGCCGGGTCCGCGGCCATCGAGCCCCGCGGCTTGCCCAGGTCGTTCATCGCCGCGGAGAGGATCGAGTCGCCGCCCTCGAAGTAGCGCAGCTCCTTGAAGCCCAGGGCGACGGTCCGCTTGACCCAGAGGTCGCGGTCGCTCTGGGAGGCTTGTATTTTGACGTCGCGCCGCTTCCAGCACACGCCGACCTTGTCGAAGTCGCGGCTCGTGAGCAGCCGCCGCGCGCGCAGCGTCGTGTTGTGGTTTACGGTTTTCCCACCCGACTTGACGGTATAGGCCTCGACGGCCTCGAGGATGGTCGCCCAGGACGCGTCGAGCGACAGCGGGATCGCGACGACGGATCGATCTTTGTTATCATCGTCGGCGAGGGCGCCGGCCTCGCGCCACGTCCGCAGGATCTCGGGGTGCTTGATGACGGTGAACTTCGCTGGGGCTCTTGGGTCCAGTTTTGGTGGTGTTGCTGGGTTTGGTGTTTGGGTGCCGGACAGCGTCTCCTCGTCCATGCTCTTAAACGCGCTTTTTGTTGCACAGCAACATTCGATCGAGAAGCAGACCTGATGGCTCGGGCAGCCCTGCGGATCGTGGCCGTCGCCGGTTTCGCCGGCGCCGTTCGCGAGCGCCCGCTGCGCTTCTTCAATGGCCTCCAGAACGAGGGACTCCAATTCAACCTCACGACGCAGTTCGAGACCGGCGGCGAGGTCATCGTGGTCTTCGGCGCCGGGGGCAGCGGCGATTTGCAATTCATCGGCGGCGGCACGGGCCTGTCGTCGGACTACCTGGCCTTCAACGGCACGGAGGCCTGGTCCTTCGCCTACCGCCTCGAGAGCAGCGGCGTCGTCTGCGCCGGCGCGCTCGAGCCGTTCTCGGAGGACGCGCGGGCGACCGTGATCTACGTGGGCTCGACCGACGGCATCTCCGACGGCACCTGCGAGGGCTTGTTCGTCCACAGCCACAGCTCCCAGGCCGAGGTGACCATCGTCGCCGACGCGAAAGTTCCCAGCGTGAACAACTGGACGATGTGCTTTTTCAACGACGGACAGTGGAAAGCCGAGGACATCGCCTACCAGGGCGCCGTGAACACCTACTTTGACGGGGGGATTACGGAGGTCGCGCTCCTGGACCGCGCCGACTCGGCGGCGTGTGGGAGAAGCACATGGGACGACGCGGTGGAGGCAGCGGTGGCCACGACGGAGCTCCGCTTCGGGTCCTGGCCGACCCTCGTTGTTGTTTTTGGCGACGGTGGCGGATCTGGCGGCGTGCGCTTCCACTGCGAGGGCTGCGTCGAGGGTAGCTCGGGGAAGCAAAGCCGCTGCTCGAGCATCTTCCTCGAGCACGAGTCGTCGAGCGGCGGTCAGCCCTGCGACCACCTCACGACCCTCGCCGTCATCGGCATCATCGTCCTCGCGATCTTGCTGCTCTGTTTCATCCTCGCGGGCCTGCGCACCTGGTCCATGTACCGCGGCCGCGAGGGAGGTTCGCAATCCGTCAACGGCGAGGGCTACGCCGAGCTCCCCGCGAGCGCCTAGTGGAGTATAATACGGAGGTTGATGCTTCCGCGCCGTCAAGGCCGGGTACCGGGGCGGCGTCTTAGGGGACTACTGCGTTTTAAGTTTCGATCTCGAGCTTCAACACGCGTGATTGACTCCTCGGTGCAGTTCTTGCAATTGACAGAGCCATGGTGGGCGCGTCCGCGCGCCGGCGCGTCGTGTCGCTGGCGATGCTCCGCCCCGTGTCGTGCCACCGATCGGCGTCGACGCGCGGCTGGGCGCAGAGCCAGGAGGTGCGGGCCTTCGCACGGAGCATGGACGAGCACGGTGCCATCGTCGAGGCCGTCGTCGCCGCGCGCGGCTCCGAGGGCTACGCGTCGCCGTGCCCCGTCGTCGGCGCGTCCGTGGGCGCGCACCTGCGCCACTCGCTGGAGCACGCGAAGTGCTGCGCCGACGCCGTCGCCGCGCTGCGGGCCGGCGAGGCGGCGCCCGTCGCGCGCTACGACGCGCGCGAGCGCGACGAGGCGCTCGAGACGGACCCGGCGCGCGCCGTCGCCTACGGCGCGGCCGTGCGCGACGCCGTCCTCGCCGGCGCCGGCCTCGACCTCGACGCGGCCGTGCGCGCGGCCTTCGCGCTCAGCGCGGACGCGGCCGACGGCGACGTCGCGCTCCCGTCGACGGTGCGGCGCGAGCTCGCCTTCGTCGCGCACCACGCGACGCACCACTTCGCCATGATCAACCTCATCGCCAAGGGCCACCTCGCCATGGACCTGCGGGAGGGCCTCGGCCGCGCGCCCGCGACGCGCCGCGACGACGCGGCGAAACATAAGCGGTAGCGTGCTGTCCCGGCGAAGCAGCGCCGACGGCTCAGCTGTGCTTATCCAGGGGCGCTAGAGGGGTACCTAGGCAACCGAGCTAGCTGCTGACAGCCAGGCCGACGGCTCAGCTCGAGGGACCTAGGCGCGGAGGGCCTCGTCGGCGTCGCCGGCGTCGAGGAGGCCCGCGGCGGCCGGGTAGGCGGCCTTGACGCGCGCGATGCCCGCGGCGCCGGCGACGTCCTCGACGAGCGCCTGGTCGCCGGACGCGCGCGCGGCGACGCCGGCCGTCGCCGCGCCGAGGTCGCGGAGGAAGGCGTCCTCCGCGGCGGCGTCGGCGAACGCGCCGGGCACGGACAGGTTCAGCTGGTTGATTTTGCACGCGACGCCCTTGAGCTCGTGGCGGCACGCGCAGGCCTACGATTTCGGATCATCTCTCCGGGGGTCGTCCAAAGTCGTCGGCGCCGGCGCGGACGAGCCCGGCGCACGCGCGCGAGTTGATGCCGCCGAGCGCGGACCGCGCGCCGTCGACGGCGTCGCCGAGGACGAAGGTGTAGGACGCATCCGCGTCGTTGGCCACGCGCGGCATGAGGAGCCGCGCCGCGGAGAAGTGGAGCGCGGGCACCTGGACGGCCTTCTGCGCGAACTCCTCGTCCGAGAGCGAGAAGAGGTGGTCGCCCGCGAGCGTCCGCGTCTCGTCGCAGGCGCCGCGGCCGGCCCAGTAGCGCACGCCCGCGTGGGCGACGACGTGGTCCAGCCGGTTGCCGCTCATCTCCATGACGCGGTCCACCGTCGCCTCGGCGCGGCCGGGCAGCAGCGAGCCCTTGATCGGCGTGAGCCGCTCGGGGCGGCCGAGGCCCTCGACGAGCGCCTCGAGCCGCGTCGTCGACCGCGTGTTCACGATGACCGACGCGCCCGCGTCCAGCAGCCCGCGCACGACGTGCTGGCCCACGACGTCGACGCCGCCGACGACCCAGCAGACCTTGCCCTCGAGCGACACCGGCGGTGGCGCGTCCGCCTTGCCGAAGCCGAAGAACGTGCGCTGTGCGAGCGCGCGGGAGTGGCGCTGGGCGAAGGCGGCGCGGTGCAGCATATTGCAAGCGCTCCGATGATGCGTCGCGGCTTCGAGCACGTGCTCGCAGCGGCATCCTGAAGTCATCGGCGGCTCGTTGCCTCTCGAACTCCGAGTCGGGGCAGCCCGACCGCGTCGTCGTCGTTCCTCGGGGACCTCGTCGGCCAGCAGCGTCGTCGTCGTGCAGCGGCAGCACCGTCGTCGTGCGGCGGCAGCACTTCGGCCAGCAGCAGCAGCGGCGGCGGCGATGCGCCGTTTCCTGGTCGTGCTCGCGGGCTGCACCGCCGCCATCGATGTTCCACGCGACCTAGCGAAGCTCGACGACGCGGCGCTCGCCGCGCTGGCCGCGGCGGCCCGGTTCGAGCAGGCGCGGCGCCGCGGCGCCGCCGGCGGCCCGGTCTTCGCGTACGCGCACAAGCAGACCTTCGCGACGAGCGACCCCGCGGGCGCGGCCGTGTTCCTGCGCGACCACGTCGGCGGCACGACGAACGTGCCCATGACGAACACGAGCCACACCTGCGCCGACGGCTCGCTGAGCGGCTACACGCACGTCGTCTACTTCCCGGGCACGCCGGACCAGCCGCGCGGCTTCACGGTCCACTTCGTCTACAACCCGCACAAGCCGCCGTTCGCCGGCGGCGTCGTGCCCGGCACGGACGTCGACGCCTACACGCTCGGCGAGCGCGTCGAGGCCTTCCGCCGGGGCCGCTTCGACGCCGGCGTCTTCGACCAGTTCGTCGACACGCACCTCGGCGTCGCCTACGAGTCGCTCGACCCCATCGTCGACCACTGGCGCGCGCACGACATCCCGTTCATCTGCCGGACCTGGTGCTGCGGCCCGGGCATGCCGCAGTGGCCGGACCAGTGCCCCTACAACCGCACGAACACGGAGTACTGCGAGCAGGGCTGCTACGTCCAGCTGCCCCACGGCATCATCGTCGAGGCCCTCTGCGGCCTCGGCGGCGGCCTCGCGGGCGCCCAGGCGTGCCTCACGAAGGCCCAGCCGGAGATCTTCAACCTCTGCGCGCCGAGCTAGGGGGATGTGTGGTACTACATGGTTTTTGTTCGATGGACACCATGGGCCCTCTGCGCCTGACGCGTGGCGACGTCGACGCGCCACGCCTCTCGCCGCGCTGGGCAGCCGCGGCGAGGTCGTCGCCTCCATCGGAGGCATCGCCATGGGCTACCTCGCTCGAGGCACGCCCGATCTAGTCTAATTCGCACTTTAGTCGACGCCGATCAGAGGGGATTCGGAGACGCGAGGTGGAGCACGGGGAGGGGTAAGGCCCCTGCGTCCTGCGCCCCGCGAGTGAGCCCTTCGAGAACAGCTTCCATATTTGCGGCATCCAGATTCGGGAATCCGGGAGTAGGCCACCAGCAAACTTTAAGAGAGACATCTCCGTGCATGTGGGCATAAGTTTGCGACATATCAACGACGTGGTAACCGAGAGCGCACAGACCCGTGATCATCGCACGCTTCTCGCTAACAGGAATGTGAAAATTTTCCGGTTGGTCTCCGTAGTCGCTGTAATATGAACCGATAGTTTCTTTGTAAATGTTTACAAACTCCACGTGTCGTGTCTCTGAGGGACCCAAGTTCGCGTCGTGTTCTTTCTTCGCGTCGATCAGATTCATGGCCGCGCGCAGGTACCGGTTCTTCATCATCGTTCTCAGCCGCTCTATCTCCTCTCGTTGGCGCGAGACAAGATCGTCTCTATCGTGGTGGAGCACCACGCTGAGCGCTTGGCGCGACCTCCCGTCCAAGCTCATGCTGTCGATTTCAGGGCCGCCGAGTTCAACCGCAAAACACCAACCACGCGATGCGCCGGGGAGAAGCCGCGATGCGGCGCGGTCGCAGCGAGGTAAGTCAAGGTGTGAGCGGCGCGCAGCGGTGTGAAGGCGATCAGCGAAGGCGATCAGCGCGGGCGAGGCAGTCGCGTCTCCTCCAAAGTCTTGTGGTGAAAATCTGTGGCAAAGATCTAGCTCCCGAGATCCGCTTGCGCCGCTCGCGCCGCGTCGCCAACGCCAAACCACACGAAACCATGGGCGCCTTCTTCAGCTCCTTCGGCGGCGAGACGACGACGCCGCCGCCAAAAGCGAAGGCCGCCGCCAAGAGCAAAAAGGTCGCCAAGAAGGCCACGGTGCAAAAGAAGCCGGCGGCGAAGGCGAAATCCCCCGCCAAGGCCAAGCCCGCGGCGAAGGCGAAATCCCCGCGCCAACAGGACGAGGACGCGCCGCCGCCCGCCGCGGGCGCCGAGTCCGCGCGCCTCGAGTTCGTCGGCGCGAACGCCGCGAACGAGTCCGGCGAGAGCTCCAAGTTCTGGCAGATGACGCTCAGCGGCGCCCACACCTACGTGGTCAACGGGCGCATCGGGACGGAAGGCACGCTGCAGACGCCCGTCTTCCACGGCGACGCGGCCGCGGCGCGCAAGTTCTTCGACAAGACCGTCAAGAGCAAGCTCAAGAAGGGCTACCAGCCCGCCTAGACTAGGAAGCTAAGGACACGCGTACACAAATTAGAGAAGACGCCCTCCCCGTACCTGCGGCGGGGGGAACGCGTCGCCGCGAAAACGCGAGCGCGAGGGCCCGCGGGATTCGCGGTCGCTCGGGGTCGGATTACTAGAAATGAACGGGTCACCGCGCGCGTGTGTTGAAGTGATGTGGCGCGGCGTCCGGCCGCCCGGAGGGCGGCCCCGACGGGCGCCGCCGCCGCGCGGCGAGCGCTCGAGCCGCGCGGCGGCCGGCGCGCCGCGGCGCGATGTTCGGGCGCCGTCGCGCGCGGCGGCGGCCGCGGGGGCTCGAGCGGCCGCCGCGCGTGCGCGCGCAGCCCGACGCGCTCCCGTGGTTGCCGAATTGTCGTCACTCCCCGAGAGAAAGACACGAAACGCGGACGCGGGCGCGCGCTATCGCGCCGGCGGCCGCGACCAGTACGCGTCCGCGAATCCCGCGGGCGCGACGGCCACGAGCGCGCGGCGCGCCGCCGCCGCGGACGCGGCGTTGCCCTGGGCCGCGAGGCGCTCCGCGAGGAAGGCCCGGAGCGCGCCGTCGTCGCCGAGGCCCGCGAAGGCCTCCGCGGCGGACGGCGGCGCCTCGGACTCGTCGGCGGAGCTCGCGCCGTCGTCGGAGCTCGACCGCGCGCCGTCGTCGTCGTCGTCGTCGACGGGCGCCGTACGGGCCGGCGTCGGCGGCCACGCGGCGGCGAGCTCGGCGTCGCGGCGCGTCCGGTCGCCGTCGGCCGGCGTCGGCGGCCGCGCCGCGAGCTCCGCGGCGAGCTCGGCGTCCGACCGCTCCTGCGACAGGCGCCGCCGCTCCTGCGACAGGCGCCACCGCCGCTCCTGGTCCGCCTCCTTGAGGAAGGCGTCGAGCCCGAACTCGTCGGGCGACGGCGCGACGCGGTCGTCGCCGCCGCCGCCGGCGTCGTCGAAGCCGCCGCCGCCGTCGTCGCCCACGTCGTCGTCGCCGCCGCCAAAGCCATCGCCGCCAAAGCCGTCGTCGCCCATAGACTCGTCGCCGCCATCGAAGCCGCCGCCCACGTCGTCGTCGTCGCCGCCCGGCGCGCCGTCCGCCGCGAGCTCGAGCGCCAAGAGCGTGTGGAGTTCGCATTTCCCCTCGGCCCGGACGCCGGCGAGCCGCGCGGCGAGCCCCGCGGCGCGCTCGCGCTCGCGGTCGAAGGCGGCGTTGGCCGCGTCGCGCTCGGCGGCCAGCGCGTCGAGGCCGTCCGCCTCCCGCAGCCGCCGCTCCAGCGGGCCGACGGCGTCCTGGACGATCGCCCGCCGCCTCCGCTCGTCGCGGCGCGCGCGGCCGACGGCGTCGAGCTCGCGCCGCCGCAGGGCCTCGAGGGCGTCCTCCGCGGCGCCGAGGCGCCGCGCGTCGTCGGCGGCCGCGGCCCGGAGCCGCGCGGCCTCTTCCCGGACCGCGGCGAGCTCGCGCGCGGCGCCGCGCCCCCGCGCCTCGAGCGCCGCGACGAGGCGGTCCTCGCCGGCGTCGCCCGCCGGGAAGTAGTCGTACTTGATCACGTCCCGACTCTGCAGCAGCGTGATCGTGTCGCCGGACTCGAGCCGCCGCGCGTCGGCGATGGTGTGGCCGTTCACCTTCGTCTCGTTGCTCGCGCGCGCGTGCTGCTCGAGGCGCACGCCGTCGAGGTTCACGTGCAGCAGGCACTGCACGCCGGAGACGCGGCTGTGGGCGAGCCGGACGCGGTCCGCGCGCGCGCCGTGGTAGCGCTCGGGCCGGCGGCCGAGCACCACGCTCTCGGCGCAGAGCGCCACGAACTGCGGGTGCCGCGCGTCCGTGTCCGGCGTGCGCACGAGCACGCCCCAGGCGATCTCCGGCGCCGCGGTCATCATCTGCGCTGCGGCGTCATTGCTGCGCGCGTCATTGCTCTGCTAGGAAGGCGGCGCTCTCCATCATGCTGCTCAAAAGGGCCTCTCCCACACAGGTCTAATCCAGAGTGCACCAGGCGGTGGGCAGCCGAGCCCGCTTTAAAACGATGGCGGCCGCGGCTGAGCCGCCAAAGGCAACCCCGACGCCTTCGTCGACGGTCTTCTCGGCGGCGGCGATGCCTGCGATGGTGCGGGCGACCGTCGAGCCGCCGACGATGGCGCCGCGTCGCGTGCCGCGCTACGTCCGCGGGGCGGCGGCGAAGGTCCCGGCCTGGACCTTCGGCGAGGACTGGGCGCGCCACCACTTCCCCGGCAAGTGGAGGCAGCACATGGTCTCGGGCACGTTCGTCCGCATGCTCGAGCCCGAGTGGGGGCTCTTCGTCTGGGACGACCCGGAGGACGCGCCGAGCGAGCTGCGGACGCTGCTCAAGCACGTCGTGTGGCAGGACGACGACGCCGAGGAGGACGCGTGCTACTTCGACTTCAAGGACGTCCACGTGCTCCACAACGCGCGCCAGGCGCAGTACCAGGGCATCGAGAAGATCATCGAGGGGCTCGCGCGCGGGCTCGACCAACTCCCGAGGGACCTCGTCCGCAAGGTGGACCTGAACGTCACGGCCGTCGAGGAGTTCGACATGATCTTCGCGTCGGCGCAGGCCTCGCGCTCCGAGACCAAGGTCAGGAACCCGGGGGCGGTCAAGACCTACGCCGGCGAGCTCGACGTCGACCGGCGGACGGTGTCGTTCAACTTCGAGACGCTGAAGCAGTGGGCGGCCTTCGTCGGCGTCGAGGGCGCCGTGATCGCGAACCACACGTACAAGCCCGACCTCGCGGCCGGCATGATTCCCGCGGCCATGCTGAAGCAGGGCTTCACCGACGCGACGGAGGGCTGGACCGCGCTCATCGACGAGGGGCTCACGCCGTTGGCGGCCAGCCGCGCGGTCTCGAACGCGTCGACCGTGCTCGAGTCCCAGACGGCGCGCGCGCTCGCCGAGAACATGTGGGACGTGACCGTGTACCTCTTGGACACGCTCATGCTCGGCGACACGAAGTTCTACTACGCGATGGTGCCCGACGGGTACGCGACCTTCCCCGCCGCGGACGTGAAGACGCTCTTCGGCATCAAGCTCGCCGGGCACTACGGCTACTTGCCCGCCAACCTCGTGCACTGGGGGAAGGGGTGCAAGGTCGTGACGGCGTTCATGACCTACACGACGGTCCGCGCGACCGGCGTGCCCCTCCGCGGAGTGCCCCGTGATGGGTGTGCGATCAAGTTCCGCCCGACGCTCCTCGCCCGAGCCTCGGGACTAGTGCTTAACTAGGCGTCTTCGGCGTCGTCCGCGAGCGCGGCCTCGGCGCCGGCACGGGCTTCCTGGGCTCCTCGGGTGCGAGCTGCGCGTCGCTCCTCGAGGTAGCTCGCGTACTTCGCGCAACTCCGGTTCGTCTTGCGGTGGCCCGTGACCCCGCAGGCGCTGCAGGTTTCGACGCGTCGCACGTGAATTGTCTTCGGAAAATGCGTGGCTCGGACCTGCCAGTCCCGGATGACGTGGAAGAAGGTGTTGCGGCCGGGCTGGCGCAGCATGCCAATAAACGGCGCCGCCTCGATCTTCACCAATTTATTACAATGCTCTTGAAGTTGACAATGTAGGTCCTGAGGGGCTATATCGGGGAAAAAACACTTCATGAACGTGATAAATTGCGTGCTGTGCGCAACAATCCCGTGGAAATACGAAGATTTCGTGCCGAGGCCCAGGGCTGTGTGGAGACGCAGAAACAGGTCCACGCGAACCTGGTTGCCTTCGAGACAGTCAATCTTCTCCTTGAAAGTCGCCGGCGGGTGGACCCAGGGCTTCAGCAGCGCGACGAGCGACGTGAAGTACTCGTGGTAGCGCTCGAGCTCGGGGACGAGCGCGAGCTCGCCCGCGGTGACGCGCGCGTTGTCGGCGATCATGAGGTCCAGCTCGTCGTACTTGTGCTCGAGATCCGCCAGGGCGTCCTCCAGCGCAGCGCTCGCCTCCTCCGCACCTGTTTCCACGCTCGCCGTGAGCTCCTTGACGTGCTTGATGGCCGCGTCGATGACCTTCTCCTCGTCCTTGATGCGGCGCGTCAGCTCCGCGCTGATGAGCTCCGAGCTCGGGTCCAGCGCGCGCAAGAGCACGGGGAAGGTCGTCATCAGGATTCTCACCTCCCTACCGATGAGCTTCAAACGCCCTCCTAGTATGACGAGGAGCTGCGGCGCCGTCACGTGAAACCGCGCGCAGGACGCGCCCGCGCCCTCGAGCGTCGTCGCGTCGGCGAGCGCGGCAGCGTAGTTCAGGCGGTCGCCGCTCATGATGGCGCCTGCGTTCAGGTTCTCCTTCGAGGCCTTCAGCGCCTCGCCGACCTCGAACTTCAGCTGCGGCTTCGACTTCTCCTTGCCGCTGGCGATGATCTCGATGCCCAAGTCGGCAGCCTCCTTGCGGAGCGCCGCCTTGTCGAGCTTCGCGACGTAGCTGTCGATGAGCTTGGGCGTCGGCGCCGTGCTGCCCGTGCTGCGCGCCTCGTCGTTGAAGTCCGAGACGTCCTTGAGCGCCCATTCGATGCGCTGCGCGACCTACGCAGCGTTCCATCGCTCGTCGTGTCGAGCGATAAAGTTTGCCAAATATTCACGGTGCAGGGCATTAAGGTTAAGTTGAAGAAATTCGATTAATTGCTCAGGAAATGTGCCGCGGGTAGCGACGCGAGGCGAAGCCCTGAGAGCAGCCGCTGGACGCCCGTCCCGTCCTTCGCCTCGAGGGCCGTCGCGTAAAGGACCGCCGTGTCCCGCACCGCCTTCGACACCATGCTCAAGCCCAAATGAACGGGATCGTCGACGGCGAGGAACACCGACAAGAGGAAGTGGAACAAGTTCGGGCCCACGTGGCCCGGGTTCTCGTCGCACCAGACGGCGTAGGGCGTCGAGTCGAAGAAGCTCTCCGTCGTCTCCCGCACGGTCGCCTTCCAGGCCGCCTCCGCCGCGTAGAACGAGTCGTTGATCTTGCCGTAGTACGCCGAGTCTCGAAGATCGCGCCCGACGCCGACGTCGCCCGGCTCGTGGTTGCAGGCGCTGTTCCAGCCGCACTTGTCGCAGACGGCCGTCTGGAGGCCCTGGGCCATGCGCTTCAGGAGCTGGTCCGCGACGAGCGCCGAGTAGTGGTCGACGTGGTGCACGCCGTCGTCGAGCGGGACGTCGTCGCGGCCTACGCGCCGCGCGCGTAAAAGTTGCGGTGCTTTCGACGCCGGCGCGCGCAGGCGTTGCAAATCCCGCGACCCTGGCAGCGGAAGCGCACGCCCTCGCGGTCCGCCGCCTCCAGCTTCTTGCTCACCTCGGGCATCCAGCCGTGGAGCTCCGGGAGGGTTTCGCCATGCGCGCCCATGTACGCGATCTGCGCCGCGTGGGGCGCGTTGACGTGGCGCTGGAGGTTGTGCGAGCGCCAGAGCGCTAGCTCGATGGAGGTCGTCGAGTTGGCCTTGCACTTGTCCGCGCCGAAGGAGTCGAGGATGTAGGGCTTGTCGTCCTTCTTGAAGCTGAAGTTGAACATGTTGAGCTCGTGCGCGGCCCGCGACTCGAGGAGCTGCTTCTGCCCCTTGTCGTAGGGCACGAGGCGCGCGGCTCCTTGGTCTAGATCGACGTCCAGGGGCACGGGCTCCACGTAGGGCATGCTCTCGTAGAAGTCGTGGAACTCGGCGACGGAGCACGACGTCTTGCGCTTGTTCAAGTCGCGGACCATGGGCTCCATCCTGGACATCCGGAGCTTGAGCATGTACTTGTAGGACAACAGGTCGCGCGCCGTGAGGTAGTTCTGCGCGCCGATGAGCGTCGACAGCTCGACCATGACGTCCGCGTGCTCCGCGACGGCCAGGAGGAGCCGCGCGAACTCGCGCTTGTTCGACGCGTCGACCTTGTTGAGCTCCGCGAGCGCCTCGACCGTCGCGTCCAGACGCAGCCCTCGCTCGTCTGCCAGTCCAGTGCGCTTCTTCAGGTCCGGCGTCGAGGTCCGCATGCGCTTGGGCCGCGACAAAAGTTCCAGGGAAAGCCCGATCCGCGACTCGAGCGGCGGCGCCGAGTAGGGCCGCGGCTTCGCCGGCGCGCGCGGCGTCTCCATCGTCAGCGCCGCCACCTCGGGGTCCTCCTCCTCGTCGCTCGACGAGTCCTCGTCGACCGCGTCGTCCTCCACGGGCGCCGTGTTGTCCTCGTACGAGTACTCGACGCCCTTGCCCTTCTTCGTCTGGAGGTACTCCTGGCGCCGCGTCTTTGGCGCCGGCAGCGGCCGCGCGACGCCGAGCATGGCGCCCACGTCCAGGTAGCCGATGTTGCCCTCGAACCCGCCCGTGTAGACGAGGTTGTCCGGCGCCTTGGCCCAGTAGAACCACGCGCCGCCCTTGAAGAGCCCGCCGGCGGACATCGTCTCCTTGCCGACGCGCGTGAACCGCGGGTCCTGCTTCACGGCGCTCCAGTGATTCTTCCACGTGTCCGGCTCGATGTCGATGGCGTCCGGTGCGTAGCGGCCCTGGCCCGTGCTGGAGACCTTCGCGGACGAGCACAACAGCTGGCCCTGGAAGGAGTTCAACGCCTCGACGACGCTGTCGTAGGAGCCCGCGAACGCGCGGGTCCGCTTCGACATAAAAACTGGGCCGCGCTGGTGCGCCTACAAAAGGGTGATGTTAGGACTGCAACGCACCGGCGCGGCCCACTTTTTCTTGCCCCAGGACCGACTTATCGCCCCTCGAGGCGGCATCATCGCCCGGACGGCGACGACGCGTTCGCCCCGAAGTCGCGCGCGCGCCGCGTCGGGGAAGTCGGACGGCGGGAGCTCACCTTATGGCGCAGCGCGCGCGAGCGGGGCGCAGCCCAACTCGGACCGAAAGACGGCGCGCGCGCCCTCGCAAATCACGGGCTGCCCATCGCTCGGGCTCCCTGGTGCGCTGTGCGCCCGCCGGGGCTTTAGACCTGTGCCAAACTGGGTGGGCTTGGCGCCCTGCGCGTCCGCCGCCGCGACGCGCACGCGGCTTAGACGAAGGGTCCAGCTGCGGAACCTGTCGCGGACAGTTCGGCAGCGGATAAAAGGCAGCGCAGAGACGTGGTCGCCAAGAGAGACGCGCGCGCCGCGGCGCGAACATCCCACATTGGACCGCCACCGCGCCAAGGACGGCCCAGGAAGCGACCCGTCGTCGCAGCGTCGCCAGCGACGCGCGCAAGCACGCATCGACGCGTAATTTCAGGCCAGGTTTGGCCGTCCAGCGACCCTGTTGAAGTCGTGCCCGTGCAAGTTGCACATGTCGTCGAGGGCCCAAAGTGACGACTCTAGCGTTCGTACGAACGCGCGCGCGGATGCACGCGTGCAAGCCCGCCCGCCGCAACGACAGATAAGCCGCAGCCTGCACCTACGTGACGCCGCACGCACACAATCATCACCAAAAAATGGATTGGTCGCGCCTCGAATTCGACTCTTCGAGCGACGAAGCCTCGGCCTCCCGGTCGTCGCTGGACTGCGCGTCCATGGACTCGTCGCTGGCGTCCGTGCAGACGCAGCCGATGGACGTCGACGCGCCGACGCAGCACGCCGCAGACGCGCCGCCCGGCGCCCGCGCGGCCGCGGCGCGCCCGCGGCGGCTGCCGGCGAACGCGAACGCGACGTCGCGCGTCTTCGGGAGCCCCGGCCTCGTGAGCGAGGTGCTCACGTGGTGCGTGACCCTGGCGGACGTGGCGCGCGCGTCGTCGGTGACGACGTTCTCCGCGCGCGCGGCGTGGCCGTCGATCGCGCCGCGGTGCGACGACTCGGACGACGAGGCCGTCGGCCACCCGTCGACGCGGCGGCGCGAGGAGCGGCGGCGGCGGCGGCGCGGCGCGGCGCCGCCGCCGCCCGGCGCGCTCGCGCCCTACCGCTACCGGGACGCGGCGCTCGACGCGTCCGTCGTGCTGCCGCGGCGCGTGCTCGAGGCGCTCGTGCTGCGCCTCGCGCTGCCCGAGGCCGTCGCGGCGGACTACGTCGACGTCGCGGCGCCGCTGCACCCCCTGGCGCGGCGCGTCGTCGACGAGGCGGCGTCGCGGGCCGCGTCCGTGCTCGCGGTGAGCCTCACGCCGTCGCGGGGCTGCGTCGAGCAGGGCACGGCGCTCGCGTGCGCGCGCGCCATGGCCCACGGCCCGCTCTGCGCCCTCGTGCGCGCGCCGCGGTCGAGCCAGCGCGCGCGCGAGTCGGCGTCGGCGGCCCTCGACGGCCTCCTGCGCTGCGTCGTCAAGGCGTCGGCCGTCGTGAGCTCCGACAGCGACGACGACGACGCGGCCTCGCGGAGCAGCTCCGCGTCGTCCCTGCCCGCGTCCAGCAAGCTCAAGAACGAGGTCTTCGAGCTCCTCCGCGAGCGCCGCATCCTCCCGGACCTCGCGCGGCTCATCGCCGACGGCGCGCACCGGCCCGGCGCGGGCGTCGGCGGCGAGCACGACCCCCCCGCGAAGCCGACGGCCCACTGCAAGCGCAGCGCCGCGTCCATCGTCTGCGCCATGGTCTCCCACTTCGGCGCGGACCACCTCGAGCCGACCGTGGTCCGCGACCTCGAGCCGCGCGCGCGCGACGCGGCGACGCTGGACCGCCTCGCGCGCGGCTAAAACACACGTTCCCCTCGAGCGTGCGTGCTTCGGTTTACGGGGGGCGGCGAGCGGCCCGCCCTAGAGCTCGGACTTCATCTCCTCCTCGAGCTTCGCCTCCGCCTCTTGCTCCTCCGCGGTCTTCTCCGGCTCCGCGGCGGGCTCGTCGGCCGCGTCCGTGGCGTTGGCGTCCGTGGCGTTGGCGTCCGTGGCGTTGGCGTCCGTGGCGTTCTTGTCGACGACCTTGGCCTCGATGGGCTTCTTCTTGAGCGCGAGGCGCGTCGCGAGCGTCGCGACGGGCTTGAGCTTGAGCCCGAGGTCCGAGACCTTGAAGGCCGGGTCGTCGTGGGCCTCGAGCTTCGCCTGGGCCGCGACGGAGTCGTCGAGCCAGGCCTGGGCCTTGTCGACCTTGGCGACGAGGTCGTCGAGGTCGAGCTGCTGGAGCCACGGCTTCTCCGTCGCCCAGACCTCCGTCGCGTTGAGCTTGGCCGCGTCGAGCGCGGACTGGAACTTGGCCACGGCCTTGGGCCGCGCCTCGGCCTCCTCGGCGCGGGACACGACGGCGGCCCAGAGGCCCTCCAAAGCGCCGCGCTTCTCGACGAAGGTGGACGCGGGCTCGCCGTCGGACTCGTAGAGCCAGTCCTCGAGCTCCGTCGACATGGCCGAGATGGCCTCGCGCTGCGCCTCCGTGGACACGGGCGCCACGGCGTCCTCCTTGTCGGACATCTGGTTGCGCACCGTGTAGATGGCCGCCTCGAGGTCGTTCTTCGCGCCCTCGCGCTCCATGCGGACCGCCTCGGCGGACGCGATGTGCTTCAGCCGGTCCGCGGCGTCCGCGACGTCGCTCTTCTTCTGGGCCCAGAGGCTCAGGCCCGCGACGGACGGCGTCACGGTCAGCGCGCGCTTGTGCGTCTTCTTCTTGAGGATCTTGCCCGGCGTCGTCGCGTTCGTCCCGTTCGCCGCCGCGGCCTCGTCGCCCTCCTCGAGCTTGCGCTCCTCCGCGGGCGCCGCCTCCTCGGACGCGGGCGCCGCCTCCTCCGCGGGCGCCGCCTCCTCCGCCGCGGACGCCTCCTCCGCCGCGGGCGCCGCCTCCTCGGCGGCGGCCTCGCCCTCGGCCGCGGCCTCGGCGTCCGTCGCGTTCGCGTCCGTCGCGTTCGCGTCGGCCTCCTTCTTCTTGTCCTTCTTGTCCTTCTTCTTCTTGGGCTCCTCCGGCGGCGGCGCGTCGACCTCGTACTCCTCGACGACGGAGACCTCGGCCTTGGACAGCGACGACACCCCGGAGCTGTCGAGCGTGAAGCTCAGCTGGACCTTGGGCCGCGGGAGCGCGCCGCTCGCGTTCTGCTTGGCCATCTCGGCGGCGAAGGCGGCGATGCCCGAGATGTTGTAGAGCGCGATGGTCTTCTGCGTGCCCTCGGGCAGCTCCGCGTCGTCGTCGTACGCGAGCTCGCAGACGATGTCGGCCTCGTGGTGGAACGCGATGGTCCGCGGCTTCGCGCCGAGGCGCGCGCCCTGCTTGAAGAGCGTCGCGCGCTTGTGCCAGTCGGCGTCGACCTCGTGCTCCTTCGTGCCGCCCTTGAAGAAGCCGAGGAGGCCGCCCTCGTCTTTCAGGGACGCCGCGTGCGCGTCGTTCGCCATCTTCACGCCCACGGGGAAGGGCGTGTAGTCCATCATGCCGACCTTGCGCACGCGGAAGGACGTGCTGACGTTGGCGCCGTGGAAGGCGGCGCCTAACGCCACGGCCTCGTCGCCGTTGAGGTGCACGGAGAGCTCGGGCACGTCGCTCTTGTTCGTCCGCCGCTCCGCGAGGAACTCCTTGAGCACGGCCTGGACCCGGGGCACGCGCACGCCGCCGCCGATGATCTCGACGCCGTCGATGTCGTCGACGGTCATGTTCGCCGCGTTCAGCGCGTCGACGATGGGCTGCGTCGCGACGTCGAGGACCTCCGCGGCCGCCTTCTCGAGTTCGGGCCGCGTGAGCGTCATGGAGAAGTCGATGTCGTCGTGGAGCGACGGGATGCCCACGGGGATCTTCTCGTTGGCGCTCAGCACCTCCTTGGTCTTCTTCGCCGCCGCGCGGATCTTGGCCATGGCGCGGGGGATCGTCCGGACGTCGCCCTTCTGCTTCTTCGCGTTCCACTTCTTGTTGAAGCCGTCGGCCAGGAGCTCCGTGAGCGCCAAATCAATCGCGAAGCCGCCGGCGCCCTTCTTCCAGCCCTTGCCCTTGACCTCGAACTGGCCCACGGTCTTGTTCTTGCCGCCGCCCTTGTCCGGGAACGTCGAGTACTCGACGAGCGACGCCTGCACGGACTCGGAGCCCGCGTTGTAGAAGAGGATGACCTTCGTCTCCTCGTACTTGCGGTCCAACCCGAACTGGAGCGCCGCCGCCGTGTTCGCCTCGATGAGGCTCAGCACGCGCATGTCCGCGAGCTCCGCGGCGACGAGCAGCGCCTCGCGCTCGAGCTGCGTCGCGAACGTCGGCACCGTGATGACGCAGTCGCGCACGACGTTGCCGCCGTAGGCCCGCGTGATGTCCTTGGCGTAGCTCAAGATCATGGCCACGAGCTCCTCGGGCGTCCACTCCGTCCACGTGCCGCCGTACTCCTGCGTCGTCGACGCCGGCGCGCCGAGCGCGAGCGCGCCGCGCGTCGCGTTGAAGCGCACCGTCGTCGGCAGGTAGGACTTGCGCAGCAGCGTCGTCACCGCCGGGTGCGAGTCGCTGCGCCCGAGGAACTCCGTGAGCCGCGCGTACGCCTGCTCGGGCTTGCGGCTCAGCATGCCGTACGCGTCCGAGCCGAAGAGCCGCTCGCCGCGCACGAAGGCCACGGACGTCTCCGTCTTCCGCTTCGACACGTGGTTCGTCACGATCTCCAGGGGCGCGCCGGGCTGCACCAGCGCCACCTTCATGAACTCCGTCCCGAAGTCGATGCCCATGACGTTGGCGCGCGCCTGCGGAGGGACGACGGGGTCGAGCGCGGGTCAATGCGCTTCCGGAGGCGCGGGGGGCGCGCCGTCGCCGCCGAGGCGAGGGCCACGACGAGGCGAAGCATGGTGTCGCCGCTGGTGCTGCGAACGAGCTACAGGCACTACTCCGCGTGGAGGTCAGCGTCACCTCCCTCGATTGCGCCTCTCGCCGATGTCGAGGGCCCGTGGAGGGGAACCTCAACCATTAGCCCTCGTGCACCGTTGACCCTCAGAGTCTTTACGCCCGCGCCCGGACGAGCGCCGCGTCGACCCGCGCTTCCTTGTCGCCGTCGTCGTAGTCGATGTCGACGGTGCCGTCGTCGTGGGCGCGCGCGACCGTGCCCGGGTACCAGTCGTCCTCGCCGCCGAAGCGCGCGTCGACTCGCGCGCCCGCGGGGAAGGAGCCCATCGACAGCGCGACGGCGCGCGCGAGGCGCTCCTCGGAGTCGTCGTCGTCGTCGTCGTCGTCCTCGAACTCGTCGTCGTACTCCGGCGCCGCGGGCGCGGGCGCCTCGGTCTCGACCTTTTCGGGCGACGGCAGCGACGGCGCGGCGACGTCCGGCGCGGCCTCGGCGCGCGGCGGCGACGCGGCCGGCGACGCGGCGGGCGGCTCGGCCGGCGCGGCGATGTCCGACGGCTCCGCGGGCGGCGGCGCCGGCGGCGCGGCGGGCGGCGACGCGGGCGACGGGGTGAGCTCGGGCGGCGCCTTCGGCGCGGGCGGCGGCTTTGCGACCGGCTTCCTCTTCGTCGTCGTCGTCTTCCTGGGCGGCGGCGGCGGCGGCGGTTCGCAGCGGCCCCGCGCGCCCCGCCGCGCCGTCCCGAAGCGCGTCGCCGGCGGCGCGCGCGTCACGGCCGCCGTGAGCTTCCGCGAGCCGAGGATGAGCCGCCCGGCGTCCTCGCGGCCGAGACCGAGGACGTCCTTGGCGTCCTCGGCCGCGAGGTGCTTCGCGCGCTTCTCCGCCGCGCGCTCCGCGGCGAGCTCGCGCGTCGCCTTGGCCTCGGCCGCGCACATGGCGCGGGTCCGCCCCCCGAGGAGCGCGCGCTCGAAGTACTCGCCGATGCCCATGAACGGTTTTTTCGCCCTGCCGTCGCCGCGCCGCGGCCACGGGTGGCGCGCGACGGGCTGGTGCCGCGCGTGCGCCAGGGCCCGAAAGTGCGCGAGGGCCGCCTCGTAGGGCAGGAGCCGCGGCCAGGCGCGGCGCAGGACGCCGCGCGCGAAGACGGCGAAGACGCGCCGCGCCGCGGATTTCGCCGTGTGCCGCGACGCGTGCAGCCGGTCGAAGAGCGGCATCGGCGGCGGCGGCTTCGGCGGCCCCTTCGCGGCGGGCCGCACGTTCTCCTTCGCGACGGGCTGCTCGTCGTCCTCGAAGGCGTCGGAGCCGTAGTCGTCGTCGTCGGCGGCCGCGACGGCCGCGTCGCCGAGCGCCGCGGCCAGGGGCTCGGTCGCGACCGGGGGCGCCGCGTCCTCGTCGAGCTCGTCGTAGAAGGCGAGGCGCCCCAGGGCGTTGGCATACGTAAACGCCACGACCGCGGCCGCCAGCACCACGTGCGCGCTCGCCTCGGACGCCTTCGCGCCGTCCGGGAACCGAGCCGCGTGCCCGAAGCGCGCCGCGCCGGCGACGCTTCCGTGGCGGTGGCCCGGCCGGCGCTCCCGCGCGTGGAGCTCGCGGCAGACGCCCCGGGGCGCCCGCTGGGGCGCCGCGCCGCCGCGGCGGACGGCGACGCCGCGCGGCGCGCCGCGCGCGCCCCTCCGATCGACGGCGTCGCGGTAGAGCCGGGCCTCGACGGGCCGCGTCGCCCGCGGCTCGCGGCGCGGCGGGTCCGCCGGCGGCGGCGACGCGGGCTCCCTCGCCCAGGCCGCCTCCCGGCGCGCCTCCGCGCGGCGCGCGACGCCGCGCGCGGACGCCCAGCCCTCGACGGGCGCGTCCCGCGGCGCGCGCGCGGCGACGCGGCCGCCGCCGCCGCAGAGGCCCGCGCGGGGCTGGCCGTTGTCCAGCTGCTCGCCCGTGCGCCGGCGCGACAAAACGAGCATCTGGCACTCGTCGCAGACCTGCTGCCCGACATATTTAAAGACAGCGGTGCTGCCGCAGTTGACGCACGTGCGGCGACCGACGACGCGCACGCCGCCGGCCTCGGAGCCGCGCGCCGTCGTGAGCTTCGGCCCTTTGTCCCAGATCGGCGCGCCGGCGCGCGGCCGGCTCATCGGGGCTGCCGCCATCGACCGGCCGGGCTACGGTCTTTAGCCTCAACGTGACGGAAGGTATCAAACATCTTCTGAGCGAGACACCACTCGTTACGACAACGCTGCGCCTCGCTCGCGGGGTTTCGGGCGCGTCGCTGCGTCGCCGGTGCCGGAGCCGACCGGCGTCGCCGCGGCGGCTCGCGACATGATGGACGACCGGTTCATGACCATGTCGCTGGGCTCGAAAGGCCCGGCGACGATCCCGAACCACCCGCGCAAGCCGCGGGAGTGCGTGACGAACCGCGTCGACGACATCGAGGGCGCCCAGTCGGAGCTGAAATACCTGCGCTACACGTCGCGGCGGCCGAACTTCTACGTCACGGACGACATCGACGGGTCGCACCCCATGAAGCTGCACCCGCGCGGCGTCGGCGGCGTCGACCGGCTCGCGGAGACGGACATCGAGGGCAGCAAGCCGCGGCCGCTGCACTTCAAGACGGAGCGCCACGTGAACCCGCTCTGCCCCGAGTACACGCTGCCGAGCTGCGCCCTCGACATGCCGCCCGTGCCCAAGTTCGTCCGCGACGGCTACGGCATCTCGGACATCGAGGGCACGGCGCCGCGGAGCCGCTTCCGCTTCGCGCAGCGCGAGACCTACGACGTCAAGGACATCGAGGGCGCCCAGGCCGGCTGGCGGCCCCGCCACGAGCGCGTGCGCCGCGAGGGCCCGCCCATGGACAGCCTCAACGTCAAGGACATCAACGACATCGGCTTCAAGACGACGCGCGTCACGGACCCGCTGCGCCCGACGCACCGCATCAACGGCATGGAGGTCAAGGACGACATGGTGCGCACCATGCCCAAGAAGCTGCCCAAGCCCCACGACGGCCCCACGCTGAGCCTCTACACGGACGACATCGAGGGCGCGCGCTGCGGCTGGAAGCCGCCCCACGAGATGCAGCCGCCCCTCGAGAAGCGGCGCCACTTCCGCAACACGAACTACATCGGCGACATCACGGGCGCCCAGCCCGACACGGTCAAGCACAGCATCCGCACGCAGCGCGAGACGAACCCGCTCCACCCGGCGTACCGGTCGCTCGACGGCGACCTCCTCGGCGACCCGACGCAGCCCGACTTCACGCACATCTTCGCCCACCTCATGCCCGAGGGCGCCGCGCCCCCGGCGTCGGCGCCGCGCTCCGCGCTGCCGTCGCGCGGCGCGCTCGCGTCGCGCGGCGAGGCGCCCGCGCCGTCGGCCGTGGACCGCTTCGTCCTCACGAGCGCCGACGGCCGGCCGCGCGTGCCCACGGGCGGCAGCGACCGCCCGCGCACGAACGTGAGCCGGGGCGCGTCCAACAGCCGCGGCGGCACGGCCTCGGGCATCCGCATGGCGACGCCCTCCATGAAACGCGAGGCCGCGCAGGCCGCCGCGGACAAGGCCGCCGTCCTCGCGCTCCCGGCGTGATGACGGCGCGCCCGGAACGGCGCCACGGCCCGGGGCGCGCGGCGCCGGTCGTAACATCCGAGAGACTTTTGAGTGTTCATTGAACTTCAATCGGTGCTTCAACAAGCTGCCCATGGCATGATGATGGTGCGATATCACCACTTTTGCTTCCTCGCGTGGGCCTGCGCGGCGGAGCTCAAGTTCGTGCGCTGGTTCGAGCTGTCCTGCGCGCGCTGCGGCAGCTCCTTCTTCAACGAGATGGTGTCGTCGCATCCCTGCGTCTTCTCCGTGGGCGAGAAGATCCCCATCCTCGCCGCCCAGCGCTGGCTCCAGACGCGGCGCAAGACGGCCGAGCCGACGCCCGAGGACCTGCGCGCGGCCCAGGACATGGCCTTCGCCCAGATCGAGAAGGAGGTGCGCGAACTGAACGACCGCGAGGTCTCGCGCGGCCACGGCGAGCGGTTCCCGGGCTGCCCCTACGTCATGGTCGGCGGCAAGCTGCCCTACGAGCGGCTGCGGGCCGGCGGGCGCCCGGGGTCGAACACCGAGCATTCGCGCCGGGAAACGCCGAAGAAACGCCCAACCCGTAGGCGGCGCGGGCGCGCCGTTCGACGACACGCTCGCGCTCTTCGCGCCCGGCGCCTTCAACGGGTCCCACAGCGCGGGGCCGGCGCGCGTCGTCTTCAACCTGCGGACGAACTCGCTCGATCGCGTGCTGAGCCGCTTCGCGCCGGCCCTCTACGGGAGCGAGCACGGGTGCACCGCGGCGGGCTACGACCACTGCATGAAGTCGACGCACGCGACCGTCGACGTCGCCTGGCTCGTGGCTCAGATGCGCGAGAACGAGGACACGCTCGCCATGGTCCACGACGAGGTGCTCGACACGGCGAAACGCGTCGGCGCGCCGTTGCTCGCGGTCCGCTACGAGGACTTGCTGCGCGACGCGGACGCGGTCTTCCAGGCCTACGTCCTGCCCTTCCTGGGCCTCGACGCCGCGCCGCTCCGCCCGGTCCAGGGCCACGTCCAGGCCAAGCCGTCCGAGGGCCACGTGAAGCGCACGGGCAACCTGACGCACGCGGACATGATCGACAACTGGGCGGACGTCACCGCGGCCGCGGCCGCCGCGGGGCTCGAGGACGCGCTCGTCGACGAGGCGTTGCGCGACGCGACGGGCGAGGTCCTCGTGATCAACCCGCTCCCGGGGTGTGAGGCGCGGGGGCGGTAAAATGGTGAGCCGTTGAAGAAGTTTTGTTGAACTTCAACTTGCGATTGAGGTAGTCATTTCCTTCCGAGCTGAGGAAGGATGGCCGCGGCGCTCATGATTTGCGCCGCCGCGGCGCTCCTTGGAGCGTCCACAACCCATGCGCTCACCCCCAAGACGTCCGCCCCCCCCGCGCAAACGTCGTGGCTGTCGTCCGCCGTCCTCGAGGCCCCCGCCGTCGAGGCGCCGCCGGCGGCGCCCTCGTTGCTCCCCGCGACCTGGGACGACGCCGCTTGCCTCGATGAATGCGCCGTCGAGGACGCGGTCTCGACGGAGTACAGCCCCGTCGACCGCCTCACCGACATGTGGGCCGCGGAGCTGAACTGGGAGCGCGAGGACGCCGACGACGACGAGGCGGCGTTCCTCGACGAGGAGGCGGCCTCCGCGGAGGACGACGCGAGCGCGCTGGACGCCCTCTGGCTCGACCCGGCCGTCGAGCTCTACGAGTCGCTCGACGCGGCGGCGCGCGCCGCGGGCTCCGCGGACGAGCGGCCGAGCTGGGAGCTCGTGGAGACGTTCGAGGACGGCGTGCCCGTGCGCCTCGGCGGCGACGACTTCGTCTTCGTCAACGAGGACGCGTGCAACGGCTGCGGCATGTGCTCGAAGATCGCGCCCGCGACGTTCTTCTCCGAGGCCGTCGACGGCAAGGGCCGCGCGTTCGAGCAGGGCGGCGACGCGCGCGTGGCCGTCGACGAGGCCATCTTCGCGTGCCCGCGCCAGGCGATCCACCGCGTGTCCTTCGAGGAGCTCGTGCGCAACGAGCGCGCGCGCGTCAAGACGGAGCTCGTGAACTGCGGCGCCGAGGCGGCCGACGGCAACGCGCCGGACCCGCTCAACATGAAGTGCTACACGTCGCACTCGTGCCCGCAGGCGGGCTGCTACAACTGCCCCATGTGGCGGACCCGCGGCGACAACCCGGCCTACCAGGAGAAAGAAACCGCCAACGACGAGCGCCGCCGGCGCTTCCTCGCCGCGGAGCGCGCCGCGTTCTTCGCGTCCGAGCGCGTCGCCCACCTTTGATCAAACGCCCCCCTCGCTCGCCGCCGCCGCGCCGACGCCCCCTGTCTAAGCCCCGACCTGTCCGATCGAGCTTAGGCCGCCACGAGGCCGCACTTGGGGTCCGTGGCCCAGCCGGCGACGGCGGCGACGAGGTTGTGGCCCTCGCGGTGGTTCGTGACGCGCGCGCCGGAGAGCCGCGGGAGCGTGATGGAGTAGGTCTCCTGGACCTCGGGGAGGCGGCGGCGCGCCTGGGCGTCGTCCCAGACGTCGTCGTCCGCGTCGTCGTCCGTCGCGTTGCCGAGGAGCCGCCGAGCCTCGGGCCGCCGGGCCTCGAGCCGCCGCCGCGCGCGCGTGGCGAGCATCGAGCCCGCGCGTCCCCCGGCGGCCGCGCGCTGCTGCGCGCCGCGCGCGCGCTGGCGCTCGCGCGCGCGGGGGTTCGGCGGCGTGTCCGTCACGTAGTCCATCTTGTGGACCTCCGGCAGCCCCTCCTCCGGGCACTCGGGCACGAAGGGCGGGTCGTGGGCCTTCGCGGAGTTCGACGTGCCGTAGAAGTCGATGACCTCGTTGCAGCCGCCGAAATACGACGCGAGGTAGGACCCGCCGCCCTGGACGCTCACGAAGGAACTGGACTGGCCCAGCGCGACGCCCATGAACTCGTTCCAGGTCATGTTGCGGTGCCTCTCGGGCCGCTCGTGGTACGCGTCCGCGAGGATGACGGTCCCGGGGAACTCCGCGCGGATCATGGCCTCGTCGCGGATCTCCGCCAGGGGCTCGGCCGTGCGCGCCTCGGCGTCGCTCACCTCGCAGCCCCCGCGGCCGCACACTCTCAAAATGCCCTGCATGCGGTTCGAGTCCTGGTACTCGTCGCCGCGCTCCTTCGAGAGCCCCTTGAGCCGCGCGTCCGCGTGGTTCACGCGCACGTAGATGGCGCGCACGCGCGGCACCATGGCGTCGACGGCCGCCAGGACGCGCCGCAGCACGGAGTTGGCCATGTACTGCTTGCAGCAGAGGTCGCCGCGGCCGCCGCAGGGCCCCGTCGCGCACGGCCGGCAGTCCAGCCGGTTGAAGATGGCCACGGTCTTGGCCGCGCCGTGGTCCAGCACGGGCGCCATGGCCGCGAAGTGGGCGCGGATCGGCGGCGGCGCCCACAACAGAGGCGTGTTCGCGAAGTAGCCGCCGACGATGCCCGAGAACGTCATCTGGCCGCCGTGGCGCAGGCACGGCAGGTTCTCGTGGGCCGGGCTGAAGAAGTAGAACATGGACAGGTCGCCGCAGGACGACGTCTTGGCCACGGCGCCGCACTGGTGCATGAAGTACTCGTGGGGCACCTTGGTGACGAGCTCGGGGCCGAACTCGCCCGAGAACGGCTTGTGCCCGGCCGGGTCCGACGGCCGCGCGCGCGCGTGCTTGCAGAGCCAGGGCAGCGCGCCGGCCGGCGGCGCGTCCCAGACGCCGCCCTCGCCCCAGGGCCGCGCCAAGCGCGCGAGGAGCGGCGACGCGGGGTAGAGCGCGACCGCGGCCCTTCGCAGGTCGCGCTCGGCCGGGTACGGCGCGAGCCGCGCGCCCGGCACGGCGCCCGGCCCGCCCGTCATGAGCGCCAGCGCCTTGGCGATGGCGCCCGCCGCCGTCTCCTCGAGGTGCACGGTCTGGCGGCCCACGGACTCGAGCAGGTCCGCGTCGCAGAACAGGCCCTTGGTGTCCTTGTGCAGGCCGTCGCCGCAGAAGATCACGTGCCGCGCGCCCAGATACGCGAGGCTCGCCGCGCCGACGCCGCCGAAGCCCGAGACGTAGAGGGACGCGTCCCCGAGGTCCCGCAGGATGGCCGTGAGGTTGTGCTGGGGCACGCCGCCGCGCCACGCCTCGTCGCGGCCGACGACGGCGACGTCCCCGTCGAAGAGCTTCGCGACGGCGTCGGCGGCCGCCGTCGTCTCCGCGGCGACGACCTCCGACTTGACGCGCTTGCCGCCGTTCCTCACGCCGTAGTCGCCGTCCTCGAGGTTCGTCGCCCAGAGCTTCACCTTGAAGCCCGCGGCGACGGCCGCCCGCGCCATCTGGACGACCTGCCCGAAGGAGAAGCAGCTCGCGCGCACGAAGGGGCACGTCTGCGCGCGGCCGTCGCGCGCGAGGTGCGGCGTGCTGATGACGACGACGCGCGGGTCCCGCGCCGCGTCGCCGCCGAGGCTCCGCGCGCGCGCGGGCGGCGGCAGCCGCAGGCGGCTCGAGATCTGCACGTCGCGGTTCGTCCAGTAGTGGAACATGCCGCGGTTGTTGCGCGGGTCGAAGCGCCGCTCGCAGGGCCCGTCGACGTCGACGGCGTCGACGCCGCCGTAGAACGCGCCGAGGCCGCCGCCGCACGTCTTCGCGACGACCGGCGGCCGCTGGCCCGGCTCCCAGTGGCCCCGCTTCTCGACGAGCGGCCAGGGCGGCGCGCAGAGCGACACGCTGTGGAACACGGGCGCGTGCAGCAGGATGTCCGTCTCGACGCCGCCCTTGTGGTTCCCGTTGTGGTTCGGCGCGAGGTGGTGGCCGAGCACGCCGCAGATGTAGGGGATCGCCGCGAAGAGGGCCGCCGCCGAGTCGTCGTCGATGGCCGACGTCGCCGTGACGGCCAGGAGGGTGATCGTGCGCAGCAGGTGCATCGTGGACGAGCGTGGGCGACTCGCGATCGTAGGCCTTGACCCAGGTCTGGCCGCGGAGGGTCGTGGTTTGGTGCGCGCGGCCGAAGCAGCGGTGCGCCGACGTGCAGTAGCTGCCCCTCTCGTCGTCACACGATACGCATCATCGATCGCGCGCGCGACACTAATGGCCTGAGTGGGGTGTTGCTGCTGCGTTGCGGAGTCAATCCGGCTGCGACGCGAGGCGAAGGCCGATTCTCGACCTTCGGCGTCGTCCAGCGGCCGGGAGCGCCGCCCCTCGCGCGCCCGGAGGTCGCGAGACAGCCGGGGCCTACGGCACCCGCGAGACACCCGGCAAAGAACCACACTCGGGTCCTTCGTCGCCCGCGAGACACCCAAGAACACAACATGTGCTGCGCCTGGCTCTGCGCGCAGATCTGCGCCTTCCTGTCGTCGCTCTTCCTGCTCGTCTTCGACTTCGCGGACTTCGCCATCGGGGCGGCCTTGGTCCTCGAGTCGGGCCTCGTGCCGCCGGGGTCGGCCTACGTCCACCGGTTCCCGGCGAAGGTCGCCGTCGCGGCCTACGGCGGGTTCCTCGTGCTCTTGGCCGGCGTGTCGTGCCTCGGCGTCGGCCTCAAGTCCGTGAAATGCTTGATCGCCGCGTCGGCCATGGCCGCGCTGGGCCTCGTCGTCGAGCTCGCCGCGGCCTTCCTCCTGCTGAGCGACGTCGACGTCGCGGAGAAGTACGGCGTCGACGTGCCGCGCGCGTGGGCGCTGATCCTCGCGGCGGCCGCCGCGCGCCACGCGCTGCGCCTCGGCTTCTCGCGGAGCCTGCGGTCGTCGCGGGCCGTCTTCGCGGCGACGCGCGCGTACCGCCGGAGCGCCGAGGACACGGACCGCGCCGCGCAGCTCTCGGAGCGGCTCCTCGCGCGCCGGGGCGAGCGCGAGGAGCAGCGGCGCCACTTCAACGACAAGTACTTCGGCGGCAAGACGCCCGAGGGCGACCCGACGCCGCCGCCGTCCAACCCGCCGTCGACGGAGCTGCCGTCCTTCCTCCTGAGCAAGGAGAGCCACTACGCCTCCTTCGAGGTCTGAGGGGATAACCATTTTTAGCGACCTACTTCTTCGCCGTCTTGCGCTTCTTCTGGGCCGGGTTCTTCGCCGCGGGCGCGGCGCGCTTGCGGTCGTCGACGGCGCCGAGCTTCGCCGCGAGCGCGACGACGGCGGAGGACGCGTGGCCCGCGGCGACCTTGGCCACGGCCTTGCGCACCTTGGCGAGCTTCGCGCCCGGGTGCTTGCGCGCGACGGCGACGGCCGCGTCGAGCAGGGCCCGGAGCCGGTCCGTCTTGTGCATCTTGTCGTCGCGGCCGACGAGCGCCGCGCACGCGTCGAGCGCCGCGTCGGCCTGGGCGTCCGTCGTCTCGACGGCCTGGAAGACGTCCTTCAACAACCCGAGCGCCTCGGCGGCGAGGAAGGGCGACGGCGCGGCCGCCGCGAGCGCAGGCAGGTCGCCGAGGAACGCCGGGCCCGCGAGCGCCGGCGCGCGCGCGACGCAGTCCCTGAGCAGCTTCGTCTTGAGCTTGGACTTCTTCGACGCGAAGCAGTCCTCGAGCGCCGCGGCGTAGGCGTCCGCCGCCGTGGCCCGCGCGTCGGCGTCCGCGCAGTCCTTGAGCGCGCGGCTCGCGGCGCCGCACGCGCGCGCCGCGACGTCGGAAAAGTAGCCCTTGCCCGTCGGCGTCTGCGCCAGCCCCTCGAGGAGCCCCTCCAACAACCCCGCGACGGCGGCCTCCTGGTCCGCGGGCGCGCGGCCGCAGGCCTTGCCGAGCTTGCCCTCGACGAGCTTCGCGAGCCGCTTCGCGAGGTCGCGCGCCTCGGGGACGTCGGGCCCCTCGTCGAGGTCCATGGCGAGCTTCGCCAGGGGCTCGAGCGCGCCGAGGCACCGCGGCCCGTCGCCGTCGCCGCCGACGCAGCGCTCGAGGAGGTCCAGCGCGCGGAGCTTGAGCTGCAGGTCCGTGCGGTACGCGTCCTGCTTGCCCGCCTTGCGGCCCGCCTGGCGCGCCGCGAGCATCGCCGCCTCGACGTCCTTGTTCTCCTCCTCCTTCTCGAGGTACTCGGCGAGCGCGTCGCCCTCGAGGAGCACGTCCTCCTCGCTCTCGTCGCCGCCGTCGCCGCCGCCGCCGCCGACGACCATCTCCGACTCGGAGACGTCGTCCTCGTCGTCCATGTCGTCGTCGTCCTCGTCGTCCACGTCGTCGTCGCTGCTCTCGGTCTTGCGGACGCCGCCGGGCCCCGTCGCGATCTTCAGCGGGTCGCTCTTGCAGGGGACGCACTTCGTGCCGAGGAGCCCCGCGACGGCGTCCTCGTCGAGCGCCTCCTCGTCGTCCTCCTCCTCCTCGTCCTCCTCGTCCTCTTCTTCTTCGTCCTCCTCGTCCTCCTCGCGCCCGGACACGGCGTCGACGAGCGCGGAAAACGCGGCGTCCGACACGCCGCCCGCGGCGGCCGACGCCCAGGTTTTCTTCACGAGGTCGCGCGCGAGCTTCGAGGCCTTGTGCGTGTGCGCGCAGTGGAGGAGCGCGACGCACGCGCGCGCGACCATGAGCGAGGCGTCGGCGCCGCTGTCCGCGGTCCGCGCGGCGGCGCAGTCCTCGAGGATGGCCGTCACGGTGGCCACGCGGCTCTCGACCTCGGAGCCGGGCGCCGCGTGGTCGCAGAGGCACGCCGCGAGCGCCGCGAGCGCCCGGAGCTCGACGCCGCCGCCGGCGCCGCCGGCGACGAAGCCGGCGACGGCGTCCGCCGCCTCGTCGTCGAGCGCCACGACGCGGGGCAGGGCGGCAAAGGCCGCCATGGCCTCTTGGAAGCCCTCGAGCGGCGCGAGGCCCTCGGCCGCGAGCGGGCCTTTCGTCGCGTCCGCGAGGACCGCGTAGAGCACGTCGGCCGCGTGGCCGCGCGCCGCGGCCGACGCGCCCTCGACGGGCCGCGCCGCGACGCCGGCGGCGACGGGCGTCTCCAGCCGCAGGAGCGCGGCGCCGTCGCGCCCCGCCGCGCCCGGCCCGAAGAACGCGACGCGCGCGGCGACGGCGACGGCCGCGTCCGCCGCGCCGGGCGCCGCGCGCGCCTTGGCCAGGGCCGCCAGGGCCTCCAGCGCCCGCGTGCGCGGCGCGCCGCCCTCGTCGAGCGCGGCCGCGCAGAGGCCGCGGACGTGGCGCCGCTTGTCGTCCGCGTCGAGGCCGCCGACGAGCGCCGCGACGGCCTTCGCCGCGGCCCGGCCGCCGCCGCCGCGCTCGAGGAGCGCCGTCGCGGCCTCGAGGCGCCAGGCGCTGTCGCGGTCCTCCAGCGCCGCGAGGCGCTTGAGCGCGGACGCCGCGAGCGGCGCGAGGTGGCCGTCGGCCTTGTCGGCCGTCTTCGCGAGGAAGCCGCAGAGCGTCTCCGTGAGCACGGCGCTCGGCGGCGCGCCGCCCTCGAGGGCGCGCAGCGCGACGACGAGCGCCGTGCCCCGGCGCTCGAGCGTGCCGCGGCTCGCGTGCGCGTCGAGGACGGGCGCGACGACCGCGCCGTAGTCGGAGCCGCCCGGCGCGGCGCCGCCGTCCCCGTCGCCCGCGGCGACGCCGCAGGTCGCGAGGACGAGCTCCCAGGCGACGTGCACGTTCGGGAAGACGTGGGACGCGCCGCCGAGGGGGCCCTCGAGCGCGAGCTCGTCGCCCGGCGCCCACGCGCCGGGCACGGCCGCGGGGCCGGCGACGCCGCGCGCGGCCGCGTACGCGCGCCAGGCCAGCGCGACGGCGAGCTGCTCCGCGTCGAGGTGGGCCAGCGCCAGGTCGCCGACGGTCGCCTCGAGCGCCGGCTTCAGCTCCGCGGCGTAGCGGTCCTCCGGCGCCCTCGGCAGCAGGCCCGCGACGCAGCGCGCGCCGAGCTCCCGGAGCCACTTGCGCGTGCGCGTCAGCTCCAGCGCGGCGACGACGAAGAAGACGACGGCGTCGCCGTCGTCCACGCCGCTGCGCGCGACGCAGTCCGCCGCCAGGAGCTTCGCGAGGTCGCACGCGCGCGCCTCGCGCTTGTCGCTCCGGCCGCCGCCGCCGCCCTGCGGCGCCAGCGTCTCCTGCGCGTGCGCCACCACGGCCGCCGGCGCGACGGCGCCGGCGCGCAGCAGGCTCGTCAGCGCCGTCGCGCAGCCGACGCGCGCGCCGTCGCGCGGCGACAGCAGGCCGCCCATGAGGCGCTTCAGCGCGTAGGCCGCCATCTTCTCGTCGCCGCCCTGCACCTTTTCCAGGAGCGACGCGACGGCGGCATTGCGCGTCGCGGCGCCCTTGCTCGCCAGCGACCAGAAGAGATCGAGGAAGGCGCCGTCCATCGTGCTCGGCTTGCGTCGCGGCCGTGCTCGGCGGCGGCGCAAAGCTTCGGCTGTGTCGCCAATCGGTGGAGCAACAAGTTCATCGTCGGCTACTCAGGTTGAACTTGTCGACGAGCCAAGCGACGCCTCAAGCGACGCGCCGGCGACCTACAAGTTAAACGCGCAGGCCTACACTAACATCCAACTAATTTACTTGCTGAATTTCGCTGGCGGGGAATGCGCAGGGGGGCGCGGCGGCGGCGCGGCTCTCGTGGCGGCGGGCGCGCGGCGGCGGCGTTCGGGGGACTTCAAGTTGGGCGCCTTGCTGGAAGTGCTGGAGGTCACCGTGACGGTCACGCCTCGGCCGGCTCGGGGTGGCCGGCGAGGGCGAGCGAGTGCTGGCCCGCAGTGGGGTACTTGAGGTCGCTGGCGGGATTTTCGGCGTAGGGGTCGTCCGGGTCGACGGCGTCCTCGGGGAGGATGATGTGGAGGAAGAGCGCGGCGAGGAAGCCGATGCCGTAGGTCGTCTTGAGGAGGATGATCGTCGTCGTCCGGTTCGCATCCTTGGTGTCGTCGTACTCGAGGCAGCAGAAACCTACCAAGCATGTCGGTAACAATTTCTCTTCGTTTTCCCGGTCAAAATCTCTCGAAAATCGTCACCGCCACAGGACGCTGCCGAAAAGCCGTTGTTGTTCGTGCAGGTCTTGACCGTCTCCGTGACGTCCTCGGTGACGGCCGCGGCGTAGACGCCGCCCAAATCCGCGCACGTCGTCTCGAAGGCCTCGTCGCCCGACGTCCACACGTATCCGTCCAAATCGCAGGACGCCGCCGTCACCGTGTTCGTCGTCGTGACGGACGGGAAGACGTCGCAGGTCTTGTGGCGCGGCCAAAATCCGATGTTGTGGCGAAGGTTGCCGCCGTAGAACGCCGCGGGCCCGCCGCCCTCGAAGAGCTGGGGCTCCATGCCGACGCCGATGCCGAGCGCCAACGCGACCATGAGGATGTAGTTGTTGCGGCGCGTCGCGTGGCGCGTCGCGATGTTCATGCCGGAGACGAAGACCATGGCGAAGCACTGCAACACGACGCCGCCGACGACGCAGATGGGGATCGACGAGAACGCCGCGCCGATCTTGCCGATGACGCCGAAGAGGATCAGCCAGAACGCGCAGGCGAAGCCCGCGGCGCGCGACGCGCACTGCGTGAGCTGGATCACGCCGTTGTTCTGCGAGAAGGTCGTGTTGGGCGGCGACGTGAAGAGCGCCGCGAGCAGCGAGTTGACGCCGTCGGCCAGCAGCCCGCCCTGGACGCGCGACTCGAAGTCGGCGCCCTCCGTCGGGAGCCGCGAGTAGAAGCACGTGTTCGTGACGTCGCCGATGGTCTCCGCCGTCGAGACGAAGAAGCCGATGACGATGGGCAGGAAGTACTCCTTGGAGAAGCCCAGCGGGAACGTGATGTCCCAGAGGAACGTGAACCACGGCGCGTTGCGGATCTTGTAGTCGTTGAAGTACTTGTACTTGCGGCCCGGCACCGCGGCCACCATGACCGCCTGGACGCGGCCGTTGGACGTGTGGAAGTCGAAGGTCATGTCGCCCTCGACGGCCTCGTAGCGCGACACGCCGGCGACGAAGCAGCCGAACATGAGGCCCCAGAAGATGCACGTACTCTTGAGGAAGGGGCTCCCGGCGAACTGGGCGAAGACCGTGAACGCGATCACGGACGCGGCGAGGCCGACGTACTCGGCCGACCCGAACGGCAGGATCACGTTCCCGTTCTCGTTGCAGTACTGGGGGTCGCCGAACGCCGCGGCCCGGGAGAAGTCGTTCTCGCCGCAGAAGACGCCGCCGCCGACGTACTTGATGCCGGACGAGATGAGGCTCACGCCGATGAGCATGACGGCCGCGCCCGTGACGACGGGCGGGAAGAGGCGCTTGCGGACCTTGGACGGCATCATACTTATGGCGATCTCGAAGAGCGACGCGACCATGCACGTGCCGAGGAACTTGCCGTAGCCCTCCTTGCCGAAGCCGCGGCAGTCGCCGCCGTCGCACTTGCCGGACGCGGACGCGTCGCGGATCTCGCGGATGACCATCTCGCGCGCGATGGGCAGGAACGTGAACGACGTGCCCATGACCGAAATCAGGCCCGTGCCGAGGTAGAACGGCGTGCCGAGGATCTTCGCGCGGAAGACCTGGATGATCGTGAGGATGCCCGACGTGATCCACGCGGCGGAGATCATGTACTCGCGCGCGTCGCACATGGCGGAGTCCTTCTGCCAGGGGAAGCACGCGTCGCCGGCGATGAGCAGGCCGCCGGACGTGGCGATGCCCGCGACCATGGCCAGCGCGTGCTGCAGGCCCATGGTGAGCGCGACGACGAGCGGCAGGCGCTCGTCCTTGGACAGGAACTTGGGCGGCGCGACGCCGCCCTTGGACCAGGGCATCGACGGCAGGCAGAGGTACTTGTAGTCGTACTTGTCCGCGCCGACGATGCCGCCCGGCGGCATGCAGACGTTGCCTACGGGGAGGGGGGATCGCGTCGGAGGCCGTCGGAGGTCGCGCGTCCGCGGATGGTGGTCGAGACGGACGAGTGCGCGCCCGCGAGATCGCCTCGGTCGCCCCGCGGCAGGGTGCGAGGCCGCGCCCGCGAGATCGCGCGACGACGAAAGATAGTTCGAAAACGACGACGGACGCCGCTCTGCACAGCCGGCGCCCGTCTCGTCCATGTCCGGCGAGAACCCCATGTCCGGCAGCGGCTCCGCCGGCTTAGCCTCATCGATGCTCTTCTCCTTGTCCGTCTCGGTGAGCGCGACGCCGGCATCCGCGTCCATCGTGCGAAGGTTGGACTCTTCCTGGTGGACGTTCCCAGCCGGCTGCAACGGCCTCGGGCAGCCGGAGTCGAATTTCAAGAACCGCGTCACTGCATCATGAACTCATCGACGGCTTGTTGAACCACAAGTTAACCGACGCTTACACGACCTCCTTAAACAAACAAGCGACGTCACGCGATCTTGTAGCCCTTGGCCTTGATCGCTCGGGCGGCGTCGCGCGCCTTGGAGACCGGGACCTTCGCCCAGCCCGCGGGGAGGCGCTCGCCCGCGACCCAGATGGGCTCCCAGCGGCCGTCGAACTCCTTCAGGACCTCGAAGATCTCGACCTGCGCGGCCTCGTTGAACGGATTGGCCTTCTCCGGGTCCGAGATGCCGACGAAGATGGAGACGCGCCGCTCCGCCTCCGGGGGATCGTTGCCGTTCGGCTTGATCATCGCGATGCGCGCTTCGAGCGCCGGTTTGGAGGCCGGGTCCTCGTACAGGCCCTCTATTCTCTCCTTCGGCCCCGTGCCGAAGGGGACGCGCGGCGGCGGCGCGGCGGCGGGCGCGGGCGCCGGCGCCAGCGCGGGCGTCGGCGTCGGCGCCGCGGGCGGCGCGGCGCGCGCTTCCTGGGCGGCCATGAGCCAAGCGCGACGAGCGCAACGGCGCGAGCACTGCGGCGAGCGATGCGCGTCTCGGAGCGCTCAGAAGCGGCGCGCGCGGCGGCGCGAGTGGGCGGCGGCGGCGCTCTTGCGGCAGAGCCGAGCGGCCGAGCTCTCTGAACCTCCCTGGATAAGCCACCGCTCTCTGAGCCTCGCCGCGCGCCGCTGATCTTGTCCACTGGCACTCGCCTCTCGACCGTGCGATGAAGGTCGTCCACGTCGACGCCGAGGGCACGCGGCGATGCTACCTCGAAGATAGCCGAGGCGACGACGAATTCCTCGTGAGCGCCGGCTCCGGCAAGAACAACTACCTCTTCTGGACGCCGCTGGCGACGCTGCGCGCGCTCGGCGCCGAGGATGCGCCGCTCGACGGCCGCGCGCTGCGCGCGTGGCTCGACGGCGAGCGCGGCGCGCCCGTGACGCCGCCGGCGCGCGCGAGCGTGACCTGGACGTCGAAGCGCTTCGGCGGCGCGGTCTACCGCGTCAAGGCCGGCGCCGTCGGCGCGTGGCGGTGCTGCGTGGCCTACGACGACGGCACCATCGAGCGGGGCGTGCGCTACAACCGCGTCGCCTGGGACGACGCGAACGACGGCGAGGCGCACGCGCCCTGGGCCGACGCGCCGAACCCGAAGAAGCGGAAGACCGACGACGACCCCGCGGCGGCCGCGCGGCGCGCGGCGCGCGGCGACGCGGTGCGGCCCCTGCTGCCGCGGGGGCGCGGCGGCGCCGCCGAGGACGTCGCGGCCTTCTTCGCCTTCGTGCACGAGCGCCAGGAGATCTGGCGGAAGCGCGCGACGGGCGGCGACCCGCCGTGGACGGACGACGGCCTGCTGCGCGAGTACGTCTTCTGCAACAACTACCGCGAGCTCGACCGGGGCACGATCTACTTCCGCCGCTGCGTGGAGCAGCGGAAGCGGTCGCGCGCCGCGAAGCGCGGCGCCGCCGAGGCGCCGGAGGCCGCGTTCAAGGACGCGCTCTGGGAGAGCCTCGCGTATCGGCTCCTGAACAAGATCGAGACCTTCGCGTCGGCCTGGCGGCCCGGCGGCGGCATCCCGTCGCCGGAGCCCAAGTCCTGGAACGCCTTCGCCGCCTTCCTCCGCGACGCGCACGCGCGGGGGCCCATCTTCTCCAACGCGCACCAGACGATGGGCCTCGAGCGCTACCTGGCGACGATGGGCGACGTCCGCGCGCGGCTCGGCGCGCTCGGCGCGGAGGTCTTCGCGCTGCGGGGCGACGTCGAGGCCGTCTTCAAGAAGCTGCGCACGCTGAACAACGTCGGCCCCTTCCTCGCGTGGCAGGTCGTCTGCGACCTCTTCGAGTCCGACGTCTTGGACGCCGCCGCGACGGAGGACGACTGGGTCATGCTCGGCCCCGGCGCGAAGCGGGGCCTCGCGCGCTGCTTCGGCAAGGTCCACCCCATCGACGAGCTCGACCTCGCGAAGCTCTTGGCGAGCGTCCAGCGCGACGCCTTCAGGAGCCTCGGCCTCGACTTCGCGTTCTTCGCGGGCAAGCGCCTCACGCTCAAGAACGTCGAGCACTGCCTCTGCGAGTTCGAGAAGTACCGCAACAACGGCGCGGGCATGCGCCGCTACGCGAGCCGCGCGCACCTCGACGCGGACGTCGTCTGCGCGGTCTGCGAGGACGCGACGGACGCGAAGGACGCGGACCTGCTCCTCTGCGACCTCTGCAACGTGCCCCTCCACACGTTCTGCCTCGACCCGCCGTTGGACCGCGTGCCCGAGACCGCCGAGTGGCTCTGCCCGGCCTGCGCCGGCCGCTGGGCGTCGTCGAAGTAACACGCTGGCTTGTTGAAGATGCACCGTGAATTATCCGCTCGTGCGCCGTGTCGTTGAAGTAAAACGTTGGCTTGTTGAACAGCATCGTGGGCTCGCATGTCGAATTCGCCTCCAGGGGAAGGCTGCCCCGGGCCACAAAGCCGATGGCTCGATTGCGCGCCTTCCTCCAGAGCCTGACGACGGGCGAGGCGGGTTTTATGAATGTCTGCGTCGGGAGCACGGCCTTCGCCTTCGCGCTCTACAAGCACCAGAAGGAGCACTTCGAGCAGCTCGAGGACGAGCGCGAGGCGCGCTTCCACAAGGAGTACGACCTCACGCTGGACCGCATCAACGCGACGAAGCCGGAGACGCTCCTCGACGCCCTGTCCTGGTACACGCGGGCCCTCGAGGCCGAGGCGAAACAGGCGGGTGTCTCCGACCCCACGCGCGACGAGCTCGCGGACGAGTGGCTCCGGCGGAAATTGCGTCCCAAGGAGGACCTCGCGCTGGGCGTGCGGGGCATCCCCGACGCGGCGCGCGCCGACGAGAACCGAGCGCAGTTAAAGCGCATGTGGACGTCCGTGCGGCGCCTCTACGCCAAGTACCCGAACATCGCGCACGGCCGCGACGAGATCAAGGTCGACCTCGACGACGGCGTCGCGCGGTCGACGCTGCTCCACCTCGAGCCCCTGGACAAGGCGCTCTGCCGCGCGACCCCGAGCTGCGACTGGACGCGCGACTGCGACCCGATCTACGCCTTCATCCGCTCGCAGTGGGGCGTCCCGGACGCGTGGCCCGGCGAAGACGACCACGTCTCCGACCTCGCCGAGCCCCGGTCCCGCGTCGCCGTCGCCATGTCCCGCGCCGCCAAGGGCGGCGGCAACCGGTACCGGCGCGCGACGATGGCGCGGCCGCCCGGCGCGTAGGCGAGGTGCCCGAGTAGTAAAACGTGCGCACGCCGCCTGGGACTCGGACCCCGGCGGGGGGGGATTTTAAGGTCGATGGTGAAGATGCCCCAAGTTTGTCTGGAACTTCCCTGGGTGGGCTGCGCCGGCTCGCGTGAGGTGCCCCCTGGCCCCCGCGAGTGTCCCGGAGAGTAGGTAATGGCCCAGGGGTCAAAACCTGTCATAGGTCTGAGAACTGGTGAGCGTTAAGCATGTTGAGAACGTCAAACAGTCTCCTAGAAGAGTCTTACTTTAGCATGAACTTCAATAAACCAGCTCTCTCTTGAAACCACAAGTGAATGGCAATCCACGTGCAATCAGATTCTGGTAGCTGCCCCGCCAGCCAGGAAGTCTTGTGGCTTCGTCAAGTTATGAACCTCGGTGTCGCTCTGACGCTGCTGCGCGACGTCGGCAACGACGAGGCGCAGGAGGCCGCCGCGCGAGCGCTGGTGCTCTTCGCAGTCGACGACTGCAACAAGGCGGTGATCGCTGCGGCGGGGTCCGTGCCGCTCCTCGTCGACCTCGTCGAGCATGGCGGCGTCGGTGCCAAGGAGCAGGCCTGCTGGGCGCTCACGAACCTCGCGGTCAACCCATGCCTCCGGCGAATAATCGCCGAGGCCAGCGGCGTCGAGACGTTGTTGCTCGCGGTGGTCGAAGACGACGGCAGCGACCTCTGCCAGGCGATGGCCGCGGCCGCGCTGGCGAACATGGCGTGGGACGACGACACCGCGGCTATCATCATGGGCATGGGCGCCATCGATGCGCTCGTCGACCTCGAGCGGAGCGGCAGCGCCCTCGTCAAGGAGATGGTCGCCTGGGCCCTGGGCAACCTCGCGTGCTCCAGCCCCGACGTCCGGCTCGCGCTGGCCGGGGCCGGCGCGATCCCGCCCCTCATCGAGCTGCTGCGAAGCGGCACCTACGGCGCGCGCGCGCGCGCCGGCCGCGCCCTGGCCGTGCTCACCTCCCACATGGCCGACGAGAAGGGCGTCCTCGCGCGGGCGCTCGAAGGCCTCGGCGCGCTCCAAGACCTGGGTCAGCTCGCAGGTTCGTGCGGCTGCACCCCGACGTACAAGTGCGGCCCGTGCGCGCACGCGGAATTCAGCGTCATCCAACTCTGACAAAGGCCGAAGGGCCGAGCAGTCGGTTCCAAGGACATTCGCAGAATGTCATGTGGATTGTCAACACGCGCGCGCGCGGTCTCCTAGTTCCCAGGTGCAGCGCCACTTCAGAACCCCCCTCCCCCCGCCCTCAATTCGAAACGAAGCGCGAGGGCTCCGCGCCCTGCCGCGCACATGAAGTGTGTTAGGCGAGTTACGAACCCAGCCCGTCGAGGTAGCGCAGCTGGGCCGCGTGGCGCTCCGCGGCGGCGTCGTAGAGCGCGAGGTCGCAGGCGTTGCAGGCCTCGAGGGCCGCGCGGAGGTCGGGCCGGAGCGTGTCGCGCGTCTCGGCCGCCGCGCCGAGGCCCGCGTTGCGCCGCGCGTCGTCGATGCTGGCGATCCAGGGGAACCAGTGGGCCAGGGACCGCTTCGACCCGGCCCAGTCGTCCTGGAGGCCGACGACGCAGTGGCGCAGGCGGTCGACGGCGAGGCCCGCGTCGAGGTCGGCCTCGTAGGCCGCGAAGAGCGCGGGCTCCGCGGCGCGGCGCGCGTCGACGTCCTCGGGCAGGCGGCCGCGGTGGAGGCTCAGGCCCAGCGTGTTCTTGCACATGGCGTCGCAGAAGCCCTCGTCGCGGTAGCGGCTGAAGGCCGAGCCCTTGAAGGCCCGCAGGAGCCACTCGAACTCGCCGAGCGGCAGGTCGTTGACGCGCGCGCCGCCGATGTCGTCGCGCTGGTAGACGCGCTCGTAGTAGAGCGACACGGCGCGGTCCACGGGGTGGCGCACCATGGTGAAGCAGGGCGGCGGCGCCGCCGCGTCGTAGGACTCGAGGTCGTCCCAGACGCCCCACTCGAAGTGGCCCGCGAGCACCGCGAGCTCGGCGTTCGGCCCGCCGTTGGCCGCGGACGCGTTCGCGACGTCGAAGGCGTAGCAGCGGTAGTCCTCCCAGTAGGTGCCCGCGGCGTCGTAGCAGGGCACGTAGAAGGCCAGGCCGCGCGCGCGCGCGGCGTCGACGACGTGGCGCCGCAGCGACGAGCCCGCCGTCTTCTCGTGGTGGAGGAACAGGAACGGCCGGCGCGCCGTCGGCAGGCGCTGGACCGCGGGCAGGCCCCGGCGCTTCGCCGCCGCGAGCCGCGCGACGCGCCGCCGCACCTCGACGTCGAGGGCCGCGCACGCCGCGGGGTTGAGCGCGTGTTCGCCGCAGAACGCGGACAGCTCGCCCTGGAGCGCCGTCGCGTGGCCCAGCGTCCCCGCCAGGACCACGGGCCGGCCGTCGATCTGCACGGGCACCTCCAGCACGTCGCAGGTCTCGGCGAAGAGGCGCCAGTCGCGGACCTCGAACGTGCCGGCGCCCGCGGCCGCGGCCGGCGGCGGCGCGCGGTGCGGCGCGGGCGCCTGCTTGTGCGTGACCGTCGACACCCCGAGGCCGCCGTAGGCGCCGTCGACGTCCAACGTGACGTGCGTGCGCACCGCCGGCAGCCCCTGCTGGAGCAGGCGCCGGCGGAGGTCGACGTCCGCGGCGGCGCCCCCGGCGCCCCGCAGCCAGACCGCGACCGCGAGACGCTCGCCCCAGGGCACGGTCACGTCGAGCGTGGAGAACTCGTTGAAGGCGCTCGCGCGGAAGCACGCGGCGGCGTCCAACGCGTCGACCTCCGCGACGCAGAGCTCGAGCGCGTCCGCGTCGAGAAGTTCAAAAAACGCGGACCGGTCCTCCTCGGCCGCGCCCGCGTCGCGCAGGACGACCTCGGCGACGAGCTTCACGAGCGCGTTCGCGCCGTCGGGCGCGGCCTCGATGACGACGTCGCTCACGTGGACGCGCGGCGTCGCGAGGGCCGTCCGCGTCGGGCAGCGATGGACGTTTTCATCGTCCGCGGCGACGGTGGCGCTCGCCGGCGGCCCCCCGACGGCGCCGAGCGCCGCCGCGACCCCCGCGTCGAAGCGGTCCGCGTCGACGGCGAAGTCCGCGTCCTTCGTCGCCCAGGGCCCCTGGAGCCAGGCGCGGTGCGCCCAGCGGAACCGCGCGCCGTCGTCCGCGCCCGCGCCCGCGCAGACGGTCACGGACGACGCGCCGCTGAGCGCGGCCTGCCGCTCGAAGTGCCAGGCCTCGCCGCACCACTTGGGCATGGGCAGGAGCACGACGGCGGCCCCGGGCGGGAGGAAGATGACGTTGTGCAGCGCGCTGCCGTACTGGGCGACGAGGACCGCGCAGCGCGCAAAGAGCGCGCGCTGCTCGTCGAAGGGCAGCTCCTCGAGGGCCACGGCGACGAAGTCGAGGCCCGCGGCGTCGGCGCGCGCCCGCGCCCTGCCGGCGAGGGCGTCGAAGTTCGTCAGGCGCCGCGTCGACGCGCGGCGGACGAAGACGACCGCGCGCCGCGCCGCCGCGGGCGCCGCCGCGGGCGCGCCGAGGAAGTCGCGGAAGGCGCGGTAGCGCGACCGCTCCTCCGGCGCGACGGCCCGCGGGTGCGGCGCGCCGGGGTCCGCCGCGCGGGCCGCGGCGGCGTCGTGGCCGAGGGCGTAGTAGGACTCGGCGACGTCGAGCTCGACGTGTACGGCGGCGAAGCACGACCGCCCCTCGAGCCCGTCGAGCGCGGCGCGCGTGTGGATCGGGTGCGCCGTGAAGCGCCGCAGGAGCGCGTAGGGCGTCTCGCCGTAGACCGTGCGCGCGATGTTGTCGCCCAGGACCGCGCGCTCGTCCTCGTTCGCGACGTCGAAGATCAGACGGGTCCGCGCCGGGTCCGGCGCGCCGCCGCCGTCGCGGGCCAGCGCGTGGTAGAGCGGCTCGAGGATGTCGAGGATGAGGTGGCCGACCTGCCAGGTGAGGATGTTGAGGACGTAGGTCCGCTCGCCGAACGCGCGGTCGCAGCGCCGGCGCTCGTAGGGCTCCGCGGTCGCCGCCGCCGCCGTCGCGTCCGCGCCGTCGTGCCAGAAGAGGCCCCACTTGCTCGCGCCGAGGATCCGCGGCGGCGCGCCGTCGCGGCACGCGCCCGGCGCATCGCAGACCGCGCCGCGGAAGAGGGCCGCGGCCGGGTCGTGGACGACGAACGCGCGCCCCTCGTAGCTCGCCCAGCGCAGCGACGACCAGGTCTGCGCGTTCGGCACCGTGTCGCGGCTGCCCGTGCGCAGGGCCGTCGTCTTCGGGCCGGCGACGGCGCAGCCGTCCTCGGGTGGGAGGTTTGTGGGGTCGAGCGCTCTCTGGACCGCCTCCTCGCAGGCCCAGAGGTCGCGGGGTGCGACGCCGAAGCACGACGTGCCGTTCTGCAGCGACCAGCGCGCCGCCCGCGCGAACGCGGCGCCGTCCGGCGGCGTGCGGCAGCGTTGCGCGCGGCACGCGTGCGCGACGAGCGCTACGACGAGCGCGCGCATCGCGCTGCGCCAAGGGCAGCCCCTCGGCATCTTGGCTTCAACAGACATCTTGCAGTTACTTATGGCGCCTGCGTCCAGCAAGGACGGCGAGGTAGCGGATATGGTAGCCGCGGGCAGCGCCCGCGGGCTCGCGACGACGTCGATGAAGAGCATACTCATCAAGCTCAAGGCGGCGCGGCCGCTCAACCTCTTTCGACCAAAGGAGCTCAAGCGGGACAAGCTGGCGAAGCAGCTGGGCAACAACCCCCCCGGCCTCGGACCGCGCGTCGCGTCCTGGAGCATCACGACGGCGGGCCACTGCTTCGGCGGCGGCGTGCTCTTCGGGTCCTACGACGTCGCGAAGCGGCTGCACGCGTTCCACGGGCTGCCCGACGCGTACTCGGACTGGGCCGCGGGCGCGGTCGCCGGCGCCGCGCACGCGCTGGCGACGTCGCCCCTCGTCGGCTACCAGCGTTCCGGGCGGCTCGACGCCTTTGAAGGGTTCAGGCAGCCCATGGTCGTCGTCCGCGACTCCGCGTCGTACGCGTGTTTCTTCGGCGTCTACTCGCACCTCGCGCCGCGGGAGCGGCGCGGCACGCTGGCCGCGGCCGCGGGCGGCGCGACGGCCGGCGGAACGGCGGGCATCGCCTGCCACGCCGTCCGCTTCCCCCTGCAGACCGTGTACAAGCGCGGAAAGGGCTGGATCGACGGCGCGGACCTCCGGCCGTCGGCGCTCGCGCGCCGCTTCGCGACGACGGGCGCGCGCGCCGGGCTGTCGGCGGCGGTGGCTTTCGGGCTGCTGGAGGTCGCGATCGGCGTGCTCGACGAGGACGACGTGGGTTAATTAATTGTTGTTGAAAGGAACTTGAAGACCCGTGATCAATGTTGATGAGTTGCCTAATTCACACTTTCGGACGGTTTGAGGATGGCTTCGAGAGGATCGTCTTCGAGTGGCTTCTCGATCGAGATGTCACCGTGTGTGGGCACGAGGAGCTTGGCAACGAGAAGAGCTATCCTCTGCATCCTCGTCGTCGTCGGCTGCGACGCGCTCACGCACACCTCATCCTGGCTGCCGACGGACGTCCACTACGCGACGGACCTCGATTTCAACGGGCCCGTCGTCGACTACTTCGAGGACGCGCCGGAGTCGGGCTGGAGCATCGGCTTCGAGCCGGCGGCCTACGACGCGATGACGCGCGACGAGAACCGGACGCCGCTCTACGAGCGCGCGATCCGCGACCGGCTGCGCGGCGCGCGCGGCGCGGTCGTGCTCGACCTCGGCACGGGGCCCTTCGCGCTGCTCGCGCGCTTCGCGGCGAAATACGGCGCGGCGCGGGTCTACGCCGTCGAGGGCGACACGGCCGCCGCCGCGCGCGCGCGCGAGACCGTGCGGCGCGAGGAGCGCGCCGGCCGGCTGCGGGAGCACCAGATCGTCGTCCTCGAGGGCTACTCGACGGCCGTGTCGCTGCCCGAGCCAGCGTCCCGCGGCCGCGACTATTTTCGGGAGAGTTCGACCGGGGAAACGATGGTCACTTGGTAGGCCCGAGCGCGTCGACGTCGTCGTCTCGGAGATCGTCGGCGCCGTTGCGACCGAGGAGGGGTTGCGCGTCGCGCTCCGCGACGCCGCGGCGCGCTTCGCGAAGCGTCCCGCGGACCCGCGGTCCTGGATCCCGGCAACAATAACCACGGTGGGCGCGCCGGCGGTCTACGCGCCGCACGCGCTGACGCCGGACCTCGACTGGCGTCGCGTCGCGCGCGCGGCGCCCATGCGCTGCAGCTGCCGGGACCGCGCGCTGAAGCTGCTCGCGGCGCCGCAGACTTTGGAATTCGTCGACTGCGCGCGGCTGCTCGACGACGCGGCGCCGCGGGGCTGGCTCCGGGGCCCCGAGGCGGCGTGGACCGTCGACGCCGACCGCGTCGAGGCCGCCGCGCGGGAGCTCGAGCCCGCGCTCGCGCCCGGCGGCTTCCTCGCGCCCTTCGCCGGCGGCGCGCCGGCGGCGACGGTCGCGGCCCGCGTCGCCCGGACGTGCTCGGGCGTCGCGATGTGGCCCGCGCTCCGGCTCTCCGACGACGTCGCCGTGCGCGCGCGCGGCCCCGGCGGCGAGCCCCGGCGCTCGTCCTGGCAGACCGTCGTCGCGCTCGCGCCGGCGGCCCTTCCGGCGTCGCGCGTCCGGTGCCGGCTCGACGCCGCGGCCGCGGCGCGCGTCGACGAGCTCCCGCGCTACCGCCTCCGCCAGGCGTGGGACTGATGAACAGGTGAGTTAACTACGGGGAGCGCCGGCCCCGGGGCGAGCCGCGCCCTAGCCCTTGGTCGCGAAGCGCATGCAGTGCGTGTGGAGCGCGGTGACGACGGACGGGTTGTCGGACGCGAGCTTCATGGTCTTGGTGCGGCTGTAGGGGTTGCGGAGGCAGAAGAACTTGAGGGGCGTGTGCTCGCCGGCGTACTGCTTCGACTGGATGTTGGAGCACTTGAAGGCGTGCGTGAGCGCGTAGGCCTTGTACTTGAAGCCCGTGAGCGGCTGGCCCTGGAACATGCGGACGACGATGTCCTCGTACTGCGCCTTCGTCGCGTAGAGCTGGAGCACGTGGCGCTTCGCGACGGCGCCCCCGACCACGAAGTACATGCGCTTCCAGGCCGACATCTTCGACGGCGCGACGGTGCCCGCGGACTTGCGGACGAGGCACCAGCCCTTGGCCGTGTCGACGGACGCGCGCGACCGCTCGAGCACGAGCGTCAGCGGCCGGGGCAGCGTCTTGACCATGTCGAGGCACTTGGCGTACGGGAGCTTCGTCGCGTCGACGCCGTTGATCACCAGCAGCTTCGACCCGACGACGACGCCCTTGCGCTCCGCGGCGCCGCCGTCGATGACCATCGTCACGACGGTGAGCTCCGGCCGGTTCTCCTGCGAGTCGCCGGGCGTGAAGGAGTGGCGCCGCTCGAGGAGCATGCCCAGCTTCACCTCGGACTCGAAGGCGACGGTGTAGCGCTCGAGGTCGCCCGACCCGGCCTCGGCGATCTGCGCCTGGAGCGCGACCTCGCCGCCGCCGTCCGCGTCGTCCTCCTCGGCGTCGCCGCCGCCGCTCACGAAGTCGCCGATGCCGTCGAGCGCGTCGCCGAGGGACGCCGCCGGCGCCTCGTCGACGGGCGCCGCGGGCGCGGACGCGAAGACGTCGAGCGGCGACGGCGACGCGCCCGCGGGCGCGTACGCCGCGAGCCGCGGGTCGCTCGGCGCGGGCGGCGGCGGCGACGCGTAGACCGGCGCGGGCGCCGGCGGCGGCGGCGCGTAGACCGGCGCGGGCGCCGGCGGCGCGTAGACCGGCGCGGGCGCCGCGGCCGCGGGCATGCCGAGGAGGTTCGGCTGCGCGCCGTACGGGTTCGGCGCCATCGCCGCCGGCGGCGCCGCGCCGTAGGGGTTCGGCGCCATGGGCATGCCGTAGGGGTTCGGCGCCATGGGCATCGGCGCCATGGGCGCGCCGTAGGGGTTCGGCGCCATGGGCATCTGGTAGGGGTTGGGCGCCTGCGGCGGCGCCATCATCGCCGGCTTCGGCGCCGCGGGCTGCGCCTGTTGCAGGTTGTTCAGAAAATCTTCGTTGCTCTTCTCGAGAGAGCTTCCGCTCAGGAGGTCCATTTTTGTGCACGCGGCAGCCGAGGATGCGGGCGTTTATGGCGCCACCTCGAATCGCGGAGCTCGCGAGCGCCGTCTGGGTGGCCGGGGTTGATCGACGCGCCCAGGAGATGCCCAGGACGCGCTGAGGACGCGCCGCTCGACGCCGCCCGCGCACAGCGGCGCCGGCTGCGGGCAGCCCACTCGACAGCCTGTGAGGCCTACAACGACGAGGCCTTACTCCGCGGGCAGGAGGTCGAAGGCGCGCGCGGCGAAGTAGCGGTCGTCGTGGAGCGTGTCCGTGGACCGCGCGGAGACGGCGGCCTTGGCGAGGCGGCCGAGCGTCGCGCCGTCGAGGTCGCTCCGGCGGTAGCCCGCGCGGTTCATGCGCGCGAGGACGTCGAGGCCGAGGATGGCGCGCGCGAAGGGCGGCGGGTCGTCGTCCGGGTGGCCGACGCACGCGCGGAGCGCGGTGCGGAACGTGACCTCGTTCGGGTCGACGCGCGCGTCGGCGACGCAGCGGTCGAGCACGTCGAGCGCCGCCGCCGCCGTGCCCTCGCCGTCGTCGCGGGTGTGCCGCCGCCGGCGGCCGCCGCGCGCGGGCGCGCAGCACGCGCGGATGACCGTCGTGTAGGAGAAGACGTCGGGCCGCGCGGCCTCGTCGACCTCCCTGGACATCTCGTCGAGGAGCGACGTCGCCTTGGTCAGGTCCCCGGCCTTGGCGCAGACCCGCAGGCAGATGTTGTAGGTCACGGCGTCGACGGGCACGCCGTCGGCCTGGAGCTGGTCCAGCAGCGCGATCGCGGCGTCGCCTCTCCCCGCGGCCTCGTACGCGTCGAGCACCGCGTTGTAGAGCTGGATCGACGGCCAGTCGCCCGTGCCCTGGGCCGCGCGCCGCTTGCAGACCATCATCGCCGCGTGCGCGCCGTCGGGCCGCCTCGCGCGCGCGCACGCCGCCGCGGCCGTCACGTACGCGCGCTCGAACGCCGCCGCGCGCGCGTCGGACCCGCGGCTATCCGCGCGCCGCGCGGGGCCCTCGCCGCCGTCGTCGTCGCGCGCGAACTGCTCGAGCACGGCGACGGCCGCGGCCGCGTAGGAGTCGCGCGTCGCCTCGCTCGCCCTCGCGTCGCCGTCGAGCGCCGCCGCGGCCCGCTTCACGGCGTCCAAAGCGGCGACCACTCCGTCCGCGCGGTAGTCCGGCTCCCAGGGCGCCGGCGTCGACCCCGCCGCCGCCGCGCGGAGCTCCGACAGCCGCGCGAGCGCGAGATCCGGCCGCGCGGCGTGCCGCGCCGCGTTCACGGCCGCGCCGAGGGCCTTGAGCTCCGGCGCGTGGCCGTGGGCCGCCATGGCCGCGAGGATGCGCCCCGGCGCCGCGGCGTCGCCCTCCTTGACCGCCCGCTTGGCCCCGCGCCTCGTCGCGGCCCGCTTCGCGCCGTCGACGGCCAACCGCTCCGCCGCGAACACTCCCAAATTCCAGTCCCGCGCGTCCACGGACAGATCCTCGTCGTCGACCTTCTGCGCCTCCATGTCCTCGAGCACGTGGAGCGCCCGCCGCCAGTTCGCCGCGCCGACGCAGTGCTTGAGCACCTGCCGATAGAGCCGGCCGTCGGGCCGCGCCGGGAACGCGCCCCGGAGCCGCGCGGCGCCCAGGAACCGGTCCGCGTCGGCGGGCCGCTTCGCGCGCGAGAAGGCCTCCAACGCTAAATGCCACTCGCGCGCCGTCCCGTTACGGCCCAGGCGCTCGACGTCCTCGAGCACGGCCCGGGCCTCGTCGCACGCGCCGCTCGCGCCGTAGGGCCGCAGCGCGAGGCACGCGTCGCCCTCGCTCGGCGCCTCGTCACTCCCATCGCAGGCATCGGCGAAGCGCGCCCAGGCCGCGCGGATGCGGCTCGCGGAGCCGCTCCGCGCCTCGGCCGAGAGCGCGCGCCGCGCGTCCGCGACGCCGTCGACGGCGGCGTCCGCGGCCGTCGCGAGCGCCGCCGCGACGTAGTCCTCGTCGTCGCCGCCGGCGAGCAGCGCCGCGAAGAAATCGTCGTCGTCGTCGTCGGGCGCCGCGGCGGCGACGCCCGCGTCCGCGTCGCCGAGGAGCGCGGCGAAGACGGCGTCGTCGTCGTCGGCCGCGACCGCGGCGTCGACGTCCACCGCCGCGCCCGCCGCGACGGCGACGTCCACCGCCTTCGGCGCCGCATCCTCGGGCGCCGCGTCCCGGAGCCGCTCGCGGAGCACGGCCGCGGCGCCCTTGGCCGGCAGCTTCGCCGCCTTGCAGGCCGCCTGGAGCTCGCGATAGCTCAGCGCGTCGAGGTCCGCCGTCGCCGCGCGGAGGAGAGACGCGTGCGCGCGTCGGTGAGGCGCGAAGGCATGCGTCGTCGCGAGCACGGCGAGCAGCAGCGCGAGACGCGTCATCGCACGCCGTCGAGAGGTCAACTACACCGAGCTGAAGCCGAGAGAGCCGTGTCCCACACGTCTCCAGACACAGCTATGTACAATGACCCCCTTCCCCTGCTAGACGGAGGCGTAGGCCCGGCCGTCGTCCTCGTCGATGTCGAGGCCGTCGTCGTCGTCGTCCTTCTCGTCGCCGTCGGCCGGCGGCGCGTCCGCGGGCTCGTCCGGCGGCGCCGCGGCGAGGCGCGGCGCGGGCGGCGCGGCGTCGAGGGGCGACGCGGCGCGGAGCTCCCGGTCCTTGAGGATGGCCTCGAGGGGGAACTGGGCGCGCATGGACAGGGCCTTGTCGAAGGAGAAGCCCGGCGCCGCGTCGCGCGCCTTCCGGAGGTGGCGGACCGCGCGGTCCTCGTCGCCCGTCCGGCGATACAGCAGCCCGAGCTCGTAGTGCGCGAAGGGCCGGTGGAAGGGGTCCTCGAGCCCCCGCGCGTCCCCGAGCTCCGCCGCGCGCGCGAGCAGGTCCTCGCAGCGCGCGTCGTCGACGCGGCAGCACTGGAGGAGCGCGCCCTCGCAGAGGCACGCGGCCGCGAGCTCCTCGCGCGGCCGGTCGTTCTTCTTCGACGGCTCGTAGCGCGCCTCGGCGGCGTGCTGCACGGGGCGATACAGATCGAGGAGATCGAGCAGGTGCGGGTCGTCCCGCGCGTAGTGCGCCAGGTGCCCCATCATGAGCAGCAGCTCGGGCAGCGCGAGCTTGGCGAGCATCGCGCTCGACCGCGTCGACGCGACCCGCGCGCGCCGCGCGAGGACGGCGTCGACGCGGCCCTTGTCCGGGTGTTTCAGCAGGGCGGCGTAGGCGTCCCTCGCGCCGTCGACGTCGTCCAGACAACTACACACCGCGGCGATCCACGACAGCGCCATGCACTTGGCGCCGTAGTCGCTCTCGGCCGCGACGAGCGGCGCGAGCGCGGTCCGCGCCTCCTCGAAGCGCAGGTCGCCGCAGAGGAGCATGGCGTGGTCGAGGCGCGGCCGGTACGCGACGCGGCCCGCCCCCCCGTCGAGGCTCGGCCGCCGCCCGCCGTCGCCGTCGCCCTCGACGCCCGCGGCCGCGAGCCGCGACACGGCGCCGAGGTGCGCGAGCGCCGACGCGCGGTCGCCCTTGCGCCGCACGGCGTGGGACGCGGCCCAGTGCGCCGCCGCGTTGTCCGGCATGCGCCGGAGCTCGTCCCGGAGCACGTGGAGGCCCTCGTCCAGGTACGCGTCCCGCAGCGCGTCCTCGCCCGCGTCCTCGTGGCGCCGGCTCATGGCCACGTGGAAGAGGGCGACGCCTAAAGCGGCGTGGCGCCGCGCCAGCGACCGCGGGCTCCGGTGCACGGCGTTGAGCTGGCGGAGGCCCTCGTCGCCGTCCGTCACCGCCTGTGTGGAATTCGACCACCGGTTTGGGTGGTCCCGACCAAACTTCAGAATTCTCTCGCTCGATCACATCGAAGTCGATTCGGCTGATCTTTGGACGAATCGATTGCTCTCGTCGAGTTCTCGAAGCACAGCCGAAGAGCTTGCGTCGAAACTGTCGCATATGCGCACATTGAAGTCGGGTTGAAGATTTGAATTCCACGCAGGTCACCGCGAGCGACGCCGTCGCCACCGCGAACGCCGCGCGCGCCGCCGCGGGCGCGAACTCGAGGAACGCGGCGAAGGCGCCCCGGCCCCAGCGCGCCAGGCCCGCCGCGACGGCCTCCGGGTCGCCGTCGTCCTTGCCCACGCCGAGAAACAGCACGTAGGACCGCCGCAGGTCCAGCGCGCCCGTCACGAGCGCGCCGTTCGCGCACCGCAGCGCGCCCCGGTAGAGCCGCAGGAGCGCCGCGCAGGCCGTGCCCTCGTCGACCTCGCGGCGCCGCGCGGCCGACGCGTAGGGCAGCCGCGCGGCGAGCGGCGCCACGACCCAGCCGAGAAGGCCGCCGACGAGCGGCACGCGGTGGACGCCGCCCGCGCGCTGCGCGTCCGCGACGCCGATGGCCTTGTCCAGCGCCTCGCCGGCGGACGCCGACAGCGCCGTCGACCCGGAGACGAGGGCGCGCACGAAGTGGGCCTCGCCCACGAGGAGCGCCTGCACGGCGTCCTGGACCGGCGCGCGGTCTCGCTGGGGCTGCGACAGCACGACGTCGAACTTGCACGCGAACGTCGCGGCCTGCGGCTTCTCCCAGCGCGGCTCGTCGGCTGCCATGGGTGGCGGCGGGCAACGTGCGCAGCGGCACTGGCCGGAATCAGGGATAAGCCGGGTCACGTATGATGGTAATCCCAGGACCTGTCCATCCTTAGCCCATGCGCGCTCATGCAGGGCTGCATTCCCGATTCAAGCACGGCAAATGTTAGCCTCCTTGCAGCTGCAAGTACGGGAGGTCAGACGAACACTGGAATTGCACCTCCCAATCTCAGTTGACAGCGCTTTTGGGGCAGCCCCGCAGCGGCGCCGTTCTCGGCCGGCGTCGAGCCATGAAGGGCATGCGGCTCCGCCCGGCGAGCGCGCCCTTCGCGTCGTCGCCGGCGAACCAGGCCGAGGACAAGCTGCCGCGCACCGTCGGGTGGCTCATGCCCATCGACCCGGCGTCCCCGAGCTCCCGCCCGAGGACGGCGCCGTCGGCGCAGACGCCGTCGCGCCTGCCCTTCGGCGGGTCGCCGAGCGGCGGCGCGTCCGTCGCGTCCGGCGGGTCGCGGCGGAGCGGCCGGAGCGCGCGGAGCGGCAGCGCGCGGTCGCGGTCGCCGCCGGCGAAGCGCGAGCTCGGCGTGCGCCGCGAGGACCAGCCGGGCCGGAAGCGCGAGGTCATGCACGGCTGGCGGCCGCGGACGAAGCCGAAGCCCCTCGACGACGACCAGGCGCCGCTGGACCGCACGCTCGCGCGGTGGATCAAGTCCTACAACAGCGAGCAGACCGTCTTCGCGTCCGACTTCCTCTCCGCGGAGGTGAAGCTGCGCGAGGCGGCGACGACGACGGAGACGCTGCGCCTCGGCGGCGAGTACGTGCCGCCGCGCAACCTCGCGATCGTCACCTGCGACGTGCTCCTGAGCATCGCGAAGCAGTTCGGCCGCTTCGAGGGGTTGATGAACCTCGTCGCGCGCAACGTCATGCGCTGCGTCTTCCCGCCGCGCACGGACCCGTCGGCGCTCGCCGACGGCGCCTCCGGCGACGGGGCCGTCGACGAGCCGCCGGCCAAGGGCACGGACCTCGTCTACATGGTGCCCTGGTACGAGATGTGGCGCACGGCCGTCCAGGAGCAGCGGCGTTTAGGCCACGTCGTCCACGAGCGCGACGAGGGCGTGGCCATGCGCGAGGCCGTCCAGAAGAAGACGAAGCTCGTGGCCCAGCTCCTCGACAGCAACGTCCACTTCCGCCTCAAGGTGAGCTTCCGCGCGTGGAGCACGCGGTTCCGGCGCGACCGCGTCCAGGCGCGGCTCTCCCGGCGCCGCGCGGCCGCGCGGCTCGCGCCGCGCTACTTCGCGCTCTGGACGCGCTTCGCGGCGGAGTGCGTGCGCGCGCGCGAGGTCGAGCAGTACCGCCTCGACATCGTCGACCTCCTCGACGCGGAGCAGGAGAAGCGCGAGGAGCTCAACGAGGCCTACGACGCGCTGTTGGAGACGAACCGGGAGCTCGAGGCGCAGCGCGAGGTCCTGGGCCAGGAGCTGACGCTCGAGAAGGAGAAGGTCGAGAAGGCCGCCAAGTCGTCGCGGAAGAAGCACGTCGACAAGGTCGTCGGCCGCGCGCGCGTGTCCTTCGCGAACCGCGCGCGGGCCGCGCCGGCGCCGGGCAACTCCGCGGCGCAGATCGAGCGGAAGAAGACCTTGGGCCTCAACCTGAATCTCGCCGGCGCCCTCGACGGCGCGCCGCGGCGGCCGTCCATCGTCCGGGCGACGGCGATCCGCCAGTCCATGGTCGCGGGCGGCGGCGGCGAGGGCGGCGGCCGCATCGCGGCGCTCGCGACGCCCTTCGCCGCCGACTTCGACTACAAGGACAACCCGGCCTTCAACTGGGCGAAGAAGAACAAGCTCCGGAACACGCGCGAGGTCGGGAGCTCGACGCTGCAAGCCCTGCGGCTCCGCAACGCCTGCGACAGCCGCTTCCTGCAAGCGTCCCGGGACGCGCAGACGGAGCTCCCCGGCGGCGGGCCGTTGGCGGCCTGGGAGCGGCGGGGCGACGAGCGCAAGGGCCGCCGGGAGCGCGACCGGCGCCGCGACGCCGCCGCAAAGAAATTCGGCGGCTCCATCACGGCGAAGCACCGGCCCTTCGGGTCCGGGCACAGCGGGCCCGCGGCGCGGCGGACGCACCAGATCAAGGACCGCGCCGAGCTCGACGTGGACCAGTGCCTCGAGCTCGCGAGCGACGCGCTCGTCGAGAAGGTGCGCCAGGACGCCGAGGACCGCGTGCTCCACCAGCCCTTCCAGCACCTGCGGCCCTACTTCATGGACTACCTACTACGGCGCTACGGCGTCCGCGCCCTGGCGACGAAGTTCCGCCGGGCCGTCGAGAAGTGCGTCGAGCAGACGCCGCCCGACGAGCTCCACCCGCGGCTCCGCGTCTTCGCGCTTTTGTACGGCCTGAAATTGAAGGAGGAGGAGGCCGGCGAGGCCTTCGCGGCGTCGACGGCGGACCTCCGCGGCTCCGCCGCGAGCCCGCCGCGCGGGTCCTCGCCGGCCAAGGCCGACGGCGCGGGCGAGGCGAAGAAGCCCAAGCCCAAGAAGCGCAAGAACAAGGACCGCGGCGGCGGCCGGCGGTCCTTCAACCAGAACGTCGACGATCGCGAAGGGGTCGTCCAGTTCTTCACGGAGCTCATCCTGAGCTGCGTCGGCACGTCCGAGGACTTCAAGGAGCTTTTGGACGACGCGTTCGAGGAGCCGCTCGTCCGCGTCGCGGACGTCTTCGCGGGCATCCGCGTCGCCTTCCGGTCGCTGCGGGCCAAGGCGCCCCGGGCCTACTACGACGAGATCCTGCGGGACGCGGTCCTGGGCCACGGCGACGTCTCCGAGCGCCTCGCGCGCCACCACGGCCGCGGCGGCGGCGACCACACGGCGCGCGCGGCCGCGGCCATGCACATGTTCTCGGCCCGCCGCGCGACGCCGCGCACGGGCCCCACGCTGTCGCCGGGCCGCGCGCCGCCGAAAAACGACGGCTCGACCGCGAAGGCGGCGATGCGCTTCGAGTCGGCTGTCCCGCTCGACGCCGTCCTCGAGCGCCTCGTCAGGTGCTGGCCCCTGGAGAAGCGCGCGCGCCACGACCGGTCGCCCGAGGCGCTGGAGACGGCGCTGCGGCCCGCGCTGCGCCTCATGCGGCGCACCGTCGTCGCGTGGCGGGCGACGCGCGAGTCGCAGACCAAGCTCGCGCGCCGCGCGTTCCGCCGGGCCGACGCGCTGATCCACGCCGACGAGTACTCGCCCCGGGGCGTCTTCTCCTACGCCGAGTTCGAGGAGCTCGTCCAGGACCACTGCAAGCTCGCCGACGTCGACCGGCAGGACGCGACGTTCCTCTTCAAGCGCTGGCACGAGCTCTGCGACATCCGGGGCACGGCCGCGCGCCTCCCCCGCGACGAGCGCACGGAGGAGGCCTTCCTCAACGACATCCGCGACCCGACCGCGCGGCGCGCGGCGCTCGAGGAGATGCGCCGCGTCGGCGACAACCGGTCCGCGGAGGCGACGGAGGACTACTTCGACGAGAAGGACGACGGCGAGCGCGCGCTGGAAGCCATGCGCTTCGAGCTCGACGAGGACGTCGACGAGAACGAGTCCCTCGGCGACTCCGTGGAGGTCGCGGCGCGCATGTGCGAGGCGAACCTCGCGGACGTCGAGATCGCGTCGCGGGCCTTCGCGGACACGCTCTGGATGGCGCGCCTGCGCCTCGGCGCGGACCTCGCGCCGGAGAAGGACGGCGACGCCGACTCCTTCGCGTCGACGGTGTCCCGCGCGAACCGGAGCCCCTCGCCCCCGCGGCCCTCGCGCGCGGGGCGCCTCAAGTAGGGGAACTCGTCTGAGCCGTTCGGGTGAGCCAACCTGGATCCGCGGAATCCGCCTCGATCATGATTCAAGCCGCCTCGAAGTAGGGTCGCTGTGCAGGTTTCTGTTAATATGGGGCGTCGACGCGCGTTCCAAACGCGCGGAGCGGGTCGGGCGCCGGCCTAGTGCGCCGCGGCCTTGCGGGCGAGCGCGAGGCAGGTCGCGTCGACGCGCCGCGCCGTCGCCTCCGGCGGGCTCCAGAGGTCGGGCCGGCGCGTCGCCTCGCGCCAGACGAAGGCGGCGTTCGCCCGCAGGGCCTCGAGGGGCGCCATGTCCGCCGACGCGCGGAGCGACGCGCCGACGACCGCGCGCGCGCCCGCCTCCGTCGCGGCGAGGAGCACGTACGACACCTACGGCCGCGCGGTGGGGCGCCGATGTCGGGCCAGGGACGCCGCGCGAGCGGACCGGCACGCCGTGCGCGTGGAGGAAGCGGCACGCCCGCTGGGCCTCGAAGCTGAGCCCCTCCCGGGCGCACCGCCACAGCGTGACGGCCGCGCGGCGCGCGGCCGCGCCGCCGCTCGCCTCGCCGACGCCGACGCCCAGGGCCGCGGCTTCGGCCGAGTGCGCGCAGATCACCTGCGACACGCAGCGATGCTGACGAGCGAGCAGCTTCACGGCCTCGATGGCCAGTCCACAGCGCTGCGGCTGCTTCGGGCTGCCCCAGGGACCTACGGAATGCGTGTTGGCCCTTTGCCTGATGGCGACGCTGGAATGTTGCGCGGCAGGCCGATCGGCTGCTGCGCGGCGACGACGACCGGCTGCGGCACGGCGAAGGCGTGGGGCATTGTCTGTCGTTGCTTTGGATTCCGCGCATGGCGCGAGTGCGAGGCCGCCGCTTCGAGGAAGTCCGGGAGATGCTCGGCGGCGGTTGAGGATGTTGCGGGACACGCTGGCTTCACTTCTGTGCTGTCAAAAGACGATGTGAGGCCTCTAGGCAGCCCATCGAGGTTCATGTCGAGTTTCAAGGCCTTCTTGCGTGCGCGTCAAGAAGGCGATCCATCGATTGCCGCGCAGGGCTGGTTGCAAAGCGCAGGCGACGCGCCCAGACGCGAGGCAGCAGAGCTGCCAAAACGCGAGGCGGCAGAGGCGCCGAGACGCGACGTAGCGGAGGCACCGAGATGCATCGCAGCTGAGCCACCTCGGCGCGACGCGGGACGCGACGAGCTCGCGCTCCGCGCCGACCTTCGGTTCCGCGAACCGCGAAACATGGACGAGTATCGTCCGCGTCGCCCGCACCGTAGCCGACGACCTCGACGGCCGCGACGTCGTAGGTACCTGAAGTGGGGCTTCGCGGAGCCTCCGCCGGGCATGGCCGCGGCGCCGCCCGCGGAGACGGCGCGCCGCCAGCGGGAGATCGCGGCGAAGGAGCGCGAGGCCTGCTGCCGCGCGTCGACGGGCCGCTGCCTCCTCGAGACGCCGACGTTCCACATGTTCGGTACCGTTCACGAGGACGAGGACCCCGCGGAGCTCCCGCTCGTGTCCGTCGTCGTGCCGACGTACCCGAAGCGCCACGCCTACCACGCGCTCACGCTCGCGTCCTTCCGGGCCCAGCGCTACCCGAATCTGGAGATGGTCGTCTTGGACACGGGCGGCCCGCGGTCGCCGGCCTTCGACGCGCCGGACGTGCTCTCCGACGCGCGCGTGCGCTACGTCCACACGGCCGACGACGCGCTCACGCTCGGCGAGAAGCGCACCGAGTTGGTGAAGCTCGCGAAGGGCGACGTCGTCGCGCACTTCGACGACGATAACCTGTGCGTCGTTCGCGACGCCCGTCCGCGCACCGCCGCGCGTCGTAGGTACGGCCCGCGCTACCTCGAAGTCCTCCTCCCGCACCTCCGGCACTGCGGCGGCGACATGGTGTCCCTGAACGGGTGGTACAACTATTTGACGTGGTGCGACCGCATCGAGCGCGTCCGGCCCTCGGGCAAGATGACGCGCGGCGAATCGTTCCTGCACTCGCGGCGCATGAAGACGACGGGCGCGCTCTTCGAGTTCCCGCGCATCGAACTGGGCGAGGACGTCGCCGCGGAGGCTGCCGCCGTCCACGCCGTCGACGACGACGTCGGCCTCTTCTTCCACGTCGAGCACGGCATCAACTCGAGCCCGCGCGTGGTCGGCGACGAGGTCCGCGGCGCCGCGCCGCGGCCCGCGGCGGACCTCCTGGCCATGCTCGACGTCCACCGGCCGCTGCTCCGCACGCTGTAAAAGGGAAAACGCGGCGCGGGGGGGACTTGGGGCGCGCGCGGGCACGCTCTCTAGACCACGGCCGGGGCGGCGACCATCTCGGTCCGGGTCCGAGTGCTCATGCGGTGGCGCTCGGTCTTGTGCTCGAGGGCCTTGAGCTTGTCGTACTGGAACTTGCCGACGGCCGCGAGGGAAAAGATGACGAGCGACATGAAGGTGAGGACGAGAATGACGTAGAGCGAATTGAAGCCCGCCGTGCCCGGGTCCTCGTCGTCCGCCAGAGCGGCCGACGCGGCCGCGCGCGCCCACGTCGGCGCGGCCGACGGCATCCTCACGCAGCAGCCGCAGGGCTCGTCGGCGTCGGCCGCGCCGTCGCCGCACAGGTTCGCGAGGAAGACGCCGCCGCGGCCCGCCTCGCACGTGTGGTTCGACGCGTAGCACTCGCCGCCGCGGTCCGCGCAGCGCGACGCCTGCGCGTCCGCGACGAGCGGGCACGCCGGGTCGATCGACGGCGCGGCCGTGGTCGGCGCGGGCGACGGCGCGGGCGTCGGGGCCGGCGTCGGGGCCGGCGACGGCTGCTTGACGCAGCAGCCGCAGTCCGCGCCGCACCGGTTCGCGAGGAACGCGCCGCCGTCGCCGACGCAGTGGGCCTCCGCGGTGTAGCACACGCCGCCGGCGGCCTCGCAGGTGCCGCGCTGGCCCGCCGTCTCCGTCGCGCAGATCTTCAGGTGCGCTTCCGTCGTCGGCGCCCAGGTCGCCGTCGTCGGCGCGGCCGTCGGCTCGGACGCGCAGAGCGGCGCCATCGCGTCGTCGCCGTTCTGCGCGTACCAGTAGGCCGTCGCCTCCGCGGAGACGTACTTGTCCGTGTAGCCGACGGCCTTGCGGGGCACGTAGTCGTCCGCGACGCCCGCGCTGCCCCGGGTGCAGCGGTTCGTCTCGGAGACGAGGTCCGACCAGACGCAGCCCCGGTAGCACCGGAACGTGAACGGGTAGTCCGACGCGGGCGGCTTCGGGTCCGACGGGAGCGAGTAGAGGTCCGACGTCGGGCCGGTCACGTAGTAGCGGTAGAGGAAGTCGTCGACGCCCGGGAGCGCCTCCTCGCGGCCGCTGCAGAAGTCGAGGCAGTGCGACCCGACGCAGCCGTTCGCCGCGTGCTCCATCTCCGTGCCGTTCGCGCCGCGCGGGCCGTAGACGGGGAAGCCGTCGAGGGCCCAGCCGATCTGGGGGCTGTGGCTCACGCTCGTCGTCTCGCGGTGGTTCGCGCCGCGCGCGCGCGCGCCCGCCTGGTCCAGGAGGCAGCTCGGCGGGAAGTGGTAGTGGTACGGGTTGAAGCCGTTCGCGCCGCCCGTGTGGCCGCTGCAAAAGTCGAAGCCCATCCACTCGCCGCGCGTCGAGCTCACGTCCAGCAGCTCGCAGCCCGGGTCGTCGTCGTCGGTCCGCTCCACGGCGCCGCCGTAGAACTGCACGCCGTTGAGCGCGATGCCGATCGCGCCCATGGAGCACTCGAAGTCTTCGACGGTGCTGGCGATGACGGGGATGGCGGGCACGTCGAACTCCAGGTCGAGCACGTCGGCCTTCGTCTCCGTGCCCTCGCCGTAGTTGCCGCCGCAGCCGCGGATGTCCTTGCCGGAACAGTACCTGCGACGCCGAGGGGCGGTCGCGCGCCGCTTCGGGCGTCGGGGACGCGGGGGGGTACGAGTAGTGGTTGGGGCAGCCCGCGGCGGCAATGCGCCGTCGCTGGTACCCGTTCATCCAGCTCAGCGTCTCCGTGTAGGTCGCCGACTCGCCGCAGGCATCGCAGGTCACGGCCAGCGCCGCCCGCGGCGCGAGCGCCAAGAAGATTGTTAACAACATCGCTGCGAGTGGGGCCAATGAAACGATGGGCAGGAACGCCGCGGACTTCACTCACTTCACCTTAGCCGCCGGCAAGACCCCCTTCACCTAAATGATGAAGATTCTACAATTCTACAGCTCGTGGCTCTCGCGCTCCGGCCGGCTTCTGCGGCTTCTCCGCTCGGCGTACCTTGCCGTCGCGGCTGATTCAGCAGCATGCGCACTCAGAACCGCGGGGCGGATCGGGGGGGGCGGGCAAGGCCCTCTGCACCCCTGCGGGCCCTCGCGGGCCCGAAAACGACGCTCCTCGCCGCCCTGCTCGTCGCGAGCACCTCGACGTTCCGTCCCGCTTCAATCCGGCGCGCGCCGCGGCGCGCCACGGTCCTGCGGCGCTTCCCCGAGGACGCGCCGGAGGTCTTCGACTTCGACGTCGCGTCGACGGACCGCGGACGATTGCGGGGCGGCCTGGGCCGCCCCCTGCGCAGCCTCTGGAAGCGGCGCGAGCTCCTCGACGACTGGGCGGCGGCGCAGCGGGGCACGAGCGACCGCGAGCAGAAGCTCGCGGGCAACGTCACGGCGCTACGAATTCGGAGCCTCAAGGACCGCGCGGCCCTCGCCGACGACCGCGCCGTGGCGCGGGACTGGGCCGAGCTCAAGAAGCGGTGCGCGTACCTGAAGTCGCACGAAGCGCTGTCGTTCGTCCACGACGCGCTCCGCGTCGCGCACGGCGCGCACGCGGGCCAGATGCGCCGCTCCGGCGAGCCCTTCATCGTCCACCCCGTCGCCGTGGCGGGCCTGCTCTGCGGCCTCGGCATGGACCGCGAGACCGTCGCGGCGGGCCTCCTCCACGACACCGTCGAGGACACGGCCGTCACGCTCGAGGAGATCGAGGCGACGTTCGGCGCCGACGTGCGCGCCATCGTCGAGGGCGAGACGAAGGTCTCGAAGCTCCCCAAGCTCGCCAAGGTGCCCGACGGCGAGCTCGACAGCGACCGGCGCCGCGCGCGGGGCCTCCGGGCCGCGTTCGGCGACCCGGAGACGGCGCCGCCCGCGAGCGACAAGGAGCGCGAGCAGCTCGAGAATTTGCGCCAGATGTTCATCTCCATGACCGACGACTACCGCATCATCATCGTCAAGCTCGCGGACCGGCTCCACAACATGCGGACCTTAGAACACATGCCGCGGCACAAGCAGCTGCGCATCGCGCGCGAGACGCTCGAGATCTTCGCGCCGCTCGCGCACCGCCTGGGCCTGTGGACGTTCAAGGCCGAGCTCGAGGACTGGGCGTTCCGCTACGCCCACCCGGGGCCCTACGCGGCGCTCGAGGCCGCGCTCGAGGTGCGGCGGTCCCGCTACGAGTCCGCGCTCAAGGGCAGCCGCAAGGCCTTGGAGGCGCGCCTCGCGGCGGACCCGAAGTTGAGGGGCGTCAAGGTGAGCGTCAGCGGCCGCACGAAGGAGCTCTACAGCCTCTGGCTGAAGATGGAGCGCGCCGTCGAGGAGCGGCGCGCGATGCTCACGGCCGAGGTCTTCGCGCCGAGCGGCGGCGCGGCGCCGGTCGCGGCCGTCGCGCCCGCGGGCGGGCTCTGGGGCGCGGGGCGCGAGGGCGGCCACGGCCCGGCCTTTGGCTCCTTCGAGCTCGAGGACGCGGCGGACGCGCCCTACGTCCTCGACGACCAGGATTTGGACGGCGTGCCCGACGTCGTCGCGCTCCGCGTCGTCCTCGAGGTGCCGCGCGACGGCGCGGCCGAGCCCCTGGAGGCCTGGCGCGAGCGGTCCACCTGGCTCTGCTACCACGTGCTCGGCCTCGTGCAGCAGCTCAAGGGCTGCGAGGCCGTGCCGCGCGTCAAGGACTACATCTCCTTCCCGAAGCCCAACGGCTACCAGTCGCTCCACGCGTCGCTCCGCCGCGAGGCCGAGGACCAGGTCGTCGAGGTCCAGATCCGCACGGCCTGGATGCACGAGGTCGCGGAGCACGGCATGGCCGCCCACTGGCTCTACAAGGACGGCCTCTTCAGCGTCGAGGACCTCGACGACGACGGCGAGCCCGCGGACGGCCGCCGCGGCGTCGCCAAGCCCTACGCGGTGTCGTGGCTCAACTCCGTCAAGGACTGGCAGCACGAGATCCACAGCTCGCGCGAGTTCGTCGAGACGATCCGCAAGGAGGTGCTGGGGAAGCGCGTCTTCGTCTTCCTGCGCGACGGCCAGATCCTCGACCTGAGCCGCGGCGCGACGGTGTTGGACGCCGCGTTCCACATCCACACGGAGATCGGCCTCAAGGTCGCGACGGCCTACGTCAACGGCCAGGAGGTCCAGCTGAGCTACGAGCTCAAGAACGGCGACGTCGTCTCCGTGTCCACGTCCGAGGACGCGCGGCCCCAGCTCGACTGGCTCCGCATGGCCCAGCGCCGGTCCACGCGGGCCAAGCTCCGCGCGTACTTCCGCGAGGAGCAGCGGCTCTACGAGGTCGCGAGGCAAAAGACCATCGACAGCGCCATGTAAGATAGCACAAAAATTACGAGTAGCACCGGACCGGGTGCGTCGTGACGTCGCCCGGGAGGAACGCCGCGCGATGTAAGATAGCAAACATTACGAATAGCACCGGTGCGTCGTGACGTCGCCCGGGAGGAACGCCACGCACGCGGGCGGGCTCCCCGCGTAGCCTCGCGGGTCGCTGCCGCCGTGGCACGCGCCGTTGAAGCCGCACGAGCGCGTGAGCCGCCCCCCGTGGTCGACGACGTGGTTCGAGAAGGCGACGTCCTCGGGCCCCGGCGGCGGCTCCGTCGCGAGGAGCCGCGCGGCGAGGTCCCGGCTCAGGAGGTAGCCGCTCCCGCCGTCGCAGTAGGGCCGCGGCTCGTGGGCCTCGCGGCGGCAGTTGCCGTAGAGCGTCGCCGAGCAGAGCGGCCGGCAGTTGAGGAAGCGGTCCAAGTTGTCGAAGTCGACGGCCGTGTCGTCCTCGACCTTGAGCACGTAGGCCGCGTCGGGAGCCGCCGCGAGCGCGGCGCGGAGGCCGTGGAAGAGGCGGTCGACCATCTCCCGGCCGACCTTGGCGTTGTCGCTCCCCGCGAAGCCGCGGCAGCAGGGCAGGCACAGCACGTCCGGCCGGCCGCCGCGCGCCGCGAAGGCCGCGCCGTCGCACTCGCCCGTCGCGTGGACGACGGGGTAGCGCGAACCCTCCGCGCGCGCGAGGCTCGCGTCCAATTTCCCGACGTCGACGCCGAAGAGCACGAGGACGACGGCCGTGATGCTGTTCGTTTGCAGGGCGCAGGCGCCGCCGCCGAGGATGTCGCCGGCGCAGCTCTGCGGCGGCCCGCGCAGCAACACGCGCTTGTAGTAGGAGCCCTCGCCGGGCACGTAGTCGCCGCGCGCCGCGGCGAGCGCGAGGCCCCGGAGCCGGCCGCCGGCGCCGACGCGGCCCTTCTGGCGCACGAGGCACAGCAGGATCGTGCTCAGCAGCACCGTCGACGTCACGAGGGCGCAGGTGACGGCGTGGTCCCAGAGCGTCAGATTGTCTGCCGCGCGCTTGCGCGACTCCGCGCGGTCGTAGTCGTCGTCGACGTAGTCGGAATGCAGCGCCGGCGCCGCCGGCGACGAGGCCTCGTCGGCGTCGTCGTGGAGGCGCTTCATGCGCGGCGCTTCACGCTGCCCATCGTGCGATCAGACGCGTCTCGCTTCAGGCCGCCCATCATGCGATTCAGCATGCGTAGCTTGCACTGCACTTGCAGTCAGATTGCAGTAGGCCTTGCGGTGTCGTCGCCGTTATTAACGTCGCCGAGGAGCTCGGGCAAGTGGGGGGACGGACGCCTCGTTAAGTTTTCCCATTCTTCGGCCACGCGTGGTCCGCGGGCCAGCCGACGTAGGCGGTCTTCGCCTTGAGCCGGTGGTTGAGGTAGTGGGCCTCGACGCGGATGCCCCCGCGCGCCGCGCCGGCCCGCGCCGCCGCCGCCGCGATGGCGGCCGCGGACGTCGTCCGCGGAAGGTAGTAGGCGACGCGCGGCGCGGCCGCGAGCGCGAGCGCGAGCAGGCCGACGCCGTCGACGCCGCCCACGCGGATCGCGGCGACGTCGAAGTCGTCGCCGTAGTCCGGCCCGCCCCAGGGCGGCGAGAGGAAGACCGCGTCCGCCTTGAGCGTCGGCAGGAGCCCGATCGCGTCCGCGGCGACGAAGTCGATGCGGTCCGCGACGCCGTAGATCGCCGCGTTGTGCCGCGCCATGTCCAACTTTCTCGCGTCGACGTCGACGGCGACGACCCACGCGCCCTCGGACGCGAGCGCGATGGCGTTGCCGCCGCAGCCGCAGAAGGCGTCGATGACCACCCGCCCGCCGCCGACGCGCCGCGCGATCGACGCCGCGACCTTCTCGGGCGTCACGGAATACCACGACTCCGCGTCGAGGCGCACGCCGCAGTCGTAGAGGGAGAAGTAGTGGAACCGCTGGGCCCAGTACTTGTCGTCGACGAGGCCCGCGTAGGGGTTCGGCGCGTCCTCGAGGCGCTGCTTCGGCTTCTCCTCGGGCTCCGGCTCCGGCTCGCGGTAGCGCGTCGTCTTCTGGAGCCAGTAGTGCGGCACGACGACGACGCACTCGCTCCCGACGAGCGCGACCTCGACGCCGTCGTCGCCGGCGAAGGACGCGACGAGCCCGACGTACCAGAGGCCGTCGCCCTCGTAGAAGCACTCGCACGCGTCGCCGACGGCCCAGCCGTGCTTCTTCCGGGGCTTCTTCCGCGGCGCCTTCTGCTTCTTCTTCTTCCGCGCCGTGCGCGGCCGCTTGCTCGCGCCGAAGCTCGTCGGCAGGTCCTCGATGCCCGCGGCCGCCATCTCCCCCCGCATGTCCATCCGCGCCTCGAGCCGGTCGCGCGCGGCCTCGTCGCACGCGCAGTCGACCGCCGCGTCCGCGACCTCGCGCGCGAGCGTCTCGCAGTACCAGACGACGGACCGCCGCTCGAGGCGGAAGTTGCGCGTCCCGTCGTCGAAGTCGCGGCAGTCGACCTCGACGACGGGGTGCGGCGGCGCGGCGCTCTCGGCGGTGACGACGGCGCCGTCGCCGTCGCTGCTATTGCCATCGCTGGCGTCGTCTTTGCCGCAGAGGCAGAGCGCGCGGAGCGCGTCCATTGTTAGGAGCGGTCCTTGTGGTCGGCGCTAGGCGACGGAGAGCGAGGCGTTGACGCTAGGTGTAGGAGAGCGAGGCCATCTCCCAAAGTCAAACATGTTGTTGAAGCCGATTAAAATTTTATTGAACCTCTGGTGAAGAAGGGTCAGATGATGGCGGATCGTATCGCAGCGCACGTCCGCGCTTTGCGGGAGGGCGACGACGCATCGAAGACGGCGGCGGCGCGGGAGCTGGGCAGCCTCGTTATCTTAAGCCTAAACTTTAGGCTAAACGCTGACAACCCGATCGCCGAGGCCGGCGCCATCCCGCCGCTCGTCGAGCTCCTGCGTGACGGGAGCCCGGACGCGAAACAGACGGCCGCGGGGGCGCTGGGCGACCTCGCGCGCTTACACGCCAACAAGGTCCCGATCGCCGAGGCCGGCGGCATTCCGCTGCTCGTCGAGCTCCTGCGTGACGGGAGCACGGACGCGAAACAGACGGCCGCAGAGGCGCTGGGCGACCTCGCTCTCAACGCCAACAACAAGGTCTTGATCGCCGAGGCCGGCGGCATCCCGCTGCTCGTCCAGCTCCTGCGCGACGGGAGAATGCACGCGGCCGCGCGAGCGCTTTGCATTCTTGCGCGCTACAACGATGCCAACGCGGTCGCGATCGCGATGACCGTCGGCCTCGACGCGCTCGTCGAGCTCGCGCGCCGCGGTCGCGTGACCTGGAAACCGAATCGGCTTGTGCGCAATGCGAATCGGCTTGTGCGCAATGCGGGCCTCCCCGCCAAGCGCAAGGCCGCGCTGGTCGTCGCCCAGCTGATCGAGGCGACCGCGCCCCGGACCCGCGTCCCGGCCGTCCTCAAGGCCGCCATCGGGTCCTACCTTTGAGCGCGCGCCGAAACGCAAGTAACCCTTACCTCACGCGTCCCCCGGCAGGGGCCTCGCCGCCGCGGGGACGGCGTGGTGCTCGAGGGCCACGGGCGACGCGTGGAGCTGGAGCACGCGGAGCTGGAGGTACGCGAGGTAGGCCAGCACCATGACCATGCGGCGCGACGGCGGCGCGCTGCCCAGCACGCGGAGCGCCGCGGGGCAGCGCACGCGGAGCGCGGACCAGAGCGCGTCCCCCGGGCCCCGCTTGGCCTTGGGCGCGTCGTCGTCGTCCGCTTGGCCGCCCTCGAGGTCCGCGGAGGGGACGCGCGGCTCGCTGCGGCGGCGCGCGGCCTCGGCCTCGTGCGCGGCGACGAGCTGCTCGGCCGCGGCGAGGCGGTTCGACTCGGCGACGCGGCGCGCCTTCTCGGACGCGAGCGCGTCGTCGGCCTCCTTGCGCTTCGCCAACGCCTCCTGTAGGCTCGCCTCGAGCGCGGCCTTCGACGACCCTTCCCGCGCCTCGGCGTCCGCGAGGAGCGCGTCGGACGCGTCCGCGCGCGCCTCGGCGTCCTCGGCGCGCCTCGCGCCGTCCGACGCCGCGGCGGCCATGGCCTCCTGCGCGTCGTCGCGCGCGCGCTCCGCGGCGACGAGCTTCGCGGACCAGTCGCGCTTCTCGGCGACGACGGCGTCGCGCTCCTCGACGACGGTCGCGGCGAGGGCCAGCGCCTTGGCCGCGCGCGCCTCCGCGTCGGCGGCCGACGCCTTGTACTCGTGGAGCCGCTCCGTGAGCTTGCGGACGCCGTCGAGGTCCGCGGTCTTGCGCTTCTGGACCAACCCGCGCGCGTCGGCGAGCTCCGCGCGCGCGGCCGCGAGCTCGCCCTCGGCCGCCCGCCGCCGCGCCTCGGCGGCGTCGAGCTCCTTCGCGGCGTCGGCGCGCGCGGCCTCGACGTCGCGCGCGGCGGCGGCGCGCTCGGCCTCGGCGTCGCGCCGGAGCGCCGCGACGTCCGCCTGGAGCGCGTCGCGGTCCGCCTCCGCCGCCGCCACGGCGCGCCGCGCGTCCGCGGCGGCCGCGACGGCGGCCTCGCGGGCCGCGGCGTCCCGCGCCGCGGCGGCCGTCTCCGCCTTCGACGCCGCCGCCGCCGACTCGCGCTCGAGCGCCGCGGCGCGCGCCTCCGCGGCGCCGCGGCCCTCGTCGGCCGCCGCCGTCGCCTCGGCCGCCGCGGCGAGGGACCGCTCGAGGGCCGCGACGCGCTCGAGGCCCTCCTCGCCCGCGGCCGCGGCCGCCGCGAGCGCGTCGCGCTCGCCGCGCGCGTCGTCGAGCTGCTCCTGGACGCGCTTGAGCGCCTCGTTGCCCAGGGCCTTGTCGCGCCGCCGCGCGTCCTCGGCGTCGGCGTCCGCCGCCGCCGCGGCCTCGCGCGCCGCCGCGGCCTCGGCGCGGGCGGCGTCGGCGCTCCGGCGGCTCGCGTCGCCGTCGGCGCGCGCGAGCGCCAGCTCGCGCTCCGCGTCCGCGAGCGCCGCCTCGAGCTCGTCGACCTTGGCCGCGGCCGCGTCGCGCTCGCCGCGGAGCGCGTTGCCGACGGCCTCGCGGTCCCGCAGCGCGTCGCTCAGGGACGTGTCCCCGCGCGCGGCCTCCAGCGCGCCCGCGGCGTCCGCGGCCCGCGCCTCCGCGTCGCGGCCCGCGGCCTCGGCCGCGGCCCGGAGCTTGCGCGCCTCCTCGGCCTCGCCGCGGCTCGCGTCGCGCGCGGCCTCCAGCTCCGCGACCCGCGCCGCGTGGGCCTCGCGGAGCGCGGCGACCTCGGCGTCGTGCGCCTCCGCCAGCGCGGCGGCGTCGCCGTCGTCGCCGGCGGCCGCCTCGAGCGCGGCGACCTCGGCCGCGTGGGCCTCGGCGGCGGCCGCGCGGCCGGACCGCAGGGCCTCGACCTCGGCGGTCGCCGCCTCGAGGTCCGCGCGGAGCGCGGAGAGCATCGCGGCGTCGCTACTCCGGAGGCGGTCGGCGTCCGCCTCCGCGGCCGCGAGGTCCGCCTTGAGGGTGGCGACGGCCCCCGCGTCGGCCCCAAGGCGCGCGACCTCGGCGCGCTCCGCGTCGAGGGCCGCGCGGAGCGCCGCGTTGTCGCCCTCGAGGCCGTCCGCGCGCGCCCGCTCGTTCGCGGCGTCGCCGCCGTCGGCGCTCGCGGCCTCGGCGGCGAGCGCGCGCGCCTTGGCGCGCTCGAACTTCTCCTCCATCCTGCGGTACTTCTCGACGAGCTTCGTCACCTTGGCGTCGTCGTCGCCGCGCGGCGACGACGTCGGCGACGCCTTCTGCGCCAGGGCCTCCTCGAGGCGCGCCTCCGCGGCCGCGCCGGCGTCGCGCGCGGCCGCGGCCTCGGCCCGCGCGGCCGCGACGTCGTCGGCCGCGGCGGCCTTGGCGGCCTCGAGCTCCGCGACGGCCGCGTCGCCGCGGTCCGCGCGCGCGCGCACGTGCTCGAGCTGCGTCTCGATGTCGTGGTAGCGCGACACGAGCTCCTTGGCCTGGTCGAGCTTCCGCTGTCTGTCGTCGAGCAGGTCCTCGACCTCGCGGTCCCGCGCCGCGAGCCTGGCCTCGAGCTCGGGGAGCTTCGCCTCGAGCTCCCGCGCGCGCTTCTCGAGCGCGTCGTCGCGCGGCGCGGGCGGCGGCGGCGGCGCGGGCGCGGGCGCGGGCACCGGCGCGGGCGGCGCGGCGGGCGGCGGCGGCGCGGGCGCGGGCGGCGGCGGCGCGGGCGCGGCTCGCGGCGCGGCGCGCGCCGCCGCGGGGACGCGGCTCGCGGCCGTCGCCGCCGCCGCCGCGAGCGTGTCCGGCGGCGGCGGCGCGGGCTCGTCGTCGGCGGGCCGGAGCCGGCTGAGCACCGCGCCGAGCGCGGGCTCGTCCTCGTCGTCGGAGAACATGTCGTCGTCGCCGCCGCCCCAGCCGTCGTCGTTGTTGCCGCCGTCGATGATGTCGTCGACGGCGTCGAGGACGCGGCCCGCCCGCGAGCTCACGTTCGCCGCCGCGTCCAGCGACTTGTCCACGAGGCCGCCGACGCCGTCGCCGGCCTTGAGGGCGAGCTCCGAGGCTTTGTCGAGGATCCCGCCGACGCTGGCGTTGGACGCGGCGGCCGACGCGGTGTTCTTGAGCTTGCCCCACATCGTTTGAGAGTTTTAGCACTCAAAACTCTCAAGACATGCCCAGCGGCAAAATGAAATGGGGGCAAAGAAACCGATGATGCACCGCGGCGCAATCACGATGTAGAACGATGTGCTGCCCAAATCCATGAATAGGGCCCCTGCCGGCGACGGTAACAGCAATAGGGCCCCTGCCGGCGACGGTAACAGCACCAATGAGACACGCTACGCCACGCCAAAGATCTTCGTCGTCGGCTCGGCCGGCGCGATCCTGCGGGCAGAAGCCGACCTCGAGTCGGAGAAGCTCTACAGCTTTGCCGCCGAGACGGAGCTCGTCGCAGATCGTGAGGCGCTGGACGACACCCGCGTGCGCGTGCACGTCCGCGTGCCGCGCGTCGGCTGGGTCACGAAGCGCTTCCTCGCCGAGGCCGCCGAGGCGGCGCCGCCCGCGCGCCGCGCCGCGGCGGCGCCGCCCGTCGTCGACGCCGACGCGCCGCCGGCGCGCTGCGCGGGCCTCCCGGGCCACAGCACGACAACCGACGACGACTGCGATGGCCCCGGCCCGTTCCCCTCCATCGACGCGCTCGAGCGCAGGCGGCGGCGCGGGTTTCCCGCGCTCCCCGCCGCGCAGGACTGGTGGCTCGTCGCCCGGGACGGCTGCGCCGTCCTCGACGCGCCGCGCGGCGGCCGCCTCGTCGGCTTCCTGCGCCGCGGGGCCGCCGTGGCCGGCGACGGCGCCGCCACCGTCGACGGCGCGACGTGGGCGCGCGTCGCCGCCGGGGACGCGGCCCATTGGTTCTACGGCTGCGGGCCCAGGCGCGAGCTGCCCTACACGGGCGACGCCTGGATCCTCGCCGACTCGAATTTGAACTTCGGCTTCGGCCTGGACCGCGCCGCCGAGGTGCGGCTCCGGCGCGCGGACGCGGCCGAGGCCGCGGCGCTCGACGCCGCGAGCGCGCTCCGCTACCATCCGAACGCTCGCTCCCACGCGGCGGACCTGCTGCCGTTCGCGCCGCGCGCCGAGGACGCCGGCGACCGCTTCGGCTTCGCGCCGTTGAAGAAGGAGTGGCGCGTCCGCCTCGCGCGGGACGTCCTCGGCTGGCCCTCGCACGACCGGGCCGGCTACGGCGCCGACGGCCGGGCGCCGAAACGCGCGCCCGCGAAGCGCGCGTGGCTCGTCCCCACCGAGGACGATGCGGCGCTCGACCTCGCGGCCCGCCGCCGCGACTTCACGCTCGGCGGCTGGCGGCCCCTGACGTGCGCGGCGGCGACGGTCGCGGAGCTCGCCGACAAGGTCCGGCTCCGCGCGCGCGGCGCGCGCCTCGGGTTGGCGGCGTCCTTCCCGGCGACCTACGCGACGCTGGAGGACGTCGCCTACCCCTGCTGCGTGAAGAAGGCCGCGGGCGCCTACGGGTCGACCGTGCGCCACGCGACGGACGCCGAGGGCCTCGCCGCGGCGATGAAGGACCTCGACCTCGACGAGAAGACCCTGGGCGAGGACTGGCTCGTCGAGGAGCTCGTGACCGGCCGCGTCGAGCATGCGACGACGCTGCTGGTCTTCTTCGGCGGCTTCCGCGACGTCGTGCACACGACCTACGCGTACGGGGAGGACGTCTACATCTGGCCGCGCGTCGCCGAGGACCAGGAGCGGCGGCGCACGGACTCGGCGCTCCCGCCGCGGCACATGCGAGACTTTTCGCGGCTCCTCCACGATTTCAGCGGCATATGCAACGTCAACTACAAGGTGCGCCCCGACGGCCGGCCCGCGATCTTCGAGATCAATGTGCGCCTCGGCGCGGACGTCGCCTGCGAGGTCGATCCCGCGCGGCTCCGGCTCCTCTTAGAGCGCCTCGGCGCCGCCGGCGGCGGGCCGGGCTCCCCGATCTCGCCGCGGCTGTCCGAGGCGCTCCACGCCATGGGCGACGTGCGGCCGAAGCGCGGCGGGCGAGGCCGGGGGCGAGGGCGAGGGCGAGGGCGACCAAGACCAGCCAAGTAAATTCAGAGATCGCGGCTCGCCCTCGCCCGACCAAAACCATCCAACTAAATTCAAAGATTACGCTGCCAGGGGTTCTTCCGGTTCGTGGCGACCTTGACGACGCGGCAGTCGTCGCCGACGGGGTCCCGCGCCTTGGCCTGGCGCCGCTTCGCGCCGTCGTCGCTGATCACGTCCGCGCGGACGAAGTCGCCCCCGAGGCCCCGGCGCTTGAGCGCCGTGAAGACGTCCTCGACCGTCGCGTGGGGCCGGAGGACGACGCAGTCGGCGAGGCGGCCGCCGGACCGCGCGCCCGCGAGCGAGTCGAGGTCCGCGACCGGGTACGCGTAGGCGGGCCGCGCGAGCGCGACCGCGCGGGAGACGGCGTCCAGGACGCCCGTCGTGCCCCAGGCCGCGAGGTGCGCCGCGGCGCCGGGAACGTCGGCGCCGTCGAAGGCCGCCGCGCCGTCGACGTAGGACACGTCGCCGCGCGCGCGCGCGGCGACGAGGCCCGCCTCGACGGCCGCGCTGCAGGGCACGAGATCGTCCGACGTCCCGAGGCGTTCGACGTTCGCGCGCGCCGACGGCCGGTCGCACTTGTTCAGGACCACGACCGTCGGGAAGCGGATCTCCAGGAACGCGGCGACGAGGCGGTGGAGCTCCGACGACCCCCAGGCGTCGAGCGCGGCGACGCGTTCGTCTAAACCCGCGACGGCGATGGCGCGGCGCACCACTACCGGCGCCGCGGCGTAGCCCGTGAACAGCCCCAGCAGCCGGTCGAGCGCCGCCGTCGAGTCGCGCCGGTGCTTCGCCAAGCGGACGACGGAGTGCCACTTGCGCGCGACGTTCCCCGCGATCCAGCGGTGGAGCTCCTCGCGGATCCACGCGATCTCGCGCGCGAGCGCGTCCTCGGGCGCGTCCGCGGCGTCGACGGCGCCGCCCGACGCGTCCGTCTCCGCGGACGCGTCGACGACGTGGACGAGCGCGTCCGCGTCCGCCAAATCGTTCAAGAAGCGGTTGCCCTTGCCCTCGCCGCGGCTCGCGCCGGGCACGAGGCCCGCGACGTCCTTCAGGAGCGCGGGCAGCAAGCGCCGGCCTTTCGCGTCGCGGCCGTGCGGCGGGCAGGGGGCGAGCTCGAGGCCCAGCCCCAGCGCCGGGTCGCGGTCCCCGCAGGCGAAGAGGCCCTCGCGGACGTTCGGGTCGATGGTCGTGAAGGGGTAGGCCGCGCACTTGGCCGCGAGCGCGCCCGTCGACCGCGTCACGGCGTTGAAGAACGTCGACTTGCCCGCCGACGGCTTGCCGACGACGCCGACGACGAGCTCCCAGGCGCCGCGGTGCCGCGACGGCGGCGCGCCGGCCGCCGCGGGCGCCCGCCGCCGCAACGCCGCCGTCGCCGCCGCGCGGTAGTCCGCGATCTCCGCGGACGTCACCGCGGCGTCGACGCCCGCGGCGGCGGAGGCGTCGTCGTCGTCCTCCTCGCCGGCGCTCGAGGCGTCGTCGTCCGCGGTCGCGCCGTCCGCGTCGTCGCCGGCGGCGGCGGTGTCGCGGGGGTCGCCGGCGGCCAGGAAGTCGTTCGCGCCCTGCACCGCCGCCAACACGCAGGGCTCGCCGGCCGCGAGGTCGTCGGCGACGGCCGCGGCCGCCGCGCGCGCGATGGCCGACGACACGCGCGTCGGGAGGTCGAGGAGGCTCAGCATGGACTCGACGCCGAACTTCAGGCGGCCGCCGACCGCCGGGTACGCGCCGAGCATGGCTACCGTCAGAAAGATATCGTCGGCGAAGTGCTCGCTGTCCAGGCGGATCTTCGCGCCCCAGGCGCCGCACCGCTCGAAGTCGTCCCCGTAAATCGCCGCGAGCGCCTCGATCTCTTCCCCGCGCGCCTCAGCGGTGGCCGCGTCGACCGCTTCCGGCGGCGGCCGCGGCGGTTGAGGCGGCTCCGGCGGCGCGGACGTCGCCGGAGGCGGCCGCGGCAGCGGCGGCCCGTCGGCCGGAGACGGCGGCGGCGGCCCGACGGCCGGCGCCGGCGGCGCCGGCGGCGACGCGGGCAGCGGCGTGGCACCGGCCGGCAGCGGCGTCGGCGGCTCGGCGGCCGGCGGCGGCGCGGCGGCGCCCGCGTTGAAAAAGGCCAGGTACGCGTCGACGTCGCGCGCCCGGCAGGGCAGGCAGTGGCCCTTGTCGTGGACGTAGGGCTCCGCGCCGGGCAGGAGTGCGAGCGTGTCCTCGGGCGGCACGAGCGCGTCGCCGCGGCCCGCGACGAGGAGCGCGGCGCACGGCGCGGCGCCGACGTCGTCGAGTTCCGGCCGCCGCGGCGCGCCGGCGACGAGCAGGGCCTCGAGGCCCGGGAGCCCGCGCGCGGCGGCGGCGACGGCGAGCGCGCCGCCCGACGAGAAGCCGAGCAGGCCCGAGAAGGGCCCGAGCTCGCGCCACGCGCGCCGGACGACGTCGAGGCCCTCGTCGAAGCCGCTCCCGTCGCGGCGCCACCAGCCGAGCGACGCGGCCTGGCCCTCGCGCAGCGGCAGCGCGTGCGGCGCGTCGACGAAGACGAGGTTGTCGCCGCAGCGCTTCGCCAGGGGCGCCAGCCGCTGCGCGAAGAGGGTCGCGGTCTGCTCGGACCCGTGCAGGCAGAGCACGCGTCGAGCGAGGTCGCTGCTCCGCGTATTGTCAGTGCCGCGGCTGCGGTCGCGGCGACCGCGGGAGTAGCCACGACCTCGCGCTCCGCGGTAGCCGCGACCTCGCTCTCCGCGGCCCATCACTGCTCCTTGAGTTCCCGTTGGGAGCATCAACCAAGTTACTTGAAGTTAAGGTGAACCTTACGCTGGAAACAATAACCTTTAAAATAACCTCTTGAGAGCGTCAACATGAAGGTCAACTTGAACCCTTACAGCGAACAATAGACGGAGGGCGCGGCGTCGTCGTCGCCCGCCCTGGGGACGCGCGCGGCCGCGGCGTCGAGCTTGGCCTCGAGGGCCGCGAAGCGCGCGTCGACGCTGCGCTGGAGGTCGTCGAAGCGCGCGGCCATGGCGTCCGCGAGCTTGCCCACGACGGCGCCGACGGCGGCCTCGACGCGCGCGGCCTCGCCGCGGCGGATTTCCTCGGCCGCGGCCTCGGCCGGCGGCCGCGCGAGCTTCGCGACGGCCGCGAGCTCGCCGGAGCGCATGGCCTTGACGACGTTGAGCTTGAAGTTGTACCACGTGCCGTAGCGGGAGATGGACTTCAGAAAGTTCTCGAAGCCCGGCCGGTTGATGAGCTTCACGAAGACGCGGCCGCCGAGCACGTAGCAGTAGGACATGCGCGTCGCGCGCGCGTTGAACCAGGCCGCGCGCGCGCCGTGGCCCGCGACGAGCGTCGCGATCTCCTTGTCGCCGAAGGAGTCGCCGTCCTCGACGACGGACAGCGCGAAGGGCGCCGTGACCTCGCGGCCAAAGGTCATGACCTTGCCCGCGTCGACGAGGTACATGGTGTCGCAGAAGGACACGGAGTGGCGCACGATGTAGTCGCCGGCCATGAACATGGCCATCTCCATCGCGTGCGCGATCTGGGTGACGAGCAGCTTCGTCGCGATCTCCATGGCCGAGACGGCCTTCTGGATCGCGACCTCCTCGTCCTGCACGGAGATGCGCGCGTGCGCGACGCCGTGCTCGACGGACCCGTCGTCGTAGCGCACGTCGTAGCGCATGTCCCCTAAAAGGCCGACGATCGTCGCGTCGCGCCGCTCGCCGCCGTCGTCGCCGCCGCCGTCGACCGCGCGGATCTTGAGCCGCCGCCCGACGACGATGCCGAGCGTGCACTGCCGCGCGTAGGAGAAGAAGGTCACGCGGACCACCTTGTGGCCGAGCTGGAGGTGGGCCACGAGCTCCTGCAGGTTCGGGCTCAGCTTGTCGATGAGCCGCGCGTGGAACTTGTTCTTGAAGAGCGCCTCGGAATGTAACAAATACTCGCGCAGCGGGACGCGCGCGGCCAGCGGGAACCGCTTGTCGGCCATGAACTTGTTCAGGTTGTCCACGGTCTGCTTGAACTCGTTCGACGCCGGGTCCAGATTACATAGAATGTTCGTGAGGTCGCCGAAGAGGAACGCGACGAACGCGACGCCGATGACGTTGCACGACACGCTCAGCAAGCCCTCGCCCGTCGTCTGGTAGGCCGACTCGCCGAGCATGGTCTTCGCGGCCCAGTCGAGGCAGTCGACGTAGAGCGCCCAGTTGTCGTTGAAGTTCGCGCCGCGCCATTCGATGACCCACCACCGCAGGTAGCTGTTCGTGTCCTGGTTCCTCCGGTCGCCCCTCTCGACGCCGTGGGCGAGGCGAATGAGGCACGCCTCGAGGTGCAGGGTGACCTACCAAATGTGTCGGTGACGATTTTTCGTCGTTTTCCCGGTCAGAAGCTCTCTAAAATCGTTCCGGCCACAGGACGCTGAGGGTGACCACCAAGGCGAACATGTACTTGATGATCACTTGCATCTTGAACGACAGCGTCATGTAGCGGTTCCACCGCTCGATGATCCGCGGCGCCTTGGCGATTCGTATGAGCCGCACGAGGCGGATCAGGCGAATGAGCCGGAGGATCGCGACCTGGCTCGGCAGCGGCAGCCGGTCCCGGTACATCAAGCTCACGGCGTCGAGCCAGAACCAGAAGCGCAGGTAGTGGGCCGCGATCTGGCTCCGCTCGATGTACCACCGGTTCTCGCGCCAGTTGTAGTAGCCCGTGTTGAACGTGAGCACCATGTCCCCGAAGAAGCTCAGATCCACGAGCCGGTTCATGGTCCACAAGCCGTCCCAGTACTCGCCCCTGTTCACGAAGGCGATCTCGAACAGCGTCACGAAGAAGACGAACGTCACCAGCACGAGCATGTAGCCGTCCCAGCCGAGGCGCCAGTTCGCGTTCGGGTTGAACACGGGGCAGCGCGTTTCGTCCTGCGCCGGGAACGGCGCGCGCTCGGAAATGGTGCCCTCCTCCTCGAGCCGCATGTACTCGTCGTCGACGTCGAAGAAGTCGTAGTTCCGCTGCGGCGCCGGGGTCAACTTGCGCTTGATCGCGGCCGACAGCCGCCGCTGCGGCGTCCCGCTCGCCGGCGACTCCTTCGAATCCCGCCGCTCCGCGCTCGCCGGCGACTCCTTCGAATCCCGCCGCGCCCCGCTCGCCCCCTCCTCCTTGGAATCCCACTGCGCCGAGGGCTGCCGCGCGAGGCTGATCGGGGACGGCCGCCGCGGCGGCCGCTGCGTCTCCGCATGCTCCGGGAGCGCCTCGGTGCCAGTGCTCTCGACCTCCATGGGCGTGCGCTCCTCGACGCGCATGGCCTAGACGGAGGATTGCACCATCATTGGACGAGGTTTACAAAAGGTAATATCGACCCGCCCTCACGCCTGCTCGTCGTCGGGCACGAGGCTCACGATGGTGCGGCGGTAGACGAGGCCGTAGACCGCGTCGCGCACGAGCGTGGAGCAGGGCGTCGTGCTGTTCTCGGCCGCGACGGTGCCGTTGGGGCCGTAGGCCGCGCAGCAGTAGACGCCGACGGCGCCGCAGGTCACGCCCGGGAGCTCGCCCGAGTCGACGTCGAAGAACGTGCCCGCGCCCCGCGACACGGGCGTCACGGGCTGGACGAAGTCGTGGCCCTGCGTGTCGAAGACGAAGGAGCCGTCGTCGACGAGCACCGCGCCGCTCTTGAAGCCGGCGTACTGGTAGCCGCTGAGGAAACCCGTCGGGATGTCCGCGTCGGGGCCGAGCACCGCCGTGTACATCAGGACGCCCGTGATCGCCTGCGCGCTGTTCTCGATGGGCTGCGAGAGGCCGACGTCGCCCTCGACGGGGAACCGCATCGTGATCGGGATCACGAACTGGTTGCTCCGCCGCGTCGCCGAGAAGACCGTGGTCATGTTGATCTCCGCGACCTTGTCCTTCGGCGAGCCGGCGGCGCGCCACTGCTTCATGACTTCGGCTGCCGGCAGCCGCACATGCTGGAGTTGCGTGCCGGCGACGGGGTCGGCAACCTCGGGCATGGGAATGCCGGCCTGTTCGAGCAAATCGGCCAGCCGCAGGTTCTCATCCGCGGCAGATGCGAAAGCTGCGACGAGCAGCAGCAAGAGCGACCGCATGACGACGACGGACTCGCTTTGAACGCGAGAGCGAATCGATGGGCAGGCCGAGCTAGAGAGCTGAAACCCCCCTTCAATGACGTGCAACTTTGACCTCGAGCTGAGACGCGATGGACCTCGCCGGCGTGTAGATCCGGCAAAACCATGATCGACCTCGAGCTCGCCGACGGCGTCGCGCAGGTCGCGCTCCTGCTCGCCGCTTTAGCCTTCGCCAATGGCTTCCACAACGCCGCGGCAGTCGCGGCGGCCATCGCCGTCGTCGTCGTCGCGCTCGCCATGCAGCCGCGCCGCAAGCCGACGCCGACGGCGACCCCGCTCCCCGCCCAGCTCCGCATCGCCTTCGTGCACCCGGACCTGGGCATCGGCGGCGCGGAGCGGCTCATCGTCGACGCGGCCGTGGGCCTGCAGAAGCGCGGCCACGGCGTCGTGCTCTACACGGCGCACCACGACGCCGGCCACTGCTTCGAGGAGACGCGCGACGGCACGCTCGCCGTCGTCTGCGTCGGCGACTGGCTGCCGAAGCGCGTGCTCGGGCGCTGCTACGCGGCCTGCGCCTACCTGCGCATGTGCTACGCGGCTTTGTACATAGCGGCGACGCGGCGGCGCGCGTACGACGTGATAATCGTCGACCAGGTGTCCATCTGTCTCCCGTTGCTGCGCCTCGCGGCGCCCAAGGGGACGCTCTTCTACTGCCACTACCCCGACAAGCTCCTCTGCGCGTCGCGGGAGTCGCGGCTCAAGCGGCTCTACCGGCTGCCGCTCGACTGGGCCGAGGAGACGACGACGGGCTGCGCCGACGCGGTCGTCGTCAACTCGAAATTCACGGCCGCGACCTTCCGCGCGGCCTTTTCGCGCCTCGCGAAGCGCGGCGTCGAGCCCGCCGTGCTCTACCCGGCCCTGAACCTCGAGGACCAGGACGCGGCCGCGGCCGCCGCGCCGCCCTGGACGGCGCCCGCCGGCGGACGACGCGCGTCGCCCGGAGCGTCCTCGCCCCTCTTCGTGCTCCTCTCCATCAACCGCTTCGAGCGGAAGAAGTGCGTCGGCCTCGCGCTCGAGGCCGTCGCGAAGCTCCCGGAGCCCGTCCGGCGCCGGGTCCTGCTCGTCGTCGCCGGCGGCTACGACGCGGACCTCCCGGAGAACGTCGAGCACGCCGCGGAGCTGGAGGCGCTGGCGAAGCGGCTCGGCATCGCGGACCGCGTGCTCCAGAAGCGGTCCGTGCCCGCGGCGGAGAAGGCCGCGCTCCTCCGCCGCGCGGACGTCCTCCTGTACACGCCGGACAAGGAGCACTTCGGCATCGTGCCTCTCGAGGCCATGTACGCGGGGACGCCGGTGCTCGCCGTCGACTCCGGCGGGCCCCTCGAGTCCGTCGTGAGCGGCGAGACGGGCTTCCTCCGGCCCCAGGACCCGCAGGCCTGGGCCGACGCCATCGAGGCGCTCTTGAGCGACGACGACCGGCGCAAGGCCATGGGCGCGCGCGGCCGGAAGCGCGTCCAGGAGAAGTTCTCCCTCGAGGCCTTCGCCGCGAACCTCGACGCCATCTGCCGGGACCTCGCCAAGGGGTGATTTTAACTCGGGTTCCGCGGTGGTGGTGTGAGAGGGGATCTTCACGCGGCGACGATCGCGGGTTCCGCGGCGGTGTGAGAGTGAGAGGGAGAGATGAGAGGGAGAGTGGGCGATGTAAGTGAGAGATGAGAGTGAGAGAGAGGGGACCTTCACGCGGCGACGATGGTGATGTCGGCGCAGTTGGACCAGACCTGGGCCGTGGAGTCGCAGTCGTAGCGGAAGCCGAGGACGTACTTGCCGGGCTTGATGGTCTCGGGCACGATGACATGGTCGAGCACGGACGGCGACTCCGCGAGGCACGCGTCGTCGCAGGGCTGCGGGAACGAGGACCGGCCCCAGGGGTGGATCGGCGGGTTGTCGCAGCGGCTGCAGTCGCTGCCGGCCGTCTCCGGGCAGGGCTCGCAGTGGCCGAGCGAGCAGTTGCCCGCCGTCACGCAGGAGTCGACCTGCTCGCCCATCTTGCAGCCGCAGGAGAAGTCGCCGGGATTGTAGTCGTTGTCGAGGTCGCACGCGCACCGCGGGCCGAGGCCGGCGGCCGAGAGCGCGACGCGCGTCCACATCGAACCGGCGGGAGACGTGCCTTCGTTGACGAAGACCGCCGAGGCGGACACGTCGATCGTCGACCCGTTGGGGAAGAGGAGCGCCTGCTTCGGCGCGAAGTCCAAAGGATGCTTCTGGAAGCAGGCCTCCGTGAGCTCCTCGTCCGCGGGGCAGAGGCGATAGGAGTAGCCGCCGCCGTGGTTGAACTTGACCGCGAAGACGACGGGCTCCTCGCCGCCGGCGGTCCACACCGTGCCCGTGTCGAGCGGCGGCAGCGACGTGCCCTTCATGCCGTGACGCGCGTGCGTCGTGTTGACGTACTGCCCCTCCTCCGGCGCCATCGACGCCCAGGGCGTGCCGCCGGCGAGGCCGCAGGCGTCGGCGACGGGCGCGAAGCCCGGCGCGCGCCAGGGGTTGTGCCGGTAGATGTCGTACTTTGAATCGCGGACCTGGTCGCGGTTCACGGAGATGGCGTGGTCCGGGAGCTGGCCGACGAAGCCCGAGTTGCAAAGATCCGTCTGGCGGCGGCCGCTCACGTGGTCGCACTCGTCGCAGCCGATGAAGCAACCCTGGCTGTACCAGTAGGTCGCCTGCCCATTGTTGCAGGGCGCGCCGGTGATGTTGGAGCACTGCGCCCAGACATTGTGGATGCCCGCGGACGCGTTGTTCGTGATCTCCTCAAAGTCGACGGCGTTGCGCGAGCGAGGCGTCACTAGAGCGCCGTGAGCATCGGCCAACGCGAGCACGCTCGAAGCAGCGAGAAGGCGGAGCATCATTGTCCGGATTCGCCCAAAGAATGGCTGCCCAAAGATGATGAACAGCAGCTGAACTGATCTTTCCGCGAGCTTCGAAGCGCGCCGAGCATGGAGAGTAGTCATCGCGCCTAACACGCCAGAGAATGGAGGTTGACCCCGGAGACGCCGCGGCGCTTCTTGATCTAAGAAAGGCGTGGGCTCCGTTTAAGCCTGGCAAAACTAAAAGCGGTGCCATTCGGACTGGGTATGAACGCGTCACGCTCAACGATCAAGGAAGAGTCCTGGCTCTCGACCTGCAGGGCTTTCCACACGCGACGCTGCCGGGGTCGATCGGCAAGCTCACCGCGCTGCAGAGATTGGATCTGAGCTCAAGCCACTTGACCGCGCTCCCCGAGACGATCGGCAGGCTTCGTGCGCTGAAAAGTCTCTCGGTGCTTCTCTGCAGGAAATTGACTGCGCTTCCAGACGCACTCTCTGAACTGCCCGCGCTGAGGGTACTAGAGTGGGACGTATGCCCGAAGCTGACCTTGCTTCCAAAGGGAATGCAGTTTGGACGCCTCTCGCCGAGGCTCTCGGAGGAGCAGTGTGCGGTGGTCGCGACGTCCGTGGCGTGGAGGCAGCGAGAGACGCCGCCGGACGGCCGCGGCAGCGCAGCGGCGCCACCCAGCGCGCCCGCCCCACCGCCGCCCGCTGTCGCGGTGCCACCCAGCGCGCGCGCCCCACCGCCGCCCGCTGTCGCCTCGCCGGCTGCGGCGACGTCCGATGAAGTCGAATCCCACGAGGCTGTCGTCGCCACGCTCGAGCGCGAGCGCGACGACGCCGTGGCTCGCGCGGCGATGTTGGAGCGCATGGTCAAGAAGAACGCAAAAATGCGTATTGCAGACTCTGAAATGTTTGCGCGCGAACGTGAATGCGCCGCGGAACAAAAAAAGAAATTACTCAAACGGCTTGAAGAGGCGCACCCGCGCGTGGGCACGGTCGGCTCACCCGAGCTCGAGTGCCAGTACAATGCCGCTTTGGGCACCATTGCGGCATGGCAGATGCAGGCGGCCAAGATTGAGCGCGAGCGCGACGCCGCTGACGCGCGCGCGACGGCATGGGAGCAACAGCTCCTAGAGGCGCGCGCAGACTCGATCACGCTAGTCGAGCACGTGTCCGACGCGACGGAGGCTTTGGAGGCCGCGAACGCTGCATTCGAGGCCATGCGCGCCGAGTCGCGTCGGTTCGCGTGCGACGACCTCGACGGTCTCGACCTCGCGGGCCTCGCGGCGCTGGCGACGAGCCTCGACGCCGCTCGAGCTCGGGTGCAGGCGGCGCGCGAGGCGCGGCTGAACTCTGTTCCGGAGACATTTATGTGTCCCATCACCTGTGAGCCGATGCTCGATCCCGTCGTCCTCGCCGACGGCCACTCGTACGAACGCGCCGCCATCGCGAGATGGCTCGAAACGCACGACACGTCGCCGCAGACCAACCTGTCTCTGGCCCACAAGCACCTGACGCCGAACATCACGCTCCGGAATGCGATCCGCGACGCCGGCATCGGCTAGTGATATAAGCATTAAAACGACGTGCTCACGCGGCACGCGTCGCAGATGCGCGCCGCGTGGAAGATGGCCGCGTGAAACAAAGGCTCTCTCCCTCGAGAACACGCGTCGCAGACGAGCGCGCCACAGTGCTTGCACCGGTGCGTGTCGAAGGCGCGCTGCGCCGCGGAGTCGGACGTCGACTCCCACGTAAACCGGTTCTCGCAGACCTTGCACGTGTCGCGCGCGGTCTCCCAGGGCGGCGGCGCCACGGCCGGCGGGTCCATGGCCCGGCGCCGCGCGCAGGCTCGGAGCGCGTCGTGGTACGATTCTCGGTAGTGGTCGCTGACCGCGCGCGCGCTCCAGACGACGCCGTCGTAAAAACTCCGGTCGACGGCGGAAAGCATCCAGCGGCCGTGGCAGCGGAACGCGTGGACGAGCTCGCCGGCGACGACGAGGTCGACGTCGTCGCCGTCGTCCGGCGGCGGCGGCGGCGCCTTCGCCTCCTCCTCGGGGGCCGCGCCGAGGGACGAGAGCCGGCGGCGGATCGCGCCGACGCGCGAGTCCGTGCGGCGCCGCGGCGGCCAGAGCTCCAGCGCGCGCGCGGCGACGGCGCGCGCGTCGGCCTCGCGGTCCGCGTGGAAGTCCGCCGCCGCGAGGTCGCGGAGCGCCGCCGCGGCGGCCCTCCTCGAAAAGCGCGGCGCGACGTCGTCGCCGAGGCCCACGTGCACCACGCAGGCCGCGGCCGCGGCCGCCAGCCTCGGCTCGCAGGACGGCGGCGCGCCGAAGGCGACGCCGCGGACGCGGTCCGGCGCGAGGGGCCGCAGCTGGAGCGCGACGAGGCCCGCGGCGGCGCCCGCGGCGCCGTGGCCCACAACAAGAAGCCGCGGCGCGCCGTCCGCCGCCAAAAGCGCCGCGACGGCGCCGTGTGCCTCGTTGAAGACACCGTAGGCCGATGCCACCGCCGCGCCGCAGGCCCGCGCGCCGTCCTCGAACTGGGTCGACCGCAGGCCGCAGGTCACGGCGTCGTCGCCCGCGCGGAGCGCGAGCACGACGCGCGCCGCGCGGCCGCCGCCGTCGCGGCGGTGGAAGAGGCGCCAGCCGGCGCCCTCGGCGACGAGCGCGGAGCCGTCGCCGAGCCGCGCGAGGCGGTGCGCCTCCGCCGGCGTCGCCGCCGCGGCGTAGACGAGCGCGAAGGGCGCCGCGGCGAAGATCGCGGCCGCGACGTCGCCGGGGATCGCCGCTTCGGCGGCCTCGGGAGCGGTCTCGTCGAAGACCGCGTCGAGCGGCTTCCGAATCCGCCGCCGCCGCACGGCCGCGGCGGCGTAGTAGAGCTGGACGCAGGCGTCGGCGATGACGAAGGGCCCCTCGACGACGCCCGGGGCGCCCGCGTGGAACGCGCCGAGGAGTTCGACCAATTCCTTGTGGAGCAGGACGAGGCCGAGGCCGACGTAGCCCGCGGCGCGCGCGTTCCGAGCGCCGACGACGGCGGACCTCGCCGCCGCGGGCACGCCGGGCGCCCACTCCGCGATCTTTCCCGCCGCCTTCAGCACGCGGAGCGCCTTGCTCTTCGAATCGTCCGCCTCGCGGGCGCCGCCCCACGCCGGGAGCGGGCCGTTCGGTATCGAGGCGATGGTCGCGGCGACGACGGCGCGCTCGACGCGCAGCGCCGCCTCCTTGGCCGACATCTCGAGCGCGCAGCAGTCGCACCAGGACGGGGCCCGCCGCGTCGCGCGTTCGAGCAGCGTCGACGTCGGCGCGCTCGAGAGGTGCGCGCCGCAGAACTGGCGGCCGCACAGCTCGCAGGGCGACAGGCGGCCGAGAATGCGCCCCGGTCTCGCCCAGCACTTGGTGCACGCGACGTCGGAGTCGCTCGCGTTTGGGATCGGCGCGTCGTCGAGCTCCAGGTCCGCGACGTCGACCCAGGACAGCCGCCGCGCGCTCATGCGCCGCGCGAAGAGCAGGAGCTGCCCGCCCGTCGACGACCGACGGGCCGCGGGTGAGATCGACGGTGCCAACGCTGCCTCCCTGTCCGCCTGCCCCGCGTCAGAGGGCTGCCCCGCCTCAGACATCGTATGTTCGGAGAGGCAGCTTTGGCTGATTGACCCATCATTGAGCTATTGAGCATGGGCAGCCCCTTGATGAGAAGCAAATAACATGCACTGGCGCCTGCTCCTCGCCTTGGTCGCGGCGGCGGAAGCGCCGGCGCCGCTGAACCTCGCGGAGTTGCTGCAGGCCTTCGAGGACCGCGACAGCCAGCCGTATGAGCCGCCGCCGCCGCCGCCACCCGCAGCGGATGCGGCCGCGGCGCCGCCGCCCGCCGCGGACGCCAACCCACCGGCGGCACCGATGCCGCCGCCGCGACGAAAGAAGGTCCGGCGCCGGCGGCCGCCGCCGCCGCCGCGACCGCCGCCCGCGAACGTGAGCGAGGCGGAAGCCAAGCGGCGGTCCGCGTCCGTGCGGCGCTGCGCGGCCGGCGACACGCCGCGGGCGACGACGACGCGGACGGCGCAGACGCCGAACGTGCTGCTCGTCGTGCCCGGCGTGCTCGACGCGCGCCGCGCGGCGAACGTGCGGCGGAACTGGCGCGCGGTGCGGCCGCGGCGGTGCCTCGCGCTCACGTGGCGGCGCTGCGGCGAGGACGCGGACCTCGACGAGGCGCTGGACGGCCCCCTCGACGGCCGAGCGTCCGAGCCGCCCCTGGGCGCCGTCTGCAGCGTCGTGCGCGCGGCGACGGCGGGAAATGGGTACGTGCACCAGATGAAGCACGTGCTCCCGTCCTTCGTCGACGACCTGCGCTTCGACTGGGTCTTCGTCGTGTTGGACGACGTCGTGCTGAACCCGGGCTTCGACCTGCCGCGGCTCGCGCGCGTCGCGCGCAAGAACGGCCTCGCGGCCGCGTCGCCGGCGATCGAGCGCGCTCACGCGCGGAAATTCCCGGACATGGTGCCGCGGCCCCTGCCCGGCGCCGCCGTCGGCCGCCGCGTCGACGTCCTCGAGTTCTTCGCCGTGCTCTACACGCCCGCGGCCTACCGGTGCCTCTACGACCTCCTCGACGCGGACCTCAACGCGCTCGGCTACGGCTACCCGGCGTGGCTCCCCGTCTACTGCCGCGCGCGGCCGGGCCTCGACTACGCCGCGGGCGTCGTCGACGCCCTCGTCGCGACGCACGGCGACAGCAGGGCGGACGCGCGGTCCAAGTCCTACTCGGACCGCGAGGCGCAGCAGGCGCGGTCCCGCATGCGCGCGTTCTACAGCGCCCACGACGTCGCCCTGGGCGTCGACGCCAACGCGTCCTCGTCGGCGGGGTTGCTGCTGTATGAGTGAATGAGATTCTTTGTTTTGTGGGTGGGGTATGGGGTCGAGCTCGCAAAGTGCATGTCTGGAGGCCTGACTTGATCCGCCTCGACTAGGCTTCGACTCAGGAGCAGGCTCCTGCTCGAGTCGCTGACCGTGACCTCCACAACACGATTCAGTGGGCCGGGTCGGCACGGCGGGACGGGCGCGCGGGCGCCCACCAACGCGCCCCGCGGTACTCTTTACGTCCGTGGATACAGATGGAGAGTGACCTGTTTGATGCGGTTTGTGAGGGCCGCGAAGACGATGTTGTCGCACTCATTGCTTCCGGTGTGGATGTGAGCGCCGCTGAAGATGATGAAAATGGTTGGACGCCGCTACATCATGCGTGTGTCGCCAGATGCAGTGGCGTGGGAATCGTCCGGATTCTGATAGAAGCGGGGGCGGATGTCAATAAGCGCACCCTTGCCCCACTTTTCGACGGTGCACAAAACACGCCTCTCGTGTTCGCGGTTCTTTCAAAACAACATGAAACCGTGAAGGTGTTGCTCGCCGCGGGAGCGGGTCCAAACTGTGAGCGCTCGTATCGTTATGCCGTCAGGGATGGTTGCCGCCACATGCTCCGTTTGTTGCTTCAACACCGTGTTCCCATGATCGTGCCCGAAGACTGGCGCCGCAATTCCGCCCTGTGCATGTGGGAAGACAACGATCTTCGAAGTTACGAAGCCACCTGGGCATACCACGACAAGATTGTCGCCGCGGGCGGATACGATGCCCTCGTCAAAAAGCACCGCGAAATCCTCGCGAGCGTCGTCGACAAGGTCGTCGAGGCCAAGTTCCGCCGCCGCGCGCCGCAGGAGGTCTGCGCGCACGTCGCCCTGTTCATCGCGCCGCCGGGGGGCTTCTAAGTAAGTTACTCCCGCGCGTCGCCCTCGAAGACGACGGCGAGCCGCCGCTGCTCCTGGCGCGCGGCCGTGAGCTCGTTGATGAGCTGCTGGAGCGACCCGAGCGGCGCGCGCGTCTCGCCGACGTAGACCGCGCGCCAGCCCACCAAAACGCCGGTCTGGAAGCCCTGGCCGTCGCGGGCGACGCCGAGCACCTCGAGCGTGTCCTCGTCGAAGGTGATGCCCAGGGAAAACAGCGGGTCGAAGACGCGCGCGGGAAAGAGCGCCTTGCCGATCGCCTCGTCCTCCTCCTCGTCCTCCGGCGGCGCGTCGCGGGCCGCGGCGCGGGCCTCCTCGACGGCCGCGCAGGTCGCGTCGCCGACGGCCGCGGCCGCGCGCGACGGCGCCGCGGCCGAAGACGCGGCCTCCGGAGCCGCCGCCGCCGCGGCCTTCCTCGGCCGCGCCACGAGGTGCGACTCCGTCTTCGCCGCGGCGCGGCCCGTGACGATGGACCAGGCGCCGCCCGCGTCGGACACGGGCACGCCGTACCAGTCGCCCACGCGGGGCTTGGGCTTCGGCGGCGGCGCGAAGACCTCGGGCCGGAAGTCCTCGCCCTCCTCCAGGATCACCTCCTTCTTGACGGCGCGCTTCTTCTTCTTCTTGGCCGCCGGCGCCGGCGCCGGCGCGACGCTGACCCCGTCGCCGAAGGCCGCCTTGCGGAGGAGCGGCACTTTCTTGGCCTCGAGGTCCTTGAGGTTTCGGAACGGCCGGCCCCAGTCGTAGTACTTGACGGCCTTGCAGCGCGTGAGCGTGATGTGGACGGACCGGCAGCCGCCGCGCCGGTCGTCGGCCTCGATGGTCCACTCGGAGTCGTGGCCGTCGACGTCGCTGTTGAGCCGCATCGAGTCGTCGAAGACCACTTCGCCGCCGACGGTCAACCCGACGACGTTCGTCGCGCCCTTCTTCGCGCGAAACACGACATCCTTCGCCTCGACGCCCGGCGCGAGCTTCACCCAGATGTGCACGTAGCGCGTGCTCGTGTCCTCGTCCTCGTCGCCCTCGTCGTCGCCCTCGACGACCTCCTCGATCCAGCGCCAGCCGGGAAAGCTGCCGTTGATCTCGCGGATCTGCTGGATCGCGTCGGCGCCCTCGGCGCCGAGGCCGTCGAGCCGCGACCGGAGCGCGTTCGTTTGTTTGTCCGTCGACGGGCGCAGCGTGTCCGCGAGAGTCGCCATCGGCCTCGATGGTGGGCTGCAAGCGGGCTGCACGAAGCTAATGATGCCGTTCGCTGAAGTCCACAGCCGCGCAAAAATGGACCGCTCTCTCAACGATCCGGACCTCGTGGAGTGGATCGCCGCGCGCAGCGACCCCTTCGGCGCGAGGCACGGCCTCGCGCGCAGCGGCTGCGCCGGCCTCTTCCTCGGCTGCGTCTTCGGCGTCCACCTCACGCTCCTCGTCCAGCTCGCCGTCGGCGCGCTGCCGATGCAGATGTGCCTGCTGCGCTGGTGCTGCTACGTCCTCGCGCTCAGCGGCTTCCACGCCGCGGAATTCCTGACGACGGCGCGCTACAAGTGGACGGACGTGTCCTACGACAGCTGGCTCCTGAACCACAGCGCGGCCTATGGCTACGCGGCCGCGGCGGCGATGGTCGAGTTCTGGCTCGAGGCCTACTTTTCCCCCGGACTCAAATCGTCAAAGCCGCTCCTCGCGCTCGGCCTCGCCGTCGTGCTCCTGGGCCACGGCGCGCGCGTCGCGGCCATGGTCACGTGCGGCGAGCATTTCGCGCATCGCATCATGATCGCCAAGGACCCGCGGCACCGGCTCGTCACGCACGGCATCTACGCGCATCTGCGGCACCCGAGCTACACGGGCTGGTTCTGGTGGTCCGTCGGCACGCAGGTCGTGCTGGCGAACCCGCTCTGCTTCGTCGCGTACGCGGCCGCGTCGTGGCGGTTCTTCGCGGACCGCGTCCCCTTCGAGGAGGCGACGCTCCGCGCGTTCTACCCCGCCGAGTACCCGGCCTACGTGCGACGAACGCGCGTGCTCATCCCCTTCCTCCGAAGCGATGACCACGAGGATTAAGTGGGGCAGGGGCGGCGGCGCCTAGAAGAACATGGCCGCGTCGTCCTCCTCCTGGTTCTCGTCGTTGGAGTCCTCGGGGATGGGCGCCTCGCCGGGCGCGGCGACGCCCGGGAGCTTGAAGGCGTCCTGGAAGCTCACCCAGGAGGGGACCTTGCTCTTGGGCGCCCGTCGGGGCCGCGGCGGCGCGTTGACCGCCGCGAACGCGGGCATGGACAGCGACCGGCCGAAGGCGGCGCCCGGCGCGTTTTCCGCGGGCGTCGGCGGCGAGTCCGGCTCGCCCTCGGCGACGGGCGGCGGCCGCGCCGGCGCCGGCGGCGGCGCGTACTGCTCCGAGAAGTCGTGGCTGCTGTAGTAGCGCGCGCCGCGGTTCGACACGCGCGCGAGCGCCTGGAGCAGCTCGACGAGGTTGTCGTGCGTGTCGACGTAGGATTCGGCGCCCGAGGGCTTCTTGCCCATGCAGACGCTGAAGGCGCGGCCCTTGAAGCGCGCCGGCGCCTGGCCCGCGGGCGCGAGCCAGCGGTGGAGCGCGTCGAACATGGGCTCGTCGGACGCGTCGTCGCCGACGACGAGCGCGAAGTCCGCCGGCCGGCCCGCGGCGTCGAGGGCCCGCAGGACGCGCTGCAGCAGCGCGCCCTTGTCCATGCCCGCGGGCCGCGCCTCGACGTAGCCGCCGCGGCTCGGGTTCTCGCCCCGGAGCACGGACACCTGGCTCGCAAAGGGCGTGAGCACGACCCGGAGCTGCGCCTCGAGCTCCGCGGCCTGCATCTCGCCGTAGTCCGGGTCCGCGTCGCGGTACTGCCAGACGAGGCACGACTCGTGCGTCTCGACGTACGTGCCTTGCGTCCGCTGCGCGAACATGTCCATGAGCGCGAGCGTCGGCGCGCGCCAGTCGTCGGCGTGGCGCGCGTGCGCCGGCACGGCCAGATCCCAGTCCTCCTCGCGGACGAGCTCCGCCTGCTTGGCGGACTTGGGCGACCCCGGCGGCGACGACGCCGGCGCCGGCGGCGCGTCGGCCGCCGCCGCGAGCGCCTCGCCGCGGTCGACGAGCGCGCGGTGCTCCGCGACCTTGGGCGACCCCGCCGTCGCGTGGAATTCCGGCGCGTGGTCCCGCAGGCCCTTGGGCCAGCGCACGAAGAAGCCGTGCTCCGCGGCCAACCCCAAATTCGCGTTCTCGTCGCGGCCGCACAGCCCGTCGAGCAGGTCGACGCGCTCGCGGCCCGACACCACGAACACGACGTTGCGCGGGTCGCGGCAGAGCGCGTCCAAGACCACCACCACGTCCCGCGCGGGCTTCGGCGACCGCTTCTCGCCCTTGGCGATCGCGTACGCGGCCACCGGGTCGACGACGTCCGCGGCCGCGTCGGGCACCAAGGTGCCGCCGTAGTCGAGCACGATCAAGCGCGACCCGCCGGCGCACTCGTTCTGGCACGCGCCGCGGTAGGCCCGCGCGACGCGGTCCACGGCGAGCGCGTCGAAGCCCGACCGCATGCCGAGGATCCGGAAGCCGAGCCCCAAACCCGCGTGCGTCGCGTGCATGCGGTTCTCGTCCTTGGCGATGGCCTTCAAGTCCTGGAGCACGCGGTAGGCCCACTTCGCCGTCGTCGACCGCAGGAGGAACTCCGCGTCCTTGGCGTGGCGCGCGAGGCGCTCGCGCGGCCGCATCGCCAGCACGTTCCGCAGCGCCGCCGCGCAGTCCTCGACGCCCCAGGGGTTCACGGCGACCGCGCCCAGGAGCACGCGCGTCGCCGACGCGTTGTCGCTCAGCAGCAGCGCGCCGACGCGCCGCCCCGCGCAGCGGCCGCGCCGCGCGGCGTGCGATTGCGCGAACGCGCCGCTCTGCAACAGCTCCGCGAGCGTCGCGACCTCGTGGCCCTCCATCTTCCGCTCCCCCAGGTTCACGGCCACGTAGTGGCGGGGCTTGACGAGCACGCAGCCCGCGTTGGGCTTGTCGGCCGTCGCCTCCGCGGCGGCGACGGCGCCCGCGGCCGCGGCCGCCGCGGCCGCGACGTCCGCCGTCGGGAAGACCGCGTCCGCCAGCTCCCGTTCCTCGAGCCCCCGCGTCTTCGCGCGGCCCGCGTCCAACGTCTTGGGGAAGAAGTTCGTCGACGGGTCCGCGCAGGGGTAGCCCGGCCCGCCGTTGCAGTCGAGCATGCGCGCGAGCGCGTCGTCGAGGTACTTTTGGTGCTGCACGCCGTCGACGCCCAGCGCCGCCTCGACGTCGCCGTGGATCTCCGTGCCCATGAGCGTCTCGTACTGCATGGCCACGTACTCGAGCGGCCAGCGGTTCAGGCCGTCGCGCACGGACGAGACCCAGAAGACGTCCGCGACGGCGAGGAGCGCGAGCCGGTCGTGGATCGGCACCTCGAAGAACTCGTGCCAGTAGAGCACGTCGTTTCCGTGCTTGGCCTTGATGCGCTCCACGAGCACGCGGCAGTCGCGCCGGATCTTGTCGCAGTCCGCCTGGCGCTCGAAGGACGTCAGCGCGTACTGCACCAAACACGTCCGGTCGCCGCCCGCGCCCTCGTCCTCCGCGAAGTCGCCCGCCGCGCGGCGCGCCGCCGCGCCCTCGAGGAAGCGCTCGTAGGCCAACAACTTCAGGGGCAGCCCCCGGAGCCGCTCGATCTTGTCGATGCCCGCGATGACGCGCGTGACCGCGGTACCGCGCGGCGAGGTCGCGGGCAGCGAGGCCCGGAGGTTCTCGAACGCGCGCGCGCCCTCGGGCGACGCCGACACCCGGCTCAGCACCGTCGGCTCGACGCCCGCGTGGACGCAGGAGATGACGACGTCGCGGCCGTCGACGTCGAGGACCGCGCCGCGCGCGTCGAACTCGTACTTCGTGCCCAGGAGCCGCCGGCAGTTCGTCATGAAGTGGCGCGCGTACTCGTAGAGGTGGAAGCCGATCTGGTCCGCGGAGAGGATGCCCCGCAGCAGCTCCGAGCGCATGCTCAGCGTGCGGAAGATCTCCGACGACGGGAAGGGCGTGTGGAGGAAGATGCCGACCTTGGCGACGGTGAGGCGCCGGCTCACGAACGCGGGGAGCAGCGCGAGCTGGAAGCCGTGGATCCACACGAGGTCGCCCTCGTTGTAGGCCTCGACGACGTAGTCGCGGAAGATCTGGTTCACGCGCTTGTAGGCGTGCCAGGCCTGCTCGTCCTTCGTCGTCACGCGGCCGCGCGGCGCGGACTTGGCCGTCGCGCGCGTGCCCGCCGACGAGTCGAGGCCGTCGGAGCCGCTGCCCGTCGACGGCCGCGACTGGAAGGACCCGAGCTGGCGCGCGGCCTCGGCGAGGTCCGCGGCCTCCGCGATGGGGTCGACCTCGCTGAACGACGACGACGACACGGACCGCATGATCTTGACGTCGCGGTCGAGGCGCTGCGCGGAGCCCGTCGCCGCGAGGAGCGCCCCCGGCGCGTCCTGGGCGCCCTCGTCCCGCGGGTACTCGTAGATGTCGTCGTACTCGAGCAAAGGCGTCGACTGCTCGCCGAAGACCTCGAGCGAGTCGTGGAACACGGGCCAGAGGATGCCCTTGCAGAAGCTGTGGTAGAAGAGGCGGAAGGTCTCCTCCTCGAGGAAGATGGCGATGGAGCACCAGGGCGCGCGGCGCAGCCGCGCGGCCAGCGCCGCCTTCTCGTCCTCCGTCGCGTCGCCCGGGACGCGCGCGACGCCGACGCGCGTCACGCGGAGCGGCGCCTCCAGCGACAGCAGGTTCTCGTAGTCCCAGGCCACGTCCAGGCCGCCGCTCGCGTCGCGCGTGATGAGCACGGGCAGGAACAGGGACACGACGACGACGCCGTCGGAGACGTCGAGGCTCTGGTGCGCGCCGACGCCCGGCGGCGGCGCCTCGCGGCCGATGAACGACTCGAGCGCGCGCCGCTGCGCCGCGGCGCGCTGGCCCCGCGGGCTCAGGTCCTCGGCGGCGAGCTGCTTCGGCGCCGCGACGCGCGGCGACTCGGACCGCTCCGTCGCCGCGCGGAAGGCCTCGCGGTCCGCGACCTCGGACGAACGATCCGCGGCGGCCGAGAACCGGACGGCCTTGCCCTCGGGCGTCGTCGGGTCGCCGCCGCCGTCGGCGTGGGCGCCGGCCTTGGACGCCGCGGCCAACGCCTCCACGGACGTGTCCGCGAGCCGCAGCCGCCGCGCGTCCTCGCGCGTCCACTCGCCCAGCCCCTCGCACGCGACGGCGTCGTCGACGGCGAGCGTGTCGCCCGGCGACCCGTCGGCCCTGGGCTCGAGCGCCGCCGGGTCGACGACGACGAAGCGCGCCGTCTGGTCGCCCTCGAAGGTCTCCCAGCGGTCGAAGGACCCGCCGGAGAAGACCGCGTACTTGTACTGCACGACCTCCCGCGACACGACCGCGACGGGCTCGACGGACGTCCACACGGGGTAGGTCGCCGTGCTCGTCCGCATCTTCACGCCGAGCTCCGGGTCGTTGCGCCCGAGCACCTACGGACGGACGGGGGGGTCGGTTCGAGGCGCGCGGGGACGTTCGGGCGCCGGAAATCGGACGAGCGTGTCGCCCGTGACGACGAGCTCCTCGCCGAAGCCGAGGGGCGCGTAGGCGCGGAACTGGATCTTCGACGTCGGCGCCGCGGCCTTGGCCTTGGGCGCGCCCGTCCGGCGGCTCATCTGCGGCCTCGAGCCAAAGCGCCGGGCGCGGAAAGTATCAAGGCGTGGCGGCGCGCGCTCGTCGCCGGGCGCGGCGCGGGGCGGTCCCGGACGCACCGGGCAGGGCCCGAGGCGCGCGCGGCGGCGCGGCGCGGCCGCGAGACGCGCTCCGAGTCGCCGGCGGGCGCGAGAGTCTTGCGCTCGCGCGAGTTGAGGGCAGACGCCGTCTTGCGACCGAGAGAGCTGCGAGATCTCGGCTGACCGAGCAGCGGCAACCTTGCACCACGAAATCCGACGGTCGGGCCGAGGCTGCCCGACGACCCAGTGCGAACTTGTGGCTGGTCCAGGGCATGGCCACGGCCACGGCCCAGATCGCCACCCGCGTCGTCGTGGGCGAGGGCGGCGTCGTCAAGGAGGAGCGGGACCGGAGCTCGCGCCCGCGCCGCGGCTCGTCCCTCACGGAGAACCCCCTCCAGCTGAGTAGTCCCGAAAAAAAGCTCGCGGCGGCGCCCGTGTCGAGCCCGACCAAGGGCATGAACGTCCTGACGGAGGAGCAGCTCGGCGAGATCGCCGGCGCGCTGCGGAGCTTAAGTGATTTACGGAAGCTCGGCGCCCTCAACGCCGCGGTCGGCCCGCACGCCGTGACGTGCGACCAGATAGCAAAGCTCGTCGAGACGACGGACAGCGAGCACGTGAAGCTCACCATGGTCCAGGTGCTGGCGCCCCGCTGCGCGGACCCGCGCCACGGCGAGGCCATCGCCGACACATTCGCCGAGGCGAGCCAGCGCCAACAATGCCACGACAGCTTCGCCGCGCGATCCAGGAAGATCGACATCGACAGCCGCTTCGCCGCGTCGTCGGGCGCCAAGAAGCACCGGTCGCGGAGCGTCCTCGAGCGGCGCGTCGCCGCGGCGCGGGCGGCGCTGGCCGAGTCGAAGGCGTCCCTCGACGCGCCGTCGCCCTCCGGGGCCGGCGCGAAGAAGCCGCCCGCGTTCTCCGAGCCCGTCGCGCCCCCGGAGCCGGAGGCGCCCGCGCCGGAGCCGGAGGCGGACGCCGCGCCCCCCGCGGCGCTGGCGCCCGTGCCGGAGTCGCCGCCGAAGCCCGCGACGCTGGCGACCCGCCTCTTCGAGCCGGGGTCGCCGACGTCGCCCGCGACGGCCGCGGCGCCGCCGAAGACGAACGCCTTCGCGACGCCGCCGAAAAAAAAATCGAGCGAAAAGGCCGTCGTGAGCTTCCGCATCGAGCCGTCGACGCGCGAGCAGGAGGAGGCGGCGCTGGAGCGGTGCAAGATCCTCGCGAGCGAGACGAAGATGCGGCTCGCGAGCTCGCGCATGCTCATCGAGAAGGACAAGGAGATCGCCGCCAACTACAACGACCTCATGTGCGAGGCCGCCGCCGACTTTGGCAACGAGGCGGAGCCGCCCGCGGTGCCGTGGTACGGGTCCTGCACGGGCTTCGTCCCCTTCCTGGGCTGCGCCACGCCGGACAAGCAGGCCGCGACCGACGCCCAGCAGCGGCGCGACGCCTGGGGGCGAAAATGAGGCCCCCGCCGTCGCCCGCGGTAACTCCTTACAGCGTGAACGTCGCCGGCACCTTGCTCGGCGCGGTGCGCGCCTCCGCGAGGGGCTTCGCGGCGGGCGGCGCCGCGTCCCGCCTGGGCATGAGCGCCGGCACCCCGGGCGGCTTCGCCCGGGCCGGCGGCGGCTTGACGTCGCGCTTCGACCGGCGGTGGAGCTTGTCGGCCTGCGCGGCGACGAAGGCGGCGATCCAGTCGAGCTTGTCGCGCGGCGACGGCGCCGTGAGGACGACGCCCTTCTGGGGCGACTCGACGAGGAACGAGCAGGCGTCGAGGTCGACGCCGCGGACGTCGAGGCCCATGCGGTCCAGGAGCTTGCGCGCCTGCTTCGACGCGCGCGGCACGGGCGCCGACGCCGCGCTGTAGACGAGTGACGCGTCGACGACGACGGCCGCGGCGATGGGGATGACCTTGCGCAGCCGGAAGGCCTTGCCCTCCGTGCCGTAGAGGAGCAGGTCGTTGCAGACGGCCGCGACGACGCGCCGCGTGCCGCCCCGCTTCGTCGACTTCGCGAGCGGGCCCCGGTGCAGGAGGACCCGCTGGGGCACGGCGAGCCAGGGCAGCCGCCAGGAAACGCTCAGGGAGCTCAGCACGGCCGCGGCGTCGACGGACGCGTCCACGGAGCCGCAGGCCGCCTTGACGGCGTCGCGCGCGCGCGATAACGCGCCGCGGCAGGGCCTCAGCACCGCGACGGCGTGGAGGTCGTCGCCGCCGCCGTCGGGGCAGCGCCGGAGCGCCTCGTCGAGCAGGAGGCCGTAGCGCCTATGTGGCGCGGGATCACCTGTCAGCTCGACCATGTGGGGACGCCGCGGCGCGCGGGATGCGCTGCACGGGCTCCATGAGGTACGACTCGAGCGGCAGATTCCGCGCGAGCGGGTGGAGCTCGAGCGCGCGGAGGAACGTCCGCGCGGCGGCGGGAAGCGCCGCGTGCTTCTTCCGGCTGTCGTCCCGATTCCGCGAATACGCGGCGAACACGGCCTTCATGTCGCGATCCGCCGCGGCGAAGACGACCGCGCCTACGAAGCTTTCGTTTTCGAAAAAGCGCGCCGCGGTCGTCGGACGCCGGACGGCGCCGACGCGCGCGGCCGTGCTCCAGACGTCGGCGCGCTGTTCGACGGCGTCGGCGAAGCACGATTCGAGTTCGCCGACGAAGGCTTTCGACCACGCGAGCACCTCGGCCGCGTTGCCGAAGAGCGTTCTCGCGTCGTCGAGCGTCGGGGAGCCTTCCGCGTCGTCGACGCCGCTCGACCGCCGCCTCTGGCGCGTCGGCGACGCGTCGGCGCACTCGAGGACCCAGCGCTCGAAGGGTCGTTGGAAATACTCGACCAAGATCTCGCAGCGGCTTTTGAAGCGGCGCTCGGTCTCGAGCAGCTCGGCGAGCACGAGCGAGAGGTGGCCGTCCGGCGACGGCGCCGCCGGCACGGGCTCGGCGAAGAAGGAGGTGCCGCTGCTGCTGCCGCTCCGAGGCGTCAAGCCCGTGGCCTCGGCGGCAAAGGCGACGTGCGACGCCTGGGTCTCCTGTTGGGCCGCGAGGGACATGCGCACGAGGGTCTCTCGCACGCCATCCTCGTCGTCGCCGCTCTCGTCGTCGTCGCCGTCCCAAACGAGCTCCTCGCTCGTCTTCTTCGTCGAGGCGAAGGCGGATGCGAGGCTGTGGGCCGCCATTACTCAAATGGGCAGCCCCATTTAGCACGACAACATCGCGTCAATGTCGCATGCAACAACGTCCAGCGCATCGGCACGAGACATGGATCCTCTCCGCGGCGATGATGCTTCCGCGGTTTCCGCGGCCGCGCCGGCGCCGCAAAAGTCGTTCCTCGACGGCGTGCTCCCGCAGGCGCTGCAGGACGGCCCCGTGGGCGCCGTCGTCGCCGGCGGCGCGGGCCTCGCGGCGCTGAGCCTGGGCCTGGGCCTCTTCCGGAGCGGCTCGCGCCTCGCCGTGTCGGGCCTGCGGCGGCACCTGACGACGACGCTCGAGGTCACGTCCAAGGACCCGGCCTACCCCTGGGTGCTGCACTGGCTCAAGGAGGCCAAGGGCCGGAGCAACGCGTCGTTCAAGCACGTGTCGGCGGCGACGATCGTCGGCGACGAGGCCGGCGGCGCGTCCTTCGACCTCGTGCCGTCGCCGGGCAAGCACGTCGTGCGCTACGGCGGGTCCTGGCTGCTCGTGGAGCGCGCGCGCGAGTACGGCACGGTGAACACGAGCTCGGGCACGCCGTGGGAGAAGCTCACGCTCACGGCGTTCGCGTCGCCGGCGACGGCGGCGGGCGGTCTCTTCCGCGAGTTGCTGGGCGACGCGCGCGACGGCGCCCTCGCGGCCAAGGACGAGGACGCGACGATCCTCTACACGTGCTGGGGCACGGAGTGGCGGCCGTTCGGGCGGCCGCGCGCGAAGCGGCGCCTCGAGTCCGTCGTGCTCAAGGCCGGCGTCGCCGAGAGCATCGTCGGCGACGTCGAGGACTGGGGGACGAACGCGGAGTGGTACCGGAGCCGCGGCGTGCCCTACCGGCGGGGCTACCTGCTCCACGGGCCGCCGGGCGGAGGCAAGACGTCGTTCATCCTGTCGCTCGCGGGCCGCCTCGGCCTCGACGTCTGCCTGCTAGCGCTGAGCGACGAGGGCCTGAGCGACGACCGCCTCGCCCTCGCGCTGAGCGCCGTGCCGCCGCGCTGCGTCGTGCTGCTCGAGGACGTCGACGCCGCGTTCGTGAGCCGCGACGACGCGACGCGGCGGCCGGGCGCCGCGGGCCCGTCGCTGACGCTCAGCGGCCTGCTCAACGCCCTCGACGGCGCGGCGGCGAGCGAGGGCCGCGTCGTCTTCATGACGACGAACTACGTGGACCGCCTGGACCCGGCGCTCCTGCGCCCGGGCCGCGTCGACGTCGTGAGCCGCCTCGGGCGCGCGGACGCGGACCAGGCGGCGCGGCTCTTCGCGTCGTTCTACGACGAGGCGCGGGGCCCCGACGCCGACGCCTTCGGCGCCGCCGTCGTCGCCGCGTCGCGCGCGGCCGCGGGGCGGCCGCCGTCCATGGCCGAGCTCCAGGGCTTCCTCCTCACGCGAAAGTTCGACCGCGCGGCGGCGCTCGCGGACGTCGCGGACATCGGCGACGTGCTGCGCGTGGCGCCGCCGCCGGAGACGCCGGCCCTCGACGACGACGACGACGACGACGAAGAGCCGCTCCCCGTCAAGTCCCGGGGCCGCAAGCGGCTCACGGCGCTCGAGGTCGACCGCATGGTCTTCAACCCCCAGCCCGGCTGGGAGGACGACATCGGCCGGATCAAGTAACGCGGGGGCGATGTCTATGTTAGCCGAGGAGCGGCGCCTCCTCCTTCTCCGGCGGGTACATGGACCGCAGCAGCAGGCCCGCGCCGACGGAGAGGAGCGCGAGCTGGACGAAGAAGGACCACGCGTCGAAGGACTTCGGCGCGACGAGCACGAGGACGGCGGAGCCCACGGTCGCGACGGCCGTGGGCCCGAAGAAGAGCCAGCCGCCGGCCTGGAGGTCCGTGCCGAGGTGCTTCTTGAGTTCTCTGTCGCAGCAGCCGCCGAAGCAGGGGACGACGAGCGCGTCGTAGAAGCGGCTCGAGCCGTTGCCGCCGTTCTGCTGCATATGGCTCGGCATGGCCGACAGCACCCAGACGTAGAGGCACGCCATGCAGACGACGGACCCGACGAGGCACAGCGCGCCCAGCGCGTAGTCGTGGCCGTCGAAGAGGTACGTGAAGCTGATGACGACGTAGGGCACGCACGCGAGCTCGAAGGACCAGGTCGCCAGGAGCATGTCGTTGAAGGTGAAGGTCCGCTCGACGAACGTCAGGCTGTCGAGATCGACGGTGAGCGCCTCCTGCGCGCACCGCTCCATCTCCTCGGGGTACGACAGGTTCACGAAGTACGCGGCGCCGACGGTGAACATGAGGCCGCTCACGGCGTTGCCCCAGGCGAACGTCAGCTTCGGCACGTCCTCGCTGTCCCAGGCCTCGACGACGAGGTCCGCCGCGTAGAGCGCGTAGAGCGCCGACGCGACCAGGAGGCACCACGACCCCAGCAGCGCGTCCGTGCCAAAGTGGCGCGCGCAGAAGCTAAAGTCCTCGTCGTCGGCGTCGGCCTGCGCGCCGGGCTTGCGCGGGGGGTCGCCGGGGGTCAGCAGGTCCTGCTCCGACTTGCGCGGCGTCCCGCGCAGCTTCTCGCGCCACTCTTTGAGGGTCGACTTCGTGTGTTGTAGCGCTTTGTTCATTGTTGGGCGCGGGCGCTCGTCGCGCACTCGCAGCGGCGCGGCGCTGACGAGCTCGCGACGTTTTTGATGACAGCGTCGACGCGATCGGCGGCTCGAGCTGGAGCCAACTCGGCCTCGCCACAAACATTTCCGCCGTGTTGCCGCGGGCGTCGCACACCGCAGCGCGTCGCACGCCTCGCCACTTCGGCCGACGCGCGCCGGCGCAATGATACACAAAGAGGAAAAACAACACCAGGTTACGACGACAGCCGTCTGCGCTCCCTCGTCCGCTCCTTTCGGCGCGGCGGCGGCGGCCGCCGCTCGACGACGTCGAAGCGGAGCCCCCCGCCCATGCCGGACTCCGTGGTGCGGCTCTCGCGGATGAAGCGCCGCCGCGCCTCCTCCATGCCCGGCCGCCGCGCGTCCGCGGGCACCTGCTTGAAGGCCTGGAGCGTCCACTTGCCGTCGTCCCAGAAGCCGCGCGGCGCCGCGCGGCGCAGCACCTTGGCGCCGCCGTGCCAGGAGGCGGCGTCGACGTCGCCGCGCGCGCCGTCGAGGCTCCAGAAGACGCAGAGCGCGCCCGCGCGGGGCTGGACCCGGAGCCCCGCGCCCCGGGGCCCGAAGGCCGCGATCTTCGGACCGTCGCGCTCCGCGACCGTCGACCCCGCGAGCTCCGCGGCCACGTCCCCGAGGCAGAGCCGCGAGCCGCGCGCGAGCAGATCCGTCGCGTCGTCGAAGAGGGCCTCGTCGGCGTCCTGGTTGACGGCCGTGTCGGTGTGGAAGACGCTCCGGCCCAGCAGCCGCGCGGCGGCGCCGGGCGCCGCGGCGCCCGCGTCGCGCCGCGCGCAGGGGAAGACCGTCGCGCCGCCGCGCTCGGGCTCGACGTCGTTGACGTAGGCGAGGGCCGTGCAGTAGCGGTGCGGGAAGCCGTTGTTGTTGTCGACGTGGAGGCCCGCCTCCGCGCAGTGCCAGACGGCGGCGTCGAGCGTCGAGCCCGCGGCCGCGGGCGACGCCGGCGCGTCGGACGCGTCGTGGCCCGCGGGCGTGTAGTGGAGCTCGAAGCCGTCGTCGGCGGTCCGCGGGCACCGCGTGAGCGCCTCGACGCGGTGCCCGACGCGCCGCAGGAGCGCCCGGGACGCGTCGGGCAGCCAGAACGCGCGCTCGTCGAGGTTCACGTAGTGCTTCGCGCGGAGCTTCCGCGCGCGGAGCCGCGCGCGCACGGGCGACGTGGCGGCGGCGCGGCCGAGCGCGACGAGCCACCGGCGCTCGAGCGGCGATAGGAACTGCGCGAGCACGCCGACGCGCGGCGCGTCGCAGACGACGCGCAGCTCCGCGTCGCGCGGCGGCGCGGGGCCGACGCCGGCGATGGCGAGCCGCAGGTCCCGGAAGCTCGCGGCGTTGGCGCGGCAGCAGGCGCAGTAGCGGTCGAGGTCCGCGGCCTCGGCGAAGCGCAGCCAGAGCACGACGCAGTCGGCGACGAGCGCGCCGCGCCGCATGACGCGGTGCATCGCGAGGTTCTCCTCGTACGAGGACATGGGGTGGTTTAGCCGCGCTGGAGGCGAGCTATTGCTCCATTGCGCATCTTCGAGGTCGATCTCGCCCTTCAGCATCTCTTCAGCTGCATTCTCAACGAGGTTGCCGCGACGAAAGACGTCCATATATATAAAGGCGAGCTGCGAGAAGATGCTCTGGAAGCAGCAGGTCGCGATCGACAAGCTGACGCTCGTGCTCGGCGCGCTCGGCGTCGGCGGCGGCGCCCGGGCCGGCGCGGACAAGCTCTCGCAGCTGCTCAACGCCGTCGGCGCCAACGAGGACGGCGGGCTGACCGTGCACCAGGCGACGGCGGCCGCGACGGAGGCCGCGAACGGCGCGCTCGAGGGCATCCGCGTCTCCGACCGGTCGCCGCCGTCGCGCCGGTCGTCGTCGGACGCGCCCGTCATGTCCACGTTCACCCTCGACGACTTCCTCGAGCCCATCGTGTCGCCCAACGGCCACAACCCGTCCGCGTCGAAGAAGGACCGGCTCCAGGAGTTCTTCTGCGGCACGAACGGCGAGCACGACGCCGTCCCAAACACCTGACGATACACCCCGCCCCAAACTGTACGCGACGCTTCTTCTCTACTAAAACTGTGTGTTCCCTCACGCCAGCAGCAGCTTCTGCGCGATCGCCGCGACGAGCGCGACCGCGACGACCGCGATGAGCGCGTCCTCGACGGGCGTCGCGACGGCCGGCGGCGGTGTTGGCGGCGCGGCGCGGGGCGACGGCGGGGCCGCGACCGGCGGCGGCGGCGGCGCGGCGACGGGCGACGGCGGGGCTTCGGGCGACGGCGGAGCTTCGGGAGACGGCGGCGCTTCTGGGGGCGGCGTCTCCGCCGGCGCCTCCGCCGGCGTCTCCGCCGGCGCTTCCGCCGGCGCCTCCGCCGGCGCCTCCGCCGGCGCCTCGGCCGCCGGCGCCTCCGCCGCCGGCGCCGCTTTCGGCGCCGCGCCGTCGTCGGCGGGCTTGTCCCAGGGGAAGGACACGGGCTCGGGCGCCTGCGCGCACTCGCCGCACTTGAGGAGCTCGTCGTTCGCGCCGCCCTCGACGAGATCCGCCAGCGGCCCGCAGTGGGGGCAGGCCCAGGTCCGCGACTCGGCGGCCAGCGCCTGGCGCTCGTCGGGCCGCCACTCGAGCGCGCCGATGGCGCTCTCCGTCGGCGTCGGGAAGAAGGCGATGAGCGCCTCGACGATGGTCCGGATGCCCCAGGCCGGCTGCCAGTGCTCCGGGTGGAAGGACGTCGCGCTCAGGCAGATCTTCTTCCCGACCTCGAAGCGGCCGGAAGCGTTGAGGAGCATGATCGACGGCGGCTTGAACGGGTAGTCGTGCGGCAGCGAGATGCGGCCGTGGTAGAGGCCGCCCTGGAAGTCCGAGCCCCGCGGCCCGCGCACCGTGAAGTGCCACTCGAAGAGGTTGTCCTCCAGCGGGGCCGCGTGGTACTCGCGCGTCGGGTTCTGGGCCAGCTCCCGGATGTCGCCCTTGATGCGCCGCACCGCGGGATTGGACATTCTGAGAGAGTCGCGTGAGGCGCGTGCGACGCTGTGATCTATACGCGTGCGCGCGAAGACCCTGGGGCCACGGACGACGCGTTTCTTCCGGGTCGTCGGCTGAGGCACACAGGCGCTCTCACAAAATGTGGACACGCGGCGAGAGCTCATGTTTGGGCTTCCCAAGCATCATTGGCCTCGCGGACCAGGCGATAAGGCGATGAAGCAGCCCTCCGCACCGATTTTGCCCACGGCGACGGTGATGTACGAGACGCCCCTCCAGTACCGCTCGCTCGAGAATTTCCTCGCCGAAAACCACCTTACCGATTTGCTGCCCAAGCTCATCGTCGAGGAGATTACGCTGAGCGTCCTCCTGACACTCGCCGCCGACGATCTTTCCATGATCGCGATGCCTTTCGGGAAGCGGAAGGCGCTGCTGACGGCGATCCAGGGAGCGCCGCGGGTGGCCTCGCCGGGTGTCGTGCCGCCGCCCGCGCCGGCGGCGGAGAGTCAACTGGCCGCGGAGCGGCAGTTCGCGCTGAGCCAGCAGGCGCTCATCGCGCAGACCCAGGTCCAGGCGATGCAGTCGCAGCACAACACGACCGCCCAAGCGGTGGCGGCGCAGGCGCAGGCGACGGCGCAGGGCATCGCGGCGATGGCGCAAGCCGTGACGTCCGCAGCGCAAGAGAAAGGCGCGCCGAAGGGGGTGCTCGATGAGTATTTTGTGACATTGGGCGAGGTGCACGTAGTGATGATGGTGACAAATATTATGAAGGGCTTCTCCGGCACGTACGTGGGCGAGGTGATGAGTAAAAGCGTCGTGCAAGGAGCCGGTACTAAGAACGAGCGAAGATACGAGACAATCCCTCACGGCCATGGGAAGCTGATTGGCTCGAAACAAAGCTACGAGGGCGAGTGGCAGCTTGGGTTGCCCGATGGTCGTGGAATCTTTCGCGGCAAGGAGAGGTTAGGGTCCCTCGTCCTTGAAGGGGACTGGCGCCAAGGCGTCGCCGAAGGACTCAACTGTAAAGAGACCGTCGCTTATAGTCGTATGACTACAATATTGTACAACGCGAACAACAACAACACGGGCGCAGATACGAACGAAATTTACATCGGGTCGATGGTGAACGGGCTCCGCCACGGAAAAGGCCGCCTCGAAGAATCAGACGGCGACGTGTACGTTGGAAGCTTCGTCGAAGGCAAGAAGCACGGCAGAGGAAAGGAAACGGGGCGGTCGACAAGCGGTGAGATTGTAGTCAGCACGGGGATCTGGAAAAACGGAAAACAGTCGGGCCAGGTCAAGGAAGTCTTCGGGTCGCCCGCGATTCAAATCTACGAGGGAGAATTCATCGATGGCTTCCGCCACGGCGCATTCCGGGTCTCGTTCAAGCAGAAGGATGGGAGCTGGTTCACAGTTACCAAGCATTTTCAACACGGCAAGGAAGTTCGCGACGAATGCGTCTGTACCATCCTCTAGTAAGAAAAAGAGACGCGACAAGGTCGCGCCCTGCGCCGGCGGCCCCCGCGCCTGGAGGCGCCGCCCGTAAGTTACCTCACCCCGACCGAACTCTCGTCCCCCCAGGGGTCGGGCAGGACGACGTCGGGGCCCGAAGGCAGGAGCCGCGCGAGGTAGGGCCGGTGCGGCGCCTCCTTCAGGTCGCCCTCGGCCAGCACGACGACGTGCCGCCGCAGCGCCCCGTCCGCGAGGAACGCGTCGTGGACGAGGTGGTAGGCCCGCTCCATGTCCGCCGTGAACTGGCGCGCGTCGAAGATGGGCGAGAAGCGCCCCTCCTCGGCGAGCCGCCTCCGCAGCGCCGCGAGCGCCGCGCGGCCGCGCGGCGCGCCCGTGAGCCGGACCGCCAGCGCTTCGAAGGCCTTCAGCTCGTCGACCTGCAGCAGCTCCTGGCCCGCGCCGACGGCGGCCTGGATCGACAGGCCGACGCGCTGCGGGAACTCGGCGCCGCGCGCCGTCAGCAGCGGCAGGCCTCCCCGGAGCGCGTCCGTCGCCGTCGAGTGCGCGCCGTAGACCAGCGTGTCGAGCAGCAGGTCCGCGGACGCGTGGCGCGCGAGGTGCTGCGACTTGGGCACGCGCGGCGCCCAGACGAGGCGGCCCGGGTGCACGCCGCGCGCGGCCGCCTCGCGCGCGAGGTTCTTCACGTTGTCGGCGAACGCCGCCCGCGACGACGGCGCGAGCATCCAGAGCACGCTCCCCGGCGACCGCCGGAGCACGTTCATCCACAGGCCGAAGCTCGCCGGGTCGTTCTTGTCGTTCTTGTTGAAGTTGCAGAAGACGACCGCGGGGTACGGCGGCAGGCCGTGCGCCGCGCGCTCCGCGTCCGTCGCGCGGAGCCGCGGCAGCGCGACGTGGCGCTCGTAGTCGTTGATCTGGTAGCTCCGCGGCAGATACACCAGCTTCTCGCGGTAGTTGACCGCGTTCTCCGGCGGCACGACGACGCGGTCCACGACGACGCCGTCGAGGAAGTCCGCGCCGGACGTGCCGGGGAAGATGAGGTACGCGAGCTGCACGGGCGCGACGCGCATGGCGCAGAGCTCCATGCGCGTGCCCAGCGTGTGGCCCTGGAGGTCCACGGCGATGTGGGCGCCGTATTTCCTCGCTTCCATCACGGCGTCGACGTGCGCCGCGCCCGCGACCTGGACGAACGCGTCCGCCAAGGACTCGATCTGCCGCCGGAAGTCGGAGCCGTCGTCCTTGCCGTAGCTGATGGCCGCCGATGTCACCGTCGTCGGGTGGCCCGGCGCATCTCTCAAACGCCGGTGCCAGCGGAACAAGCCCTCGACCATCGCGGCCGTCGGGTGCTCGTTGAAGTCGAAGCAGAGGTAGCCGACGCGGAGCGCGCCGTCCGGCGCCGCGGGCGCGGGGAACGCCAGCCGATCCCGGTAGTGGTCCAATAACTTTGACTGGGCGACGGCGTGGCGGAGGCGCCGCGCGCCGTCCACGGGCAGCAGGAGCGTGTCGAAGGGCAGGAGCGCGGGCCCGTCGCCGCGCGCGAGCCGCCGCGCGTCGTTGGCTAGTAATTCGTCGATGCGCCGCTCGCGGTCGCTCCAGTCGTTGCCCGGCACGCGCGCCTTGAGCAGGTTCACGAGCGTCTGCTCCCGGGCGTCCTCGAAGCCCCAGTCGACGCTCAGCGCGAGCGCGCGCTCGTGCGCGGCGATCGCGAGGGAAAAGTTGCCGAGCTGCGTCCGCGCGGTCCCCAGGTTGTTCAGGATCATGACCGCCGTCTCCGCGGCGTCCTCGCCGTCCTTCTCGCTCGCGTCCAGCGCCTCGAGCGCGAGCTCGTAGTGGGACACGGCGTCGCGGACGCTGCCGTGCTTGTGGTACGTCGCCGCGAGGTTGATCCGCGCCTCCACGTAGCCCGGCCGGGCCGCGAGGCACGCCGCGTAGGCGTCGGCGGACTGCTGCACGTGGCCCAGGAACTGCAGGGACACGGCGACGTTGTAGAGCGCCTCCGCGTCCGTCGGGTCGCTCGCGAGGACGACGTCCCAGTGCGATACGGCCTCGTCGAAGCGCCCCGCGCCGTGGAACGCGAGGGCGACGTTGACGCGCGCCATGCGGTGGGACGGCTCGAGCTCCAGGGCCCGGAACCACAGCCGCATGGCCTCGTCGTCGTCGCGGGCCGCGCCCGCGGGGTCGTCGCCGCGGAACGCGGCCGCGCGGTCGCTCCGGGCCTTGCCCAGGTTGCAGAGCGTGTCGACGTGGGCGTCGTCGAGCGCGAAGGCCGCCTCGTACTGGAGCGTCGCCTCGTTGCCGTCGTTGAGGCCCGTCTGCGCGATGAGGCCCAGGTAGAAGCGCGGCAGCGCCTCGCCGGGGTGCTGCGCCGCGACGTCGCGCAGGCGGTCCTGGCAGCCAAGGGCGTCGAGGTCCTCGCAGGCGAGGAGCGCCGCGTCGAGGCGCGGCAGGTGCGACGCCTCGTAGAGCGCGCAGCGGCACGCCGGCAGCAGCAGCGCCGCGACGGAGCCGCGCATCATCTCGCAGCGGCTCCCATATGCATCGCGGGCAGCACTCGCGGTGCACTTGCAAACCAATTTCATCGGTAGCGCGCTGATGGCCGAGGTAGGTCGCCGGGGCCCACGCTCTTTCGCGCGCCGCGGGGGACGGGGGGAGAGGGGGACGCGCGGGCCGTCCGCCGCGCGAAAACATGGGGTCGACGCGCGCACCGCTAGGTCGTCGTCGCCGCGGCGCCCTGGGCCTTCGGCGCCCTGTTCAACGCGGCGTTCAAGGAGCGCTGCACGGCGACGATCGCGGACACGCTGCTGCGCGACGACAAGGAGGACGGCAAGTGGCTCTTCACGTCGAAGAAGGGCGAGGTGCAGCGCAAGCGGACCGTCGTCGCCGCGAACGTCCGCGAGCGGTTCACGCGGCTCGGGCTCGCGATCAGCGGGAACGTCGACGGCTACGTGTGCACGGTGCGCTACGACGACGGGCGGTCCCAGTTCCTGGGCCAGGAGGCCTTCGGGAAGATGATCGGCTCCTGGCCGCCGAGCGACCCGTCGATCTTGGCCGCGCAGTGCTTCGTCGCGGGCACGGTCTACCGCAACACCTACGAGCGCGTCGGCGACGAGGGCCGCATCAAGACGGCCACCGTCGTCATCAACACGACGCCCGACGACTCCGCGTTCTCCGGCACGTCCGCGAAGTACGTCGAGGCGCCCGGCGCGCCGGGCGAGCGGTCCGTCGTCGTGCCGTTCCAGCCCGTGCGCGCCTACGGCAAGTCGCGGGCGACGCGCCTCAACGAGACCCTCGACGCCGCGACCCTGAGCATCGTCGGCTACGTCGAGCGCACGCAGCGCGTCAAGGTCAAGCAGGTCTACGCGGACTACGTCATCGACGACCAGAACCAGCTCTGGCTCTGCTGGCTCGGCGACGCGCGCTGCACGCCGCCGCGCCTCGCCGAGACGCCCGGGGCGTCCACGGACGGCGCGCGGCCGCGCACGGCCGACTCCGCGCGGACGGAGGTCAAGGAGCTCCAGTACCTCGACGGCACCGCGCATGA